TTGGTGCTCTCTCTCGGGAGACGGCAAGCTTTCTTTGGCTTTGGCATACCGAGGTGCTGGACGGCTGGGTCTGGAAGCGAGGGAGGGACCCCAACCGTGCCAAACAATTAGTGCAGCGCAAAGACCTTGCTGAGGACTTGCTTGCTCGCTGGAAGCCTCCATGTCTGTGAAAACGGTGCGCCTGGATGGTGTCTGATAAGTTCTCCCGTGGTCTGTCGCAAATTAATGAGAATCGAAACCCGTCCAGATCGTTGGTAGACTAATTAGCCTATGTATGGTAATGTAATGTATTGATGTGAGCTCTGACCTCCCCCGCCGTCACCCGCTGTGCTTGTGCTGTGGAGGGGTTACCACCAGCTGCGGCCGCTGAAGGAGCGCCAAACAACGCCCAATCCCCATTCTGCGGAGCGCCGTCCGTCGGCTCTTCCCCACACCCTTACTCAAATGAACAGAGAAAGAAAGCTCCCGTTTTCAAGAAGATAGAGTCACAGAGCAAAGAATTGCTTCTTCGGGCTATCAGAGTCAAAATACAGAATAGTGCTGCTAGTATCATATTACCACAAGGTTCAAGCTGGTAACTTGTGTCCAATGTACTACGCTTTATGCACCAATCCGTAAAACTCATCAAGGACGGGTGACCCCCTCTCAAACATCCGTTAGAGGCGGTAGCTTAGACCTCGAGGCGCTTATGCATTGAGTTGTGAAGTTCAGCGCTGAGAACCGCCAGACCAAAGATGGATGATTGCTCCGAAGCCATCACTGGTCATTCTCTTGTAATGCCTTTTCTTCTGATGTCTGGAAACGGTAGTGGCGGAGATAGGTGATGGCTAGGGACCAGTACTTGTCATGCCAAGTTTTACAACGTTCGCTGGCTCGGGTGGTGTAGCAATCTCATGACGGCACCGTACAACACATAGCGCGTGCTCCGCCCTATAAACATGACTACTATTCAGAGATAGGTACAAAGACATACAGGATCGGCCGGGCCGTACCACGTCCGCCTTGACGTATATGTAACAGTAACATAGTCTTGGTGACGTGACGGAGGCTCCAATACTATGTAGTAGTGCCCCAGGCTGGAAAGTAGATTGTCGAGAAAAGAGTTCCCAACGCCAAAGGGTTGGGGATCGTGGCGAGGAGCAAGATGATATGACATCAACCCAACCAGCCCTCAAACAAACCCTTCTTCTTCCGTGCACTTGAAGCATACTATTGCCTTGAGATTGCCACAATGACCACGACGTCGTTCGATGCGCCACACAAATGACATAGGCGTACCAGATTGTGTGGCTTTCCTCTGACAAGTTCGGCAGTCATCCGTTGCGTAACCATGTTGCGATCATTCATGCAACAGCCACAATCGCTCCAAATTAGATACTGCTATCGCTAGTTGACTGGTTAGGTGGCTAACGTAGGAGGGGGGGCGTTTCTTTTCAGCATTCCTGGCTCTGCCACGAGGAAAATTCTCCGTGCGTAACATATCCTGATCCCAAGCTAGGTGCTCGCTTATTTGCTGGGCCTGCGAGAATTGTATTGTCCGGAATAATTCCCGTCAACTCGTCTGATAAACACAATGTCGATCTTTTCAGTATGTGGTTACCGTAGTGCGCATGGTCGATCGGCATTGGTCATTCATAGGCCGGTAGTAGGTACTAGTAGCCTTGTGTTCCAACCCCGCGAGACAGTGGCTTTGACCCTGGTTACTATAATGAAGCACTAAAACGACACAAAAAGTACCAAAAAGATTTGGGAATAGAAGGAAAGATTGTCATCAGACTTCATTCTGGTTCATCTGGCCCGGAGCAAAACAACACAGAGTCGTATTCGTTCGATCGTCCAATTGAAGCAGCGTCATACGCGGCCAGGACTCGATCTCGCCAGCCTTGTCTTGAAGCAGGAAGACCCAGCAAGATACTTGCCTACCATGACCTGGAGTAGTTTCAAAGGCACTAGACGGGATATGATCATCGTGTCTTCAAGAGTCATTTGAATATACTTTGAGAAAAGCTCCGATACATGACAGGAGTTGAGATTGGTACGATATAGCTTGAAGCTGTCAGATTTGTCTTTGACAACGGGCTATATTCCGTGGCGGTATAACCGTCTAAGAGTGGCCGTTTTCCCCTCTCTTCGCAACGACCCGAGAGCGCTACACTGGGGGCAAAAATCAAGCTTCGAGGAAACGCTACTCTTCTAACATTGAATACTACATAATACATAAATTAGGCTGCGTACTAGCCTCTCGCACGAACTGCCACTGGTACGATCTAGGCTAGACCCAACTACTAAGTATCGGGGTGGCTGATTGACCACGCAGCGCCTGAGCACAAGTCGTTGTTGTCCGTGATTTATTAACCGAGACGCGGTATACCGCTGATTGAGTCGAGCAGCATTCACATGAGAAAGATGAAAAGCAGTCCCTGAGATGACATCTTCCGATTGACACGGCTGATCGGCTTGGAGTACGCTTGCCATGCCGATCACTACTCCATGAAGAGGCACGAGACAGTTGAAGCAGTACCTCTGCTCAACCCCACTGAATAAGCAGTGAAGTGCGGCACTTGAGCCGCAGACAAGTGCAAACTTACCGTGGGTACGTGATGCACCTTGAATGAGTTGCAACATTCTACCCTACATTACATCCACTTTGTGGTCTGTCAACTCAACGGTGGCCCAATCAGCGCAGCATTGGTGGGCGTGATCCCTACATAGTATAGCCCAACCCATCTCTTATTAATGTAAGTATGATACGTGCCTACAAGAAATCATAACCCACCATTACCGCACTACTGCAGCAAGCAGGCATATTACTAACCTGCCTCCTAGTCAGTAGTGAGTGAATACTATTCAACTTTCGGATAGGGGCTTCCAACGTTCATGGCGTAATCTGTAGATATTCTCCGCTCAAGCCGCTTCCAATCTCGCAGGCAAACGTGCGCGATAGTCTCGTGGGTGCCTCGCTTGCATTTTGCCTTCAACTGTCCCGTCTCTCGGCGACGATGACAATATTACCACTATAGCCGGCGTCCCGCAAGTTGTCCGTCCGATCGTGCGAAATGAACCAGAGTGTGCGTGGCAATGAGGTTTCATAGGCTGATTTCTCCAAAGCATGGCGAAACAAGACGCTTCAATCAAGCCCGTGCTATTTTTGAGGCCCATGGATGTAGTAGGACCAACATGAACTGTACACTAGAAGATCAGCATCAGGTACATACCATGTATCCTGAATAATGTAGTCTACTCCTGGTATTATGGTGATCGCCCCGAACGTCAACATCATGCATGTTTCTTGGTCAGTCTTCTTCCTCAAGCCAGTAGATACGGGTAACAGGTTATTCTTGCTGCGTCTGGAAGCCTGGCCAATGGATCCAATGCAATTCCCAGTCGCTTCCCACCCTGGCCCCTTATGCATGTATCAGAGCCGTCACTGTCCATCCCAAACCAGTATAAGAGACGCCATGTCAGGAGAACAGCCATGAAGATCAAGCTTTCCGTACTACGGCCTAGGCATTGGGGGGGAAGAGAAAGAAGAAGAAAGAAGGAAAGAAAGCCATCCTTGTCTCAAGTTCCTGAGTTGCCGGTAGCACATAGTAGCAGCAGCAGTGGCTCCTCCTCATGGGGGAATGATATGTATCTTGGCAGGGTAAGGTGAGGTAACGAAAAAGCTGATAAAATAGTAGCAGTTCAATTCTACTGGATTATTAGTGTTAATGGTGTTCTTACAGGGGAGATCTACGCTAAGTCGTGGGCAGTTAAAAAAAGGCTTCATTCTTAGTGGGGTCAAGTTTCCCACTCACAAAATGGAAGTGGCAACCCTGCGAGTGCATGCTCAAGCGGTTTCACGTATCCCTGATCCCATGCAGTCGCTGGGGCTCGTTCCCTTGTCGGTCGATACTCCTTCTCGTAAGCTTCCTCCGATCCTGGCGACATTTTCGAGACCATCGCTACCACAACCTGCGCCAGCCACGGACCTTTTTTTTTTTCTACTTGTATTCTCTTGTGTGTCGAAATGGTCTGTTATGTATGTGCCCATGTACTCGATTGACCGTTTGGTTTTGGTTTGGTGTATTGCCCAAATGTAGGTACATGCATAGAACCATGACTTACAACCTACCTACCTACCTAAGCTAGGTACCTAGTATGAAAATGACCACGATCGACTCCGGGTCGGTCGCAACGCACATACACGATGCTACTCCGTTCCAGTCCGCGGGAGCAGCTGCAGCTTCACCTCAACCACGTCTCAAAACGCCACTGGGACGCACCCCTCCGATGTCCTCGCTTGTACCTGAAAAGGGTCCCTCGAACTCATTCTCCTCTCTCGCTCTTTGTGTGTGAGCGTGTGTGACACTTTTATCTGCTTCTCTCACTTCTTTACCAGACCCCCCTTCCCTTTCTCTTACCCTTCGGCTAAGCATATTATCAAACGACACGGACGGTATACTTCATCCCAAATAATCCCCAGGCCTGGTTGGTTGGCATGCTACCAGTTCTTCCTTAGTGTTTCCATCCCAGCTACCCTATATGTCCATCATTATTATTATGACGAGTGGGAGCCTCTATTAAAGTGTTTGCATGTTCCTGACACACCCAGCAAAGACAAACCCAGTTGCAGGGAGCTCTCGCCTTTCGTCATTTATGCTTGAGACGCCCGGCTCTTCTCACTAGTGCATGCATACCTATATACTCCGCCTGCTATATCGTCTGAACTACCATCGATCCTTTGTTTCCTCTTCGCCCAAGTCCTTACCCACCGTCTGGTTGGCTTTGACATAAAACCATCCCGCTTCGCCAACGAAGGGGTCCCTGGCCCAATGGCTCATATAGTCAGCTGCATGCTTGATGCCGATGGCACTCTTGAAGGCTATATAGCAAAGCAGCAAGCCTCCACGGATTCGGTAAGAAGCACATTTATACTCACCTACTATATCAACACTCTCATCAAACCTACCTTATGTATCTATGCTTGCTGCAGCAGTTGTAGCTGACCAATATTTGTGATGCAGTTGGCATCTCTCACCTCATCCATAAGCTCATCTGAAGAGAGAAAGCCATATCTTTGGAGGATGCAGCACCCAGAGGCTAGGAAATATCAGCTTTTCCCCAAGGAGAAGCAACTCCCTTCAGTGGTTTCCGGAAAACAGCTTGACCCAGAGCAGGCCTTTGCAGTAGCCATGGCACAGTCTGGCGAGAAATCAGACAAGCTGGAAAAGGAAAAGTCAAGCCTGAGACTTAGAATCAAGGAGCATCACCTCAACCGACGCAGAAAGGTCAGCGTTCCTGAGCTGGGACCAATGACCACTGTGCATGAGGTGCCCATGGACTCTCGTGAGTTGCACTCGAATATGTATCCTGTGTTAATATCAAGCATCTCACAACTCTCAGCAACAATTCCCGGACGACCTCCTCTTCATGAACGATCCATTAGCTCTCCAGTCAACTCATGGCGTCGACACAAATTAGCAGACTCTCTTCCACACCTGCACGATACAACCAGGGAAAGCAATGAATCGACAAGATCAAATATGGCCGAGCTTCAGATGACCGGTGTGTCTGCAAGTATACAGCCAATGTCCCCCAAGAGTCTTGCCCCCCTTGTAATTCCAAAGGAGACCGGCCCTCTTCCACGCTTGGCTCATCAGCTGTCACTCAGTCGACTTCGTTCAGGGAACAACAGCAACGCCAGTGATACCTGCCCACGCAGTGCAAAAACCGAGGACTCGCCCAGGACTAGAACTCCTTTCACTCCTTTCACGCCAGCCTCAGTATACATGACCACGCCAAAGTCTGCCGTGACAGCATCGACTTCACCGACGCCCATCTCTGCCCCAGCAGAGAGTCGAGCATCGCCAAGGCCCTGGGAAAAGGCCGCCAACATCACTCCGGTGGGCACTCCTCAACCCAACAACGACTCAATGTCGACACCCAGAGCCGAAGCAGAGATTCCACGAAGTGCCACTGCCATGTCCTATAGGACGGAAGCCGATGCTTCTCTTCGGGCAACCGCCGCCATGTCACACAGAAGGAACCAGTCGGACACCGGAAGCATCATGGAGCGTGGACGTCCTAGAAAGAGAACTGATGGAAGCAGTGTCGGCGTCCCTCTACGACGCACAGCATCAAAGGCCAGTAAGAGTGCAGAGCGTCGTGCTTTTGAGACCCTGCCTGAGGGGTGGAAACCTACCGAAGCATCAAAGATGATTGAGAGTGAGGAGCTTGCGAACCTGCAGAAGCAGGCTTACGGCCAGGCAATGAGGTTCGAGGTTTTGAGAAAGGAACACGTCGAAAGCCTCTCTAAGGTATGCAGGACTAGTCAAATGGGCGGAAATGAACAAGCAGCTAATAGCCTCAATCTATCAGGAACTCCGTCACCTCGACGATCGGACCGAGTATCTGCGTCGCACCTACACTTCCTTGAGGGCTGGACGACGCAACCTCCACTCTCGCATCTGTCAATATCTCCGCTCGCCCCGTGTTGCAAAATTCAGCTACGAATCCATGCTCAAGCAGGAAGAGGCACTTGCTGAACTGGATGCTTCGATTGACGACTGGGTGTCCAAATTGGAACACGCTGAGAACCGTCGAACCCGGGTCCGCCAGAAGCTTCTTGAGCACGTTGCCGCCGCCGCCACTTTGGCTTCCAATCCAGTCGACCTTGCTGGTGCCAGCGAGTCTCTTCACCAGGCCATGGGTGTACGCATACCTAATGCTTCGATTGAAGCCACCACTCCACCCCGCAGCCCAACCAAGGTGGAACACCAAGCGTACGCTCCATCTCCATCATCCTCTCCTCAACGAGTTGTGGCTCGCGTGCCATCTGTCATACCAGAGGTCCCCGCCGAGAGCATTACCGCTGGTCTATGCCTGGACGATAGCGCTTCTGAGCACCAATCTGCTCTTGCTCGCATGGAAAGTATCCGAATTTATGCAGACAGCGACGTTTACGCTCTCCTTGCCGATGTCGAGACTGAGTTCACCAAGCTCAGTGGTGTAGGAAGACACACTCCTGAGCCTATCAAGGTTACCGATATCTCAGATGAGAAGAGAAAGGAGATTCATCGCGCCCAGAGTCACGAGGCCCTCAACGGCAGCGGACTTGTCATCAACTCGGCACAGAAGACAACCAAAGCACCACCAATGTCGCCACCTGCCCCAACGCCACCTTTGAAGGATGATTCCGCTAATGAGGGCTTCTTGTTGACCTCTGCAGTCTTCCAGCCTCCAGCGGTGTCAGTTTCCTAGACATTTCCATTCGTTATTAATCTTTGGTTCCAATGCTGGAACATTACATCTTTACATCATGACTGGCTCGACCTGTCACATTTTAACGCTCCTTTTCACGATTTCATCACGCATGACAACTTACGGCCGACTGCATTAGCCATACCCATTCATTTGAGTTTTCATCACGGCCGATTGTATTCGCCATACCCATTCATTTGCGTTTTCTTGTGCCGGCAACACTGCCAACATGCATTCAACTTCACCTTCAAAACTTTTCACTCTTTTCTACATCTGACGCTTCCGTCTTGGAGCGCCTTCTTTTTATAATTTCCTATCAAATTTTCTACTCACATTTATGGAGTTGGGCAAAGCAATACTTGTATTTGATACATCTACGAATAACGGCCGATCTGAGATACCCCAGTGCGACTGGCATACTTTATCATATCTTCGAGACGGCAAAGACTTTTTAACTTTTCTCGCTCTTTGTAACTCTCTTCTTTTCTTGTATTGGTATAGGCGGTGAGGGGGAAGTGGCGTTCTTGTTTTCACACACACACATTGATTTGAGACTGCATAGATGCAGCCGCTTTGGCTGCTCTTATCCAGAAGAAGCAGAGGATGTAGGAGTATACATACACTAAGCCGATGGGATAGAAGAAAAAAGGGACGCAGTGTGTTTGGGGCAACTGAAAGAGCCAGAAGGTCCTCAGTGTCTCCAAAACTGTACATTACATAAAATACAACGGGCATTTTTGCGTGCCAATTTCATTATACCATGCCATATGCCTGAAGATTTTGGATATTTTCCATCGTGTTGCCTGCAAAATGCGATTCTCCATAGGCCACAGCCTAATACTAGCTACATATACAGTATGAGCCACTATATGAGATTAAAGATGGTGAGCCTATGTTTAGCACACCGCTCCGCTGCAAAAGGAGGTCAAAGCAAACTGTATTTCTTGAATCCGATCTGAGATTCGCCTGAGAGCCGGACTCTTTCCAAGAATCCGCAAGTGGAAACCGGTCGTCTGTGCACATGGACCGACACCCGGCCCAAAGCTCGCCCTTCCCTTTTGGGCCACAATGGCTTGCAGGAAGCTGATCATCAAACAGCACGTTCGTTGCGAGCCCTGTGCGTTCTGTTTCGTTGTCTGTTACCGCCACATACAGGAAGGAGACTTTTCAGCAGAGGGAGAAGGAAGCTGATCATTTCTAATCACGGATTCGGCACACACAGGGAGAGACAGATAAGCTTATACAAAGTGGAAAAGATGGGATTCTTGGCCACGAGTGGGGCGATGCCTACCCTTCAAGGGCTTAAATCCTCCTCCACGATGGAAGGATTCTGAATTACCTACATAGTAATACCTAGTGTAAGGTACGGAGCTAGGTACATTCTTTACAGAGTGCAGTAGTCCTGCCGAGGAGTCCGCTGCCGGCGCGGCAAGGCAAGGCAAGGCAGGCGATCCGGAATCCTGAGATATACGAAGGGTATTGAATCCTCTTTTTTTTGTGTCTTTTTAGCCCCCTTCCCCTTTCTCAAATAGGATTCTCGTCAGCGCGTTCAGCCGATCAGAAATAAACCAGAGGATGAGATGAATAGAAAGAAGGAAAGAGAGAAAAACACGGCCCGGGCGAACCGAATGTAACTTATTCAATATTCCCAGCAAAAAAAAAAAAAAAANAAAAAAAAAAAAAAAAAAAAAGAAGCAGAGAGGTTTCATTCTTCAGCTCGATAATGTGGCAATGTCCCCTCACTGTCGACCATGTCCTTTTCCCCTCCCCATCCCCATTTTGTGATACCACGAGCCTTTTTCCCACATCTCTCTGTATACTCTATCGGGTGGTTCAATCTGATAGGGCAATCGGGATTTCCCCTCCACCAAAGCTTCATCCAGCCCCACTCATTTACAATCCAAAGGACGTTAAGACAAATTGGGGGAATTGAATGCACCATGTAAGCCAAGACGATGTTGCTGTCACTGTTTCTGTAGAGCACAGACATGAGTAGACAAAATGGGAAAGAAAAATGAGTATTTATTGCTTTTTTTGCTTTCTCATTTGCCCCTATTTTCCCCGTCATGGACAGAATCCACAGTTGCTCTTCCAGGTCTAACTTTTGGTTTTACCCAAAAGTCATGGTATGTAGATGGGAAAAGAAAAGTTGGAACATATGCAAACGCTTGCTTGCATTTGTTGACACGAAAGAAGACTGGCGCGCGCACACACACACACGCACACGCACACGCACAACACCACATTACATACACACACTAGCATTTTCTTGGGCACTTCTGCCAGCTCACTAACACACTGACACACACTCTCTCAATAGAGAAATTTGCCCATTATCCCATCTCACACTTTCCAATCACAGACAAATCTCCCCCAAGATCTTCCCCTCACCTGAACCCGCCGTCTCGATTATCAGTGGCTATGCCCCCGCGTATGTGTGTGTGCGCTTTGACATTTTGTACGGTGCAAAGAAATGGACAACTGGGACTATTTGCAAACCTTAATTCAGTGCAATAGTGTGACTTTTATCCGCCGATCTCTATACCCTCATATATACACACACAAGAAAATGATATAGAAAAAGTCCCATCATCTCCGGTCACATTCTCCCTCACACTCCTGGCGCTGATTTCAGTATAGTAACTGTACTTTGGATTAGGCTGTGCTATTATCGTGATTTTAAGCATATTTGTACAGCGTATCTCCCAAACGGTAACAATGCACCAAGACAAAGCGTATCCATAATTTCTTGTCTCCTTGCTTCTTCTCCTTCTCGATCGGATAGATACGAACATGCACGCACAACCATGAACCCCACTACCGAAAAGTAAATAGTAGATCCTTCTTTTTTTTTTTTTTTTTTTCCTCCACCCCCCCACACCATACCTTTCGGCCGGGTTTGCATGAGGCATTGGGTTAGAACAGTTTTGCTTACAAAATAATGTGTAAGTACTCTGTAGAGTATGTTGCATATGTGACACCTGTGGAGCCCTGCAGTCTAATGCATACACTTTAACAAAATAAATGAATAAAGTGCATAATAGGATCAAAGCGCCATGTGTTGTGTGTGTGTCTTGTGTATCATTGCTTCAGTAATCCTTGGCAGAGAGTACACAAGTAGAAAAGGTGGTGGGGAAAGGTAACCGGGCGTTGCGAGCGAATGGGGAAGAACAAGAAGTGCTGGTGCTGCATGGAGGTTTTTGGTTATGGTCTCCGCTCCGGGTCATGTTCCGAAAACAAAGTCCGAGGGTCCGTCCCAACGGGAACACTCCGTGTCGAATGTGAGTGAGGGCTTGCCTGGACTTTTTTCCGCCCACCCATCAATTGCAACTTGCTGAGCATGTTCATCTGTGCCGTCGTGGGACTGTCAATGTGCAAAAGCAACATGGAAATAAGTAGCAGTCAAAAGGCAGCATGTTTTCTCTTCCGTAGGAATGTTTCGCGATAATGGGACGGAAACATTGGACGTTTGTGGCAAGGGGGGAAAGGTATGTGGGCGCATGGGCAGTGCCATGTAAGATCGTTTCTAGAAGTCCGTCGGTTCCCACGTCTTGCTGTGTATTTTTTGACGCAGATGTATGCAGACACCGGGACAGGGGCTCGGCTAACAAGGGGGATTGAGACACTGTGATGCATACACACGAGATGGGAGGAACATGCTGGTCACTAGACGGGATAGCATCATCTCGCGTCCACGTGCCGAGTTTTTCTTGGCTTCTTTTTGCTCTCCTTTTTGGTCAGAGGATCGATATCTTTTCAGGTGACGAGGCTTGCAAAACGCCCACGCAGCCTCTCGCATTCCTCCGATCCTTATTGGGGGCTCTGGCGCATCTAAAGCTTCAATATGTGTGAGAGAGTCATGATTTCTCATAGCCTCGTGGAGACAATTGTGAGAGTCTGCGGGCTTTAGTCATATTCAGTCATGAGGCCGATTTCCGGGTTTCGGCCGTGGGCAAGGGTATAATCGTGGTTTCTTGAGTGGACATGATCCGCATCTGGGGTCCGTGGGATTTCCATTGCACGCATAGACGATGCAAGCAATCGTTCTTGTAACTAGGCTAAAGATATGCTTCGTCGAACCTAGGGTCGAATTGACTGCGTATTGGCTGTTGATACACCACATTTCAAGCGTATTGGGGAACCTGCTCCCCTTATCTCTGACAAGAGAGGTTAGGAACCTCAAACTCCCGGTCGAAGGGCTCCAGCCTCTACAATGAGGTTCCAGATGCCATCCATTCCGGCAGCCACCGACTCCGCTGTCCGACCGCCATTGTCCTGCAACAGGCGAATGTCGTCCGCGGGCGTTGTCGCAGGCCTCTGGAGCCCCATGGCGTGAGCCGCATTAACCGCGGCAGGAGGGAAAACCTCTGCGGACAACGGCGATGCCAGCCACAATAGCAACCACACGATCTCTTCCTGTCCGTTCTCAACGGCCAAATGAAGGCCCGTCTTGGAGTTGTTGAGGGGATCCTGATAGCGCATAAGTTGCGCAGGGTTCAGCGACGGCTCATTGTCTTCAGCGGCGCTGCTGCTGCTTCCCCCGGCGCCGGCGGCATTCTGATCTCGATCCACAGCGCGTAGCAGCTCTACGACGCCGTCAAGGTCGCCCTCGGTGCACATGACATGGAAAGCACGTGCAGGACGGGCCTCTGGATTGGCTTCTAGGTAGGCCTCCTCTGTGATCTCGGGGAGGATATCAAGATCCTCCTGCAACCCGCCCTCGTTGTGGTACCTCGTCAGGATGCGCGCGCCCGCGCTGACGTGCAGGAACGGGTTCGTGACCGATGGCCCAGCCGTATTGGTTGCGAGCTGGCTGTGGCACGCTGGGCAATTGAGCGACATGGCAACCTCGGAAGCCTGGTCCATGAGACATTGCCAGTGAAAGCGGCATCCACAGGGCAGTTCCAGGTCGTCAGGAAACGTCTGAACCCCGCCAACCTCCTCATCCTCGACCTCGAGCACGAGGGGTTCATCGCAAACCTTGCAAGATGCCATCGTAGGAGCCGAAGGATTCGCCTCAGGGGATGATGATGATGAATTTCTTCAGGGTTGCCTGACTCTGTCGGCGTTAAGAAGGAGGGAGGAAGGGACGGGAAAAGAGAGGAGGTGGATAACCTGGGTGTGTGTATGTGTGTGGCCAAGAGAAGGAATAGAGGAGATTCTGCAGCGGGTCATACGTAAGAGGAGAGCTTTGAAATGTTGACAAATTCTCTATCGAGACGGGCGCAGAAATCCTTCTCCGTCAACCAAGCAAAATCCTGTAGCATGATGGTGCAAAGAGACTGCACGATGCCGAATAGGACAGCCGGAGGATTCTTGGAACGCAGGACATTGTAGTTCATACAACTTACCAATTTGGTTTATTGAGATGCGCAAATGATACAAAATGCGATTTCTGTCTTTGCAGTCTTGTGGCTACTCTTGGCAAAAGAGCAGGCTGATGATGAGGCTGTCGAGAAAATTCTGTTCGATAGTAGCAGTACGTACCTACCGCCCACTACAACGGGGCTTCAACGACTGCTGCTGGGCTGGCACCTGCAGGGGCCATGGACTGGCTGGTGGAGAGTGGGGCTGGACATTGGAGACTAACCCCGGCTCCTGCCGTGACCGCTGCAGCTGAAAGGCATCGAATTCAGCTTTGCAGGGCATTTTTGTCATCTTCTTGATGCCTCCGATTCCTGAAGAAAGTGCGTCATTTACTGTGAGATATGGCAGATGCTAATGAACCAATTATAGTTAATGATAGTCTGGAAATAGTAGACTGGCCTTTGCAGCCTGATTGTAAGGCTGTCTTGTGTTTGACAGCTCCAGTTCAGCTCGCAAGCATTTCACTAACAGGCTGGCAGGCTATGTTAGAATGCGAGCATCGGGTTATGTGATAGTTCCAACATGAGTCACGATGCAACTCACTATTATTTTCTTCATTTAGCACTTCAGCTACTTGTGTAGCTGAAAAAGAAATCTCCTCATTCCAAGAGCGTGCACTAGGGAACACTATTACATGGAACGCGGGCTCGCGCCGTTCATTAAGCAACGAGCCGCTTACGTGAGGCTACCAAAGTTAGTATATTGCAGAGAGTTTTGAATTGCAGCGATAAGCCAGTATATTCATAGTGCCCTTGACATATATTCTAGAGCTAGTATGACTTGAGACAGGACGATCAGCCAATGGGTTGAAAATTAACAAGTGCCGAGTTTTCATCTAATGTCAGTAGCCGCTGGCAGACATTTTACTCGTGTCGAGACTATCTGGTCGCTCAAACCATGGTCTGGAAGATAACAAGTGCAAGACCTAGAGATCAACTGACGGGCACTCGGTTTCGAGAAAGCGGGAATTGACGCGATGGTATTTTCCATCTGGGTTTTAGAGAATTTCCCCATCAACGACACATCGGAATTTCGCAAGATCCCCGTCAACCCCCGTCGTCTCCATCGTCACATGCACACTACCGACTGGGCAAGCGTAGCAGGCGTAGCATTCTATCCGGAACCCAACCGCAAATCCCAACTTCCATGCGAAGATCCTTATTGACACAAGATTCATCGTGAGCAACAAAGAGGCAGGAGGCCGCAAATTGAGAGGGTCCTGCATCAACCGTTCGTAAATAGTATTTCCTGCTTTGGAGCGGGTCTACGTACCGCATCCAATACCTGACCGAGATTCAATGCCCATTTCAATGTGGACACTCTTCTTGGCCCCGAAGAAAAAATACATTTCATTTTCTTTTTCTTGTCCCCCAAACCTCAAAATGAAGCCCCCAATGGCATAATTCAGATTATGGAGACATTTACTATTGCTAGACCGAGTCAAGCCCGTACCGAACTAGACCTGCTTCCAGCAAGATTCCGGGCCGGCGCGTGGCCTCAGGCCGGACTAGCTAAACTCAACCAGTCCTTAGACCCGGAGACCATTGACAAGAGAAAAAAAAAAACGGCAGACGTTGATAATTTATTAGTAAATCAACCTGTCCATTTTCTCTGCCTCTCTCCACTTTGTCTGATCCCCGGTTCATGTTTCTTTAGCCTGTTCTGTGGAACTTGACCCATCAGACAAGCCGGAACGGATATAGAAACAAACCCAAGAAAAAATAACGGGCACAATTAAGTGGAGGATAAGAAGAGAATCCTGTTTTGATCAACACCAGGACTTGTCACGAGCCCAAGCCAGTTGGTAATGTCTAGTGTAGCATAGCCTTGTTACATAGGCCTCTTTTACTATGTATGCGGAATCACTCCGGTTGGGCGGTCAGTTGGGTACATACCGAGAGAGAGAAAGAGAGGGAGAGGAAGAGGGCAAAGACAAGAAAAGATGGCCGCTTTACGGGAGCGACAAGCCAGCAGAATAGCAACTGCAGTAGCGCTGTGGATTCACCTTCTAAACCAATCTTTCCTTCACTTCGTCTCCCTCTTCTTATTCTTCTCATGGATTACCATAGACAGTTAGTACTCATGGCTCTTATGTATACCATGCCCGAGCTAATATCGTCTTTCCAACGGTTTATAGGGCTCGGCAAGGGGGGCCCACCCCGGCGACTTGGCACATCTGGTTCGCCATGTGGGAGGTTCGGCAACCCGTGATGGCGTCGTCTGCATGTTTCCGTGGACATTTGCCCAGAGTCGCACTAGAGCTTATCAGCTTCAAGTGTTCCGATCTGCCAGCAATAATGCCATGGCAGAGATCGTGTGGCTGCATAAGTGAGGAAAGGGGAAATTGTTGACGTCAATTGCACCACATCGTTGCCAGTAAGGTCTTGTGTTGACAGATATAGTCACAGTGTATTAAGTGTATACACAACAGTCCCCATAATCTAACGCTGCTCCAGGCAGCTAGCAATTCTCCCTCCATTGCTCTTTCCCTTCAATCCATTGAATCATGTTAAATGAAATCCTTATTCCTCCAACCCCTTGTAAAAGACTTTGGATATGGTCCGGTATCGTATAATGTAAAAGGAGCCAATAAGCTCTTGAAGTGAAGTCGCCTGCTCAATGGACAGGGTATGCGATGTCGACGCCACGGGAAAATAATCGAGATTTCGGTTTCAAGGTGGGTATCCTGGAACATGAGTCTAGCTCTTGCTCTGTGTTGGAAAAAAAAAAAGTCCTCTTTTGTTTTTCCGTCCGTAACCCCGTAGATGATGAAAGAGAAGGGACAGAAAATCCAGCAAAACCCTCCCAGAAGTGTCAAGTACTGTGGTCCGTTGAATCGTAAATATCTCAGGGTATTGTTTCTGTTCAATAAGTATTATTAGGTTGTCTGCGGTCGCGAGCGTACCCAGCGCTGCACAGCCCGTAGACTTGGGTCTTCTGCCGTCCAGCGGCCCATGTTTGCGTCCGAATTTCGAAGCTCTTGGTAGATCGTCTCGTCCGTGATCTGTGCAAGTTCCTTTTGCAACACGTTAGCTGTGATGCCCAGGAATTCTAGACCACTTTGATGCGCGAATGTATTGCAGTCAAAAAAAACCATCAACCACTCACATTACGCAGTTGCTCGTCGCAGGCGCGCAACTGTCTTCGGTTGGTGGAAGACGGCCGTCCGTCTTGGAGGAACTGCACTCGGTATTCGATCCATCTCTGGGCTGCAGCCTGGCGGAGATAGATCTTCTGTGCCTCGTGTCGTCGTGCAAAAGCGTCTAGTGTCACCCTGGCATACCGTCAGTGGCCTTGTCCTGCTCGATGGTGTTTACCTTGGCGGAGAGACATACTGCTGCAGCTCGGCCTTTGCCTGTTCATCCTCACCCCCATTAGACCGCGGAACAGAAGTGTCGGCGGCACAATTGAGGATGTGCTGCCCGTCGAGTGAACACTGTCGCAGCGCTGCCCACCCTTCCGTGTAGTAGTCCTCGACGTTTGGCGGCTCAGAAGGGACCGCCGCGATGTAATACTGTAATGTTCGAAAGTCGGACAGTATCTCTGCAGCCCGTGCGGTGCGATACTCGTTCACTGCCGCAGTGGTCAGGGAGGGGCTCTGTGGCGTTGGCGATATAGTAGAAGCAGGAGAAGAACCATCCATAATCCCGATATGGTAACAGGGACCGCAGATCTCGCTGGCTGTTTCTTTCTCTCTTCCTTCTGGGTGATTTTGTTTTTGAGTACTTACATCCGTCCATCCTCTCGAAAGCACTTAGACGAGACAGAGGGTGATAGGGTATTATTAAATAGTGTCACTGACTCGTGTTCTTCGAAGGGTCGGGCTAGCCTAACGGTTTCGGCGGTAGGGTTACGTGACTGTTCAGGCCCAACTATCGAAGAGGACCGGAAGCTTGTGATAGAGCGCGGAATTTGCTATCAGAATTGTCAAGAACGAAAAGGGCAATGAGCGGCGGATAAAAACTGGCGACGGCTCTGCGAAGGAATAAGGCACCACCTGCTGGAGGAGACGATGATTGAGATGTGACCGCTTGAGTGGCTCCATGATGCATGATGGGAGGCGAATTCACTTGGCTTTTGTACAAATTGACACTTCTCGAAAAAACAGGCTGTCATGATCACAGTCATGAAAACGTGTTGTTGTTGTTCAAGTTCACGATGCTTGAGCTAGGCAGGCAGAGGAGAGGTTTGGGCTGCTGAAGAAGTGTGCATAGCTCGTGTTACTTGGCATCCACCGGCCAATGCAGCCACAACGTGAACCAAGAGAGCTACATCGTCATCATCATCCATCTCTTCTTCATGGTCAGCTACCTTGACCACCACCAAGGCGTGCCGGGAGGGTCCATCTCTGTCGAATCGGAGATATCATGACCGCAGCACATCCCTGATCATCGCGTGCGAGGGCAAACCCGAAGCATCCTTGAGAAGCTGTGGAATGGGGACAGATAGTTGTGCGATGGGAAAGCCCCCCCGGTTAGCAGCCAATCTGCCTTGCGACGGTTGCGGGTCGTAGGGAGGGGAGGGAAAACCGTTCCCGCTATGGTGTCTCGGTTTCAAGCGTACAAGCCCATGAGATACTGGGCGACGCCAGTTGAGGAGTGCCGTTTACCGACATGCCCGTGGTCCATAATCCACTCTGAGGGTGTCAGTCAGCCAGTCATCCATCCATCCATCCATCCATCCCATGTATACCTAACGGGCTGGCTCCAGTATGACTGATAGAAGAAGGCTGAGGGGGCGTCAGACGAGAATTGTAGCCGTCAAGGCCCATCTGCTGCTGCATTACTAGTAAGAAAACGCGACCTTGTGCCAGGAAGGGGAAAGGCAGGACGATAGTTCAGCAACGCCACGAGGACATTGGAGCCAAATGCAGCCTGGTAGTGAAGCGCATCTTGACAAGACGTGCTGAGAAAACGGTGTGGACCGCAAGAACATCATACGTGACACGACCAATCAGAGCGCGCAATTGGCCTTGGACGCAGGTTCGGGCTCAGCTGAAAATGAATATTTTTGGCAGTAGCGTAGCACCTGCATTAGAGACTGGGGGCAACCACCAAGAGGGAAGGGATGTAGTGGAGGAAGGCAATGGCATACCAAGAATGCATGAAACAAAAGGAATTTTGGTCCCCAGAAAAAAAAAAAATAATCAAAGAATACAACCCCCCTTATCAACATCAGCTGGTCATTATATTGAAAAATAATCATTTGCATACACATAAGAGCTGGACAATGTTGTGTCAAGAATGAACCCATCATTGATTACAGATACTTGAAGACATGGTACATGCATACACTGATTGATTGATACTCCAAATCATGTTCAACCACCCCCACTGCCGGCCGCCTGTACTCAGCTCGGCATGGTAAAACTGGCATGTAACCATGATGATGACGGAGTACTGGCTGTCAGTGCGGTTGGTTCACTCTTGGGCCCTACGCTAGTTATTAGTCAGTGGTTTTTTTTTTCTCCCTTTGCTTTTGGCGTATATACTACCTATCATACCTAGCTGAATATCAAGTGATTGTGGATAGATTTCGGTATTTCTGATATATTGCATGAAGCCAAGCTTAGCATAAGGTTTTCGTTCCTCGTAGACTGGCAAGTTAAAAATGAGGACTCAAGAACTTGATTGCAAGTGCAACAAGCTAACCTAGCTGGCTGGTCGGCTCAGAGATCAATTGCCGGTCTTTGTGCAAAACCATCTAGCAATTGTCTGTATTTCACAATACATAAGGTATGCATAAACAATGCCCACATAAGAATAACAAAGCAAAACACATAGAAAACATGATATGTGGTAAAGTAAAAAGATAGATATGCGACGTCATAACTTTGTCCTTGTTGGAGGCACACTCAAATCATGCAGGTCAGAAGCAATGGTAAGACGCCAGCTTGCTAGTACCTGCCGCAACCCACACATAATCCCGTCGCTTCTAGCCGACCCAGTAAGAAGGATCACATTTAACGCATCAAGGCTGAAGCAGCCGAGCATGGTTAAATTTTTTTTTTCTTAGCAAAGATTTCAGCTACTAGCCTTACGAGGCTGGCTGCCGTTACGCCATGGGTTCCCTCATCAGCACACTCTATTCGCAGACCCAGTCTATTGGGATATTGCAGAATGACACTAGTAGTAATGTTGACACGAGGTGTTTGAAGAACACGTTGTTGTAATGTGCTCCACAAGCCTCCAGATTATCTTGCCGCGGTCTTGGTCAGCAAGTAGGCTTTCTCCCTGCCCTGGTCAATGTACCTAGTAACTCCACGCCCTACACCTCAGCCATCTGACCCCTGAATCTAGTCCTTGTCGGCTATGGCTTGTAGCCTCTCATCAATCTCGTCCTCTGTGAGAGTTCTGAAGCCGGGACTGGGGCCAGGCTTGCCGTCTGCTCGAGGACCTCCAACAAGACCAATCTCAATCTCACCCTTCTTGAAGTCCATACTCAGCACCGTGCTTAGCGTGGTGATGGCTAGCTCCACGACATCTTCCCATGTGCCGTCTGCATGATCCTTGTTCTTGAGCTTCTTCTCCAGGTGATTGAGCGCCTCCTGCTGCTTGGGTCCGGCAGCTGTGCCCTTGTATCCGACGTAATATCCAGCCGGGTCGCACTTGAACAGCTGAGGGCCAAACTCGGCGTCGAGAGAAATCAGTGTCGTTGCTACACCATAAGGTCTCATGTAGGCCTATTATTAGATGTCAGCAAGAAAAGGTTGATATACGGAGACAGCGAACAGTGCCAGCCTTGCCGCTATCGCACTACCAGCACTTACTCTTTGTGTGTAAACTTGACTGATGTTGGCCAGTCTCTTGGCCAAGACATCACAAGGCATCTCGTAACCATACTTGTACTTGAATTCAGCAGCCTCGCCCTGAGCCCGCTGTGCAAAAGCCCTGGCGTCTGCAATAGAGCCCGTCATGACACAACCCACGGAAGGCGAGAGCTGGAAGATGTGCGATACCGAGGACGGGTCGATCAGCTTGTCCTGTAACGTAACAAGTCAGATTGATGTCCAGCACAAACGACCAGATCCTGGACAGTCAGAATCTCTAAAGTGGTGATCACGTACGGGAACCTTCTTCTGCGAAAGTACGACGGCGCAGTCCTTGCCTCGGACACCTATTGCCATAATGTTGGCAGCTGTGATTGCCTTGAAGGCATACTCTGTATCATGATATGCCGTCAGCCTGCCATTCTGACCTCATCTTCCGGTTTTGCGCACAACCGTCATCTTTCGAGCCGATGTTGGTGGCATGTTGTCCGCCCGTGCGATTACTACATACCGACTTGATACAGTCTACCCTGATCAGAGAAGATGGTGATGTGTCGGTCGAAACCAGCGCTGCCTGTACCCAAAGTTCCATGATTAGCACCTGATTGCTAGCCCAGAGATAGTGACAGTTTGGTGATAGCCGTCTCTCGAATGCTTAGATGTGACGTTTACTCACCCGACATCTTGGCGGAAGCTGTGGGGTTTGGCGGCTTAGAAGAAGAAGGATTGAAGCTCTTGTGAGGTCACAGTATTTCTCAATTTTTGTTTGAATCGTGCAGAATGCAGTTGGTCGTGAAGTCGTCAGTTGTGTGGAGGTTGATGGTGTTGGTGATGGAAAGAGGGAGGCTGTAAGTAGAGTGACAGGCAGTTAGGCAAGGCGATGATGTGAGCTCGCCAGCCTTGGGGGCATTGGGGCAGCTGAGACGCGTTGCTTGGAGCTTGCCTAGAAGCACTGACTGAGCATTGGACCTGGACAGCTGCTGGCGGGTAGAAGCTCTGGCCAATTGACCAAGAGCTACATCAGGTACAAGAGTACATGCACTCTCTGCTCTGTATGAGGTAAGCAAGTGCCCGGGTGTCGGAAGAAGAGAAGTTCCCTCTCATCCCGCCAAAGTGGGTCATGTTACCAGCGCAGTTCAATATGCCCCACCAAAAAAAAAGGTTGCATACAGCGAATGATGCTCGCGATAAGTGACGATAAAGAATGCCTAGCAGATTTTCAAGTCTTCATTGGCAGCCGTCCTTCAATTGCCCAACGACAACGCCCAACTAGATGCGCCGCTTGTGTATCTCCTGTCGCTTGCTTGCATAAACGATCGCCGGTTCCAATCGAGATCCGGGAGGAAACGGCTTGATTTTTTCAGTCGCATCGAGTTCCAAATTGGCGAGCAGCTCGGGATTCGCAAAAACATTGGCAGCCCATCCAATCTATACCCTGCGAACCATTGGAGCCAGCAAATCTGTAGTCCTCGCCTTACCATTGGAAGACTTCTTGTGTGGAAACTGCAAGTTTCAGTCTCTTGCATCGCCGCAGTGCATTTTCGGCTTCCTATTTCCCCCCTCCTTCATCTGCAACAAAAACGTCTCGCTCGCTTGCGACTGTCATCATGTCGTCAGACGCCCGTGTTCCGGCCTGGAAACGGTTGGGCCTCAAGCTTAAAGCCGGCGCCGATACCCAAGCAGACAGCGCTGCTCCCTCACAAAAGAGCATTGCCTCTCCCGATACAACCCCTTCTGGCTCGGCCAAGAGAAAATCCTCGGGACCATCTGCGCAGGACCCCTATGCGAAAAAACCGAGAAGGGAAGACACCAACAACGCAACGACTGCGAAAACGAAACCCAAAACTCCCAAATCCGTATCGTTTGCTGCCGAGACCGAGGAGCTCGCCCCGCCGAAGCCTGCGACCAACGGCCAAAAGGTTCCCAAGAGGCAGAAGCAGAAGTCGGAAAAGCCCATAACCGAGACGCCCAAGGGCACGCAGCCCAATACCGCCGTCAAGCCCTTGGTCAAGAAGCAGAACGCCGTCGCCAACTTGCAGTCCGCCATTGAGTACCTGCGGCAGTGGCATACCGCGCGTGACTCTTGGAAGTTCAACAAGAACCACCAGACGAGACTTCTCGAGTACGTCTTTTCCGACGAGACGACCATCCCTGCCGTCGACATCAACGTCTTCTACGAGTATATTAGGCCCTTGAAGGGCTTTGTCAGGAAACGCTTGCGCCAGACCGCGGCCGAGGTCAAGAGCAAGGACATGGAAAAGGGAAGCGAGGCTTTCTCCGCCTCTGGCAAAGAGGCAGCTGCTAGGAAGCAACAGGAATATGAAGGTGTCATTGCAGGCTACCTCGAACAAGAGAGGACGCCGGGGAAGAGGAGGTTTGAGGAGATGGACTACGTCCTGCGAACTGCCGACATGGAGATGCAGAGGCGAGTCGTGAAGCGCATGCGTGCGGAGATGATCCTCGACGAGCTTCCAGAATCTGACGACTCTGAGAGTTCGACGGGTACGGCCACCTTGACGGAGACAGAGACGGAGACGGAAAACACGACCGGCGAGGGCTCGGCAGAAGGACAGGCCGCAAATAGCGAAGGTGACAAGAGGATAAAGCTGAACGACGGCTCGCAGCGCAGATTACGAAGAAACAAAGTGCGAACAGCCGAGGTGGAAGACGACTCAAGCAGCTCCTCCGAGGATGATTCGGACTCGGAATCAGACACCACCAGCAGTGGTAGCGAATCCTCATCAGACGACGAGTCAGACTCGGAAAACGCCATGGATGTCGACCCGGCACGAAATGAAGAAGAAACATCGTCAAGCAGTAGTTCTTCGTCATCCGAATCAGATTCAGATTCTGACGATGACTCTAGTGAAGAGGAAGCATGATCTTTGCATGTCTCTAGGCGTTGGCAAGGTCAATGTACAAAGGTGCCACCCTTGCGGATACGGTTGGACAGTTGCTTCGATGGTGTGAAGCATGGGTCATATAGAATATAGCGACTTAGATAGTCTTGTGAGACACTCAAAGCTCATGTGTAAAAGTGCGTATCATGGTCAAGGTATTGATTTCCAACACGTCAGCTCGCTGTTATAATTATATAGCTTTCAACTTCTCTCGCAGGAATAAGCATGATCCAAACGCCGGCTCGTCTGTTTTGCACACCCGTGATGGTGGCTCGAAAGAAACAAAAAGTTAACTCCGCCCTTATATGGCATTAGAACTGCAGCGCTTCTAGTGATGGCTTGTCTACTATAACCTCTGCAAATCGTAATGATGCACAAGAGGGTAGTAGGAATCATACCACCGGGGCCGCAACGGCGATCTTGTCACGTGTGATTCAAAGTCGCCGGGTGTGAGCTGGCCTCCACCGGTAATGATGCCCCAAATATATTTGTCCATATGAGGCCCATCGTCAAAGCCGCGACAGCTACCGCCCTCTCCTCAGCATCGCTGATCCTGTCGCCATTCGGCTGTTGGTCACGATTTCCATCCTAGATATCGTTGACTCCATCTCCTAATGGTTCGTAGTCGTCTTCCGACGGGAGCAACCAAGCAGAGAGGGCAAGGAGCGCAGCAATAAGCACGGAGACGCTGGCACTGACAGTGCACAAAATCCAGGACCATCCAAGGCTCCAGTCACCCGAAGTGAACTGTTGGTCATTATTGAACAGATAGGCCTACACATATTGTGTCAGTATTTCTCTTGGATGTGTTTGCCAAAAGGACACTTACCACCAAGCCCATCCCAGCAAACTCTATCGCAGCATCGACCAGAAGCAGTCCACCAACCAACTTCCAGCCATCTTCACGCTTGAACTTGCCGCCGGCCATGACAACGATGAAAGAGACAAGTGTAGCAAGCTCGACAATCGTAGCAAAAGAAAGCAGGAAGCCAGAGCTCCGCCACATGGAGCAAAAGAACTTGTCGTCGGCGCAATCGTCATCATCGGGGAATGGCCTACATGCTGGGTCGCTGGCGGAGGTACAGCTATGGTGCAAGCCGAGGGTATGTCGGAAAGTTGTATCGGTGTTAACGTTGTGGACTTCGTAGTCCAGCCAATGCGTCGTTAATATGGACACAATGGTGAGTATGGTTGCTGCCGAGAAGTAGACATGTCAGTTATGGTGCAGTTCTGATAAAGCTCGGACGTCTATCCATGCTGCCTCGATGCAGGCACCAAAGGCTCTGCAAATGTGGTATTTGAGAGGGTTGTTTTCCCCTCCCTCAGATTTCAAACCAAATCGCAGCACAGTATCAAGTCAAGTGATAAAGGGCATTGCGCTGGCTATTAAATCTGTTGTGTTGCAAATAGTGCGATGGTGGTGAGGGAGGAGACAATGACGTACCCACGATGAAGACGGATAGCGCCGCGCCATAGACTACCATGCGCGTCATGATGGGCTCTTGTCTTTTGGGGGCGCTGCTATGTAGTGATGTTGAATTATATGCTCATAACACTTATTCTCAACAAGGAGAAAGTGAAGAATGGCTTGATGAGGAGAGAAATGTGTGGTATAGTTGAAAATTTGTACGTTGTGGGCGGTGTGGTGATTGAGTCGTGGTTGTACGATGTTGCAGGCAGATCAAGATCGAAATCGTCAGTCTTCCTTCCCCATGGGCAATTTTGGAGTCTGAGCGAAGAGCTACGCGGGATTGACGAGGCAGGCGTTTTTTTTTTTCATAGGGTAGGCGCCTTTCCCGACTGATCATGTGTGGCTGGGCAGGAGCAAAGCGCCCGAAAGCAGCACTGAGCCCACTGCAAACTGCAGCTTCCAAGCTCCCGACATTGCTGTTGTGACCAGGGGGTGCCTCCAGAGGTCACACGAATCACCAATCGTCCTCGTGCGATAACGAGAAAACAAAATGCAATTTCTCTTTTCGATGTGAGAGCATCGTACTTTGGATACGTATTGGACATGCGAGCAGACAAAACATACCACACATTGTTGCGAATCAGTGGTGACTGATGCATTTCCCCAAAAAACAGGCTGGTCGCTTTTTGGTTCTCGTTATAACTTTTTTTCCCTTACACCTTTGCCTCTTTTGCCTGGCCTTCTCGAGGAAACTTCGTTTCCAGTATTAAATCGCTCGTGCGAGAGCATTTGCCGTTAGTATATCTCTATCTTTGGGAACAGTGGATGCGACTACCATCGACACGTTCTGTATGCACACATTGCAAGTACTACAAAGATGAACTGTCCACAACCCCAGCCTTGTATTTGCCGTTAGCCACCTCATAAAACGTCGTGTCGCCTGAACTGCCCGCAGCTTCAATTTCTTTGCATTATGATTTCCGAGCATCTACACAATGAGGTAGAAGCCAATGAGACAAAGCTACCACTCGCGATAAGGTCTGTAGCTTCATGTAAGCATCATTTTAGGGTCCAGACAGCTTTGCTTTGACTGCCAACCTCAAGCTATATACCTACTCATTGGAACATAGTGGTAGGTAAGTACCTAGCTAATAAGTCAGCTTTGCTAATAACGGTTACTCGTTTGTGCTTGGCTGATAACGTTATCAGGTCGACCAGTGCCAGTCACCCTACGTCGCCAGCCAAGCTCAGATCCTGAGGTAGATCTTTGGAGTCAATGTTTCCCATCCAAGCTTTTAGATCTCTTGTGGCCGATCAGCAAGGATGCACCACAACCACGTTCAGATGATTGCGATGAACAAATTTGGATTCTCTTTCGAGTATCAGATTTTCGTCGCAGGAAACCTCACAGCAATTGAAAGCAATGACATATCTTTGGTCTGTCTCTTTCAGCTCGCTAAACGTCTCATACGAGACTGCAGTGTAATGACGCCGCGCTACGAATCACCTTTGACTCGCACTAAATGGACCCTCCAAGCGACTCTTGTCATTCATCGTTGACGTTTTCTCGAGAGCCCCCCTACTCAGCATTTACCGCAGGTCCCGCTCAGCATGATTGATCCAAAGCAAGCGAAGGCACTTTGAATGATGCTTGCTTGTCAGCTTTGTCAGCTATGTCTGGAATAGTTTCATAGCATGAGGTTTATTCGGGATTTTGCTATACGTCGACTTTTAAGGTTTCCACACAAGTGACATGGCGACAGCACGTCCCCAGTTTCAACTTCTCGAAGCATTCTCATCGCAAGAACAGACCCAACTCAGTCGGCCGATAGAGGCGTCGAGGCTGCTGGGATATTTATAATAGCCAAGACGCCAGTTCCACATGTATGGATACGTTTCGGCAATGCAACGAATGCGCTCAAGGACTACGGCAAGCACGGCCTCTCCTCTGGATTCTCTCTCTTTTTTTCCCCGTGCATTTCTGTTGCAAGTTACCACGCTCTGGCTGCCCATAACCCATCACATAACCTGCAGGTTCCTGCTGGGAGTTAAACCGAAACCAGATGAAACCACATTCTGAGCAATGTTGCAGCAAGCAGTCCAACTGACTGGATGAGCTAGTTGGTATCGACAAGCCCTTGGGGGCTAAGAGAAAGAGAAAGACACACTATTTTCACAGGACGTACCTTAGTGACTAACGTAGCAGCTACCGTCAGTGCAGCAAACTCGCTCATAGTCAATGCGTCAACATTCTCTCCACCAGATCGAAGCAGATCTAGGTCGTGCCAGCCACGAGGCCAGTGATTGGGGATTCAGGGAATTTGGGACCCCCGAGTCCAACCCCGCGCTGCGGCATCAAAGCTGCAGCAGGAAATACGCCGAGATCTTCTATCATCAAGTTAACTTTGAACTTCCCTGGATCGGTCCTTGCTATTCACCGCCTACACCTCCTCCAGCATAATATACGTTAGATCGGTACATGCCCCATATTTCTTTGCTCTGGTGTGCCTGGTATCTTCCCTTGTTTTTTCTATGGTACAATACGGCTTATAGAAATTTCTAGCAACTGGTGTGGGCACCAGGCGAAGAACCTCTATAACAGCCAGTATTGAGCAGCACAAAATATATGGGAGAGTACGTGGTAAATCACTGGATTCAAATATGGGGCTTGGTACCGATCTAACGTTTATAATGCTGGAGGAGGTGTAGTCGCCTGGTAATCCTGTCTAGCAGTCTTCCAATCACCACTCGCGACGCCCTAGGCTTGGATTGTGATAGCCATGCGGGTCATCCCATAGCCATGCAAGTTTCTCCAAGGGTGCGTTGCATTCAGGCCAAACGAGCAGTACGCATGCTGTAGCCTACCCAGCACTGCCAGCCTACCTCACCCAAGTTAGAGCCTCCCCCATCTGAACCAATTGGCCGCGACCAATGATCTCCAGGGCTTGCGACCGATATAGAAATGCTTTTGGCAAGGTCTCGATCACGCAAGAACGCGCCCACCAGACGTAACGGTAATGCCCGACGCGAGACCCCTAAGGCCCTGATCGGCAAAATCGTTGGAAGCCTACATACGTTATTTTCTGGTCGTTCGGATCCTGTGACGGTCCACGCCAAGTGGTCCGTGCTGGCCAGCCTGGCTGCACGGGCCACGGGCCCGTCCCCCACCGGCTTATCCGTAGCTATTGATAAAACTGTTCCGTAGCCGAGGAGTACCTTAAAGCTCCTCGTCTTTAGATCAATACTAAACCATAGGGTATACATGGCAAAGCCCATTCTTGTCCGTTGGTGCCGTAACAGATCCCACATCCACGCTAAAAGATAAAAGAAAATGCCTTAAAAAATAGCGCTATACTTATTTTAATAATAGGAAATATCCGAACGAATATAATAACTTATTCGTTATTTTATGCATTATTATAGGTAAATAACGTATATATTTTATTAGCCGGGGGCCTTTAAATACGTAAATCTTTATTTAAAAAGGCAAAAAAAACCTAATTTTAGCAAAAAATAGCATATAATAATATAAGCAAATAATACCGCTCGAATCGGGGTTATTAGGATTTTATATCGTTATTTTCGAGTATTATTTATTTATATATTATAATTTATCGCAAAATTATTAATTACGATAAGCCGGCTAAAATAAAAGGTTCGCAAAGCTGCGTTTATAATTATTATTTTAGCTGTTATTTACGTAATTAAAAATAATTTATTATTAATTAACGATAAAGCTAAAAAAAATAAAAAAAGCAGCAAAAACGATAATAATAACAAAAACAAAAGCGATAAGCGTAATATTATAAAAAAATAAATTATTAATTTAAACGGGTTATAAATTACGCGAAAATTAGCAAATAATTATTTTTAAAAGTTTAATAAGCGATTTTTTAATTTATTTCGGATAAATAAGCTTATTTTTTGGAAATTTTATAATTGGCTTTATAAAAATATAAATTTTAAGCTTATAAAATACTAATTTATATTTTAAAAGCTGCTAATTTTTTTTATAAATTATAAATAGCAATAAAAATTAAAGGAATACCGTTTATAAATTTAAAATCGCATAAAATATAATTTCCGATATAATTAATAATATATTAAATTAAATAATTTAATTATATATCGCGTTTATTCGTTAGCTAAATTTAAATTACTTTTTTTTAAAAATTAAATTAAAAAAAGCAAATAAAGCTTTTAATAAAATTATTAGGGTAATTAATAAAATTTATATATATATTTATATTTCCTATGCGAAATAAAAGGTTTAAAAAAATAAAAAAGGCTTTATTGCGTAAAACGTATTTGCCGTTATTCGTTTTAGCTAGTTTTAAAAAGGCTAAAGCTAATGCTTTTATAGCCTATTAAATTTATAATAATAGCTTCCGAATTCTTTTTAATAGATTTTACCTGGCTAATAATAAATTTGCCGCTAAAAATAAGCAATTAATCTTATTTTTAAATATGCGTTATTATTTGCAAAATTAACGGTTAGCAAATCGCCTTTTAAAAATTATAAAAAAGCTTTATAATTTACGTTATTCGCGGTTTTATATAAACGTTAAAAAAGCTTTTAAGCTATTAAAAAGGAAATTTAAAATTATATGGGCTATAGCGCTAAAATATAAAATTCGCGAATAAATCCGGATAATTTATACCGTTAGCGTTTTATATAATTTTATTAAAATAAAAGGCGATCCGAATTTTAATTTTAAAGCGTATTTAACGGATTAATAGCGGCAAATTTTTGCTAAGCGGAAGGTTAAGCTTAACGGCAAATTTATAAGCAAATCCTTTTATTAAATCCGATACCGAATTATTATACGCAGCTAGCGAAATTAGCAAAATTATTTAGCTAAAAAAAAGACGATAAAAATAAAAAAAATAACGAAAAAAATTAATAATTAGCTATTAATTCGTAAATTTATTATAAAGCTAATAATTAACGTTAATTAATTATTTTTAAAATTAATTAAGCTTAATTAATAATTATTAAGCTCCGGGGGCCTATTAATTAATAATTTATATTTTAAATTTAATTATATATTACGCATTTATTTTATATATTATAAAATTTTTAATAAATTATATAAAAATATTTTTTTAATTAATTATAGCTAGCTAAATAAAGGTATTAGCGGTATAAATTAAAATAAATAACCGGTATATATCTTATAGCTTTGCTTATAAAAAATCTAATAGCATTTTTTTTATAAAAAATATTATAATAGCTAACGTAAATTATATATTAGGATTTTATATTATTGCTTTAGCAGTATTTTTAATATTAACGCTAAGCTTAAAAGCATTATTCGACGCGGATACTTTTTTTTTTTACGGATAAAGCTGTTAATTTCCGTTTGCGACTAATAAACAGAGTTTCCTCGGGTTTAGAATTAAAAAATATCGTTATATTTAAATTTAAATTAAATTTAATTATTTAATAAACGCGTTTTTAGGCCTTATTAAGCGGAGCGGGTATTTTAAAATTATTTTTTTCGTTAATAATAATTAAATCGAGCTATATAAATAAAATAAGCTATATTATTATAGGTTCGATTTTTAAATTATTAATAATATCGTTTTTCCGCCTATTTTAGCTTTTATTAAATATTACGATATTGCCGTCGGGCAAAATATTACTTTTTTAACCTGTTTCGCGGCAAATTATATTTTCGGCTTTTTTTTGCTAAAATACTTATATAAATAATTTTTTATTATTTATAAGTTTTATATAAAGCTATTTTGCTTTAGGGTTTTTATATAAAAACGCTATTTATATTTTTTTAATTAAAATTAAGATCCCGTTTTTATTTTTTATAATATTATTTTTATTATTTATTAACGTTAAATAAATTCGCTAGCGCTATTTAAGTATTTTATAAGCGTAAAATAACTTAAGCTTAATAAAATTTTATATAAATTATCGAGTTTTTATATTAACCGCGATAAAATTAAAAGCCCGTTTAAATTTAGCGTTTTTTTGCATTTTTAATAGCTTATTAATAATAGCTTTAATATATAATTAAATAAATATATCTTTTTATTTATCGGTTATCCGCAAACGCATTTTATTAGCAGCTAAAATTTTAACGCTATAATTCCGTTTGCTATAAATATTAATTCGCGGTATTTAAATGCTTTATTTAGCTTTATTTTTTGCTAAGACCTGTTAAAAGTTATTTTCCCGCTAATTTTGCGGTATATTAATTTTAAAAGAGGAATTTATATTCGTAGATTTTATAAATAAATTTAATCGATTTATATTATGGCCCGATTAATTAAAATCTTTAAAAATAATAAAATTCGGTATTAAACCGGTAAATTTAACGTTAAAATAGCTATAATAATTGCGATTCGCTTTAATACTACTATATTAATTAATCCGAATCTTTATTTTATAGCGATTATTTATAAATTAATATTTTTAATAGCTAAATATATACGATCCCTTTTTATACCGCCTTTTATTTCTATTATAATCTAGTTTTTATTCTAATTAAATTATAATTAAAGTAAAAACGGCATCTTCCATGGGTACAACCTCATTATCCACTTATTATTATGCATCGATTTTATACCGTAGGCAGATAACACCAGGCGTTATTTCTCCCAGCCGATCAGGGCCTAAGGAGAAGAAAAAATAAAATTCCAGAACCAAGAGCAAAAGCCCCCCCTGTGCCCTGGCATACCATCCCCAGAACAAGTCTACTTGCTACAGTGCATAGCGGCCGGTCATGAATCATCGCATTCTTGGTGCGCCATATCTTCCAGGCCGAGCTTAGAAATACTACCATTGTCCAGGTACGAAGTACGCGAATATTGCACGCCGATCCTGCCGCAGATACCCTACGAGCCTGGCTGCTGCTAAGAATTGCGACGGTGTCTAACGGAAGCCCGAGCCGCGGCCTATCTCCATGTAGCTCCATCCGTACACAGGCATCTCTTGCTTACCTACCCATGATCTCTTGGAGGATATAGCTTTATCTGTGTCCTCGCAATTATTTTCCCCCTGGCTTCTCCTTCCTCTTCTTCTCAACATCTGTTTCACTTGTGTGGACGGGACTGGGATACACGACCAGCCTCTGGGCCTATTCTTGTATATTTTCGGCCTTGGCGCTTCATCTGCCGGGATCTGCCGAAGTTCGGCCTACGTATACACGCTTCGAGACTGAAACGAGCCGCAATTAAATTCGTGCACGTATCGTCCTGGAATTAGATCCGCGGTGTCAACGCTATCAATTATGGAGATTTGAGCTGATACAAGCTCGATTGGAAGTTTAGATTGTTGTTAGCATACAACATTCTCAGATAAAGTCCTGGAAGAAGCTGTCTCCGATCAGACTCGACGACAAGAAGCCGTCAATTGAGCCTGGAAGACGTGCCGTACACATCTTATCATATCCATCAGACACTCGGCCATACATAGAAAAAAACGGAAACATGGTCGATCATCACCCAGTCCAGACGAGCGCCGTCTTCCTGTGTGGACCGGCAGCGCCGCAACGTACCCTCGTCCCTCCACCATCTCCTCCTTCGCCGCTTACACCAAGCGCAACCGGACCAGCGACACCCATTGAGGAATTCTGCTTGGATGATACTCTCTCGGGCTCCTTTGTGGAAGAAGACCCCCGCGTGAAGGAGAGGATCTCGGGAGCGATACACGTCCTCAACACTGAAGCGACATCATTGCGCAATCTCACCACATTGTATGAGTCAGACCCCATCATTGGCGCTGGTTTCAATTCTGCCATTGAAGCCATCACGAGGCACCGAGGTAGGAAGGGCAAGGTGGTCGTCATCGGTGTGGGCAAGTCGGGACATATCAGCAAGAAGCTGGTAGCAAGCTTCAACAGTCTTGGTGTCAAGGCCGTTTATGTACACCCAACCGAGGCCCTTCATGGCGATCTGGGCGAGATTGGCAAGAATGACACGGTTCTCTTCATCACATTCTCGGGCAAGACGCCGGAATTACTCTTGCTCCTCCCACATATCGACCCAGCTCTTCCCACAATCGTTCTCACGTCACACACGAGGCCCGAGACGTGCGAGCTGATCAAGCAACGACCGGGCATGATTCTTCTATCGGCGCCGATTCACGAGTCTGAGACGGCTTCATTCGGTGTATCTGCACCTACGACTTCCACAACCATGGCAATTGCAGTTGGCGATGCGCTTGCGATTGTTGCTTCGAAAGAACTTCACGCAAGCGTGTCGGCTACCTTTTCACGCAACCACCCTGGAGGTGCCATTGGTGCAACATTCCAAAAGCCCTCAAAGATTGCTGATCTTGCGACGCCACTCTGTGAAATCGACTCGATTTCATGCCGGAGCCTTCTCGAAGTTCGTGGTGCCGATGTGATGAAAGCGGCTTACGACTCAACTACTGGATGGGTACAAATCGGCGACCTGATTGCGTCGCCAAGCCGCATCAGACGTCTCGATTCGTCTGATTTCCTTCAACAGCTCTCTGACTTGCCGGGACTAGGGGCAAGTCGAGAAGAATGGATCACAATGTCGGCCGACACGAGAATATCGCAGGCAAAGGAGTGGGTCAGTGACATGCGATCATCACCTGAGGAAGAATGTGATGATCACTCCATCCTGGCCGTTATCGAGGGCGACAATGTTGTTGGCGTGTTAGAGGCTGGACAGCTATTGAGCTGGCAGGAGTAACGACATGGATATCATGAGAGCATGATTTATTTGTTTCCTTGGATTCGAGCATTTGTAACATTTCGTTAGAGCGGCTTTATTACTCGCGGTCCCGATGGGACGGACGCGCAGCGAACAGCATCACAATTTAGACTCTCGTTTATGAGACTGCGGGGAATTACCCTGCGTGATACGGAGTTTAGGAAGATATTTGAGAGATAAACCTGATGGCAGGTTTTCATTCATGAGTGGATCTCATTTGGTTTCTTGGTCCCACAACAAAAGTTTGTGGGCATCAGCGAGCGCTATATACTACTTTTTTGATTTAGAGAAACCTGCATGCATTTTGTCTGCAGAGTTAATTGATCGATTTCTCGTACCTACGAGAATACTCAACTCAATATTCATCCTAGCTTCTGAACCATGAACGGTCTCTGCTTTCGACATGTTGTTGGAACGTATTATGTTAGTGGTGAGTGTTTAGGGAACATGATCTCCAGTGCCACACACATTGGTGATCAGCTCGGGCTAGAACTATCGAGGCTACGATCCGGAATTTCAAAGTTGTTGATCACGAGCTAACCACAGCTCGATTGTTTCTACTACGGAGTGTCTCCTCACATAGAACGCCACCCATCAGCGTCTTGTTTCTTCCAACGATGGGTCTTCAAGTCGAGATCCTCTTGGTTGACGCAAGTGTCTTGTCGATCCGCTGTAGCTTAGAGGACTTTGAAGAGTACACATGTCTTTCAAGTATTGATTGAACAAGGGTTTCGAAAAGGGGAAACCTGGAGAGTTCAACTGGTTTTGATCCTGTTTGCAAATGACACGCTGGCTGCCGGCCAACTCTAATACCTACCGGTGCGGCAGCCACTCGGGGCGACTAGAGTAAAACGGCTGTGGAGACAAAAGTCGCTCGGGGTTTAGAGAGAAGGGGACAAGTAAAAGTTCCCTAAACGGGTAAAAAAGATGAATTCTATGGCGTTGATCGACAGTGGGACAAGTGGAACTCGTCCTCATCGTTGGTAACGTATCATATTAAATGAAGTAGATGTGTATATGTGTATGTCGCCGGCATCTGCATCGTCGACTTGAAGCTGAAGCCTTATTGAACTCTCAGCACATTAGTGCTCCTCTACTCTTGATCTTGGAACCGATCTTCGAGACTCCGGAAACCTACCTCGAGTATCCCGCACAGCACTTGAACTCCTTGGAGCGGAGAGCGCACTCAGCTACCATAGATCCAAACTCTTGGCGCCCAGCAAGGAGACTTGTGAAACATGAGTATCTAGCTGCCTATAGCTACGGAGAGGGTTCCGACATTACTAGGTTTAGATAGTCAACCGCCCCATTATCCCAAAGCAAGCGTATGTAAGCAGCTGCGGGACATGATCGTCGCCTTGGACGTTGGCTCGGCAAAGTCACATGCAGGCAACCAGATTGCCTGCCGTACCTCTTTTTCCTCACCCTGACCCCTACTGCGGCTTACCCTATGTTCTAACTTTCCCCACGATGAGCCTTTTCTGCGAGCCATCTTTGCTGGTGGTACGAATCGTGATCCACCCACAAGCCGATGCGGGCGATCTTTTAGACTCGCCCGAGTCCCTGCATACCCGAACTTGGCACCATTACTGCACGTTCTCAGTAACGTCAAACTCTAAGGCTGGGAAGAGGATTCGGGCAAGGGATAGAAGCAACACTCACTCCAATCAAGCCCTACCGTCGCGCAGCCCTTGTAAAGTATGATTTGCTTGGATTTTCATGAGGTATGGAATCTTCGGGTGTTCTGGGTAATGTCTAGTTCTGTAGACACAAAGTATAAACGCGGCCAACTGCGCAACCAACTCGACTCGTTTGCGTCACAATGAGATGACTCGCTTGCTTTGGACAGCGGTGATTTCTATAGACCGTCTTTCGCAAATGTCACCCTTGACACAATATCTTGGTAGGTTCTCGCCACAACATCTCCATAAGCAGTCAGAATTGCCTAGGTGAAGCACCACATTCCCGACTCTACATGGGAGGGTGGGGGACAAATGATATACGAACCCGAATATATCCTCTTTTGTCTATTGCCATTTTTCTCTAAGTCATTATGTGCTCTTGAACTTCTCGCAAGAGTCGTTCATTTGCTTTTCCATTATCAAATCAAACAATGAGCAATTAGACCTACAGCAGCATATATTTTGAGCGTCCTTTACCGGAAACCCGCCGTGCCCTTTGCCCCCGCGTCCAAAGCCACCATCACCACACACGACCAGCCGCCGCAATGAGTCTCCTCTCCCCCCATTACGTGCTCCAGCCCGTGACCCAAAATGACATGATTGTGGCTTCCCTGGCGTGGGGTTTCAACATCGGGTTCGGCTGGCTCACAACGTGGACGGCGGCCAAGCAGACAACACGGGCCTGGAGGAGAAGTGGCCGTCACATGTTCCGCAACGCCTATGTGTGGATGATCTGGTTGGAGCTCCTAGTGTGCTTGATGTTTAGCATAATATGCTGGTTATATCTCCGCGGTGTCATACCGCCTTGGTACGTTTGTCCTCGGCTTCCTCCACCACTCTCCTACCCGTTTTCGTTGTGGGTAATTGCTGATTGTACAATGTATGCAGTTTCGGTTTTTATTTTGGCATTCGTAAGTCTCCGCCCAATCGTTATTTTCATAATCTGGTCAAATCTCATACATGTATATCACATCTCTAGTCACCTTGTGGGCTCTCCAGGTTCAGTTTCTACTACAAATCATCATTAACCGCTGTGCCATTCTCGTCCACGACCCGGCCGTCGTCTGGCGACTCAAGGTTGGCGTGGCCATCCTGATCACGGCCGTCAACGTTTCAGTCTACTTGATCTGGATCCCTGCCCGTCTACAAATCTCAGAGAGGTACATATGGATCAATGACCGGTGGGACCGTTGCGAAAAGGTGATATATTTGCTCGTCGACGCGGCTCTCAACATTTATTTCATCACCATTGTCTCGAAAAATCTGGTTCACAATGGACTGGACAAGTATAAGCGACTGGCCCGCTTCAACTTGTTCATCATTGGCTTCTCATTATCCATGGATGTACTCATCATTGGTATGATGAGTCTACAAAATACCTTTGTGTAAGTCTTGTCCAGAAAACAAAAGAAACATTAAACGTCACCCGAGAAGAAATTACATCATACAAGCAAAGAACAGGAGGTCCTAATTCTATTAATCAGGTACATGCAATTTCACCCCCTCGCATACACGGTGAAACTCAACATTGAAATGTCCATGGCCGACCTCATTGTCAAGGTGGCCAGGGCCAAGAACCGCAACAACATCAGCCACCCCTCCATGAGCCTCGAGGAGGGCGGCGGCTACGGCCACAGCAGCACGACATGGCGGTCCAAGATGCTGAGCTCTGTGCCGAGCAAGCGAGGCAAGTGGTACGGGCACAATTACACAACGTCCGAGGCGACCCCGACGGCGCACGACAACATGGAAATGTCCAATATCCCGGCAAACAACACGACGACGACGACGACGACGACGAATGCTAGCGATGAGAACCGGGATGCCGCCGCGAGGGACAACAAGTCCATTTACACGACGCGGGAGGTGCACGTCGAGTTTGAAAACGCGCCGCAGAGGCCAGGGCACTGCTGGCCTAGTCATTATGGTGGTGTACCCGAGGAAAATGACGACGATGAACAACCCCTGCAGAGACAAGATGTGCATTTACGATCCAGTAGACTATAAAAAAAAAGGGTCTAGGCAAGAAATACCTAGACACTATGTACGAGAATGATTCCTCGGATACCCTGAATGCGCCGACTCCCAATGTTGAAACATCTCGTTTCCATGGCTTTGTATTGACCATGTCAATCCCAATAGGTGCTGTAGTCCCTTGGTTTGTTTTGAAAATGGTCTGCCATGATACGTAAGCAGTCCTCGTCAGCACCGCCGCTCAGGGCCAGCTTCACGAGTCGGCCTCGCTTGTACTCCAAATTCTGTACGCCTGCTTCGTACACCAGGTTGTATGAAGGGTTTCGCGTCTTATCCAGCCGGCTCTCTATTTCTTTAAAGTCATCATGCATAAAGTAGGCTAGTTGGAAGAAATTGACTCCGGAAAGTAGCTTGACTCCGGACAGTCCGTCACCGCAGATGTCGGCACATATATCTTGTTTCAGGATTTCGAGCACATGAACGCCGTCCATGTCCAGCTGCATGTCCTGGGCCTTGGATCCGACCCGATCGCCTGTACCGAGGTTCTGCCTGAGATGAGGCAGGTTGCTAGGGATGCGGTCGCCCAAAATGGCCATTTCTGCCGCCATTTTGGCAGAATCCTCACGAACACCGAGAATCATGGAGCGGGCCAACCAGCAAATATACAACAATTTCTCTTCATCATAGTAGGCGCGTATTTTTCTTGTTAGTTCCGTGTCTGCCATTCGAAGATCTCCGGTCTCTGGGTCTAAGATGGGGTTCGTTTTCCCTAGTCGAAGCGCACCCAGCAGGCTGAAAGGGTTGACAAAGCTGTCTGGAATTCGCTCGTAATTCCAGGCCGCCTTTCGATACAACACGAGAGTGCTAGGCGTTTTGAAGAACACGTTTTGATCGATATCGGTTACCCGATAGAGATCATTAAACAGAGGCTTGGATACTGACATTGCTTGCCTATTTCTGGTGCAGGATTGAGAGTTCGCAATATACCTGGCAGTCAGGGCATCAGAAAAGCGAGAGGTCGGAACCTTGCCATCAACAAAAAACGTGTCTGGAAAGAATGACTGTAAGACAACGTACATCCCACACGGTTCAGTGATGTAGCCTCTCTGAACAAGCATATTGTAAAGGTGCACCAGGAGCAACGGCTCTGGAGTTGAATCAAAAACCATCATGCCATCCAGGTACGCGATCTCTAGGCTCTCCATCAGGCCGACGCCGCATATGAATGGGGAGTACTCCCAAAGCCCATCTGCATTCGTGCTGCTGAATCGTGATGCCTGTACTTTCTTGTCAAATCCAATCATCTTATGCGATCTTCCCAGCCACATTCCGACCTCGTATGCGGTTTTGCTGAGGTGCTGCATACACGTCTTGTACGTCTTGTCGCCGTGCGAGCTCTGGACGCTATTGGCCACCCCGATCTCTTTGAATAGGTGTACCAGAGCTTCGATTGAATAAAAGAATCCTGGCGAGCGGCCTAGAAACAGAGACACGTCACGTCTCGGTGAGAACTGATGAGCTGGCGATGACAACACATAGCCTTGGGTTTCGTCCGTCGCAAACCCGCGTGAGACCATGAAGGAATCAACAATGCACTGGAGTTGAAATACCGTGTGAGGTTGAATCTTTCTGCGAACATCTGTTCCTTTCTTATGCATTGCAAGAGAAGTGACCTCACTAGCAAATTCGGTCAAGCCCAATAGTCTCCTATGCCGGCTCCAAGACGCGTCAGTTGACCAGTCGATCTTTTCGAGGGCAGGTTGCTGGCCCTTGATGAGATACGTCATGAACACAACGGTAGAGAAGAGGTTGACAAGATCGTAGAGCCAGTTGATGGTGTACGACCGGCGCCATTTCAGTCGTTCCTTTTGCGTTGCCCGCTGTAAGTCGAAGCTGGGATCCCACTTGTCTATCTTAGCAAGCATAGATTTGGTTGGTCTTCCGTTGCGATTTTCCTGGAAGTCTGTTAAAAAGTCAAGCAGATCGTTGTAGGCGTGAATCATGAGCTGTTCCTTGATATCAAGTGTCACACCTTCCACCTTGGCTGGTGCTCTTTCGTCGAATGAAAACTTCTGTACCTTGATAGTCCCTTGCGTGCTACTCATATCTCCCCGTGTGATCGTGTTCACAACGGTATGATAAGAGTCGTGATCTGGAAAGTCGACGTGCATGGCCAGTTCTGATCTCTTCAACATTGAGATTGCCACGTTGCTTAACGTCCCGGCGACGGCAGAGTTCAGGCCTTCATAGGCAACCTCTTTCCAAGTCTTTTGCAGAAAGCTGCGAAGAGACATCCACTCGAAAGTCAGTGAATAAGTGGCAATTAAGTAGTCTGTCATGATGCCCTCGTTGTCTTCGATGATGCGGTAGCTCTCGATTGGTATGCTTTCAAGGGTCGACTCTGGCACGGCTGGTTTCATCTGATTCTTCTTGTGCTTCGATTTTCTTCCGCGGATCTTCTTCTTGCCCTTGCCGTTCGACTTTTTCTGAGATTTGCGGACGGAAGCGGCTGCGGAAGGCCCTTCACTAGCACCGTTGCCAGCCCCTTCTTCGTTATCGTCGTCCTCCTCATCGACGGAGCCAAGGTAGAGAGATGCAAACTTGTTGGCTAAGTGGATAACGTTGTTGTCGTCCCCAACAGTTTTGGGGTTCGGGTCACGCTCCTCTACTCTCTCTGGAGGGGTCGCTGGATTCGATCCGGCGTCAGCTTTCGCCTTCGAAGCTTCTGAAACGCCGCTCAATGCCTTCCAGGCTTCCTTTAAGGCACTGATAAAGTGTTTGTGCGAATCATTGCTCTTGTCAATCTCTGGATCAGAACTTGCAGTTGCCACTTGCAGAAAGAACTCGTGTGTGGCCTCTCGCGCCTCGATGACAGATTGGAACAAACGGAAGATGATGGGTGGGACAGTCTGCTCTCCAATATGCTCTGCGATTAGTTTGGCTTGTGAAAACCATTAGTACTTTCAAGGTCCGTCTAGATAGCTTGGCATATCTGAGGTAACATGACATACCATGGACACGAGACCATGCACCGTCGTCTTGCCAGTTGTGTTGAGCAAGCTCAAGCCATCTTCATCTTGAGCACCAGTCTTCTGGATGATGCTGTTGGACGCCTGGATAACCCAGTACAGCAACTCTGCTGTCTCACGTTTGTACGTGAGGTATGTATTTTGGCCCGCCATTCGAGACCGGCATCGAGAACCTCTTGTACACGAGGTCGGCCAACAAGATCGGTGGGTGTAGTAGTTGTTGATTGACGACAGAGTGTTGAAGTGGTAGAATTGCTCTAGTAGTGGCAGAAGTAGGAAGGAAACAGTGCCAGGATCGCATCAAGGTATCTCAAGGCAACATTGAAAAAATCTTGAGATGCTAGCTAGGTGCGCGTTTGATGCGTCTAGAGAGTGAGTTGTACCTTTGCCTTGGTGGGGTGGGTGAAAGAAGCTGATGTGGATTTCCAGTAATTTTGAAGCTCGCCGTTTGGTTCTGGCCATAGCTAATTCGATTTGAACTGATCTAAAGTGAAGAATGCAATCTCGCCGACTAGAAACTCTCACGTTTGTCTGAAAACAATGAAGGCAATCAGCAAATAGCTTACATTGTTCACTTGTTCCCCTCCTATTTTTACACGGGACACGTTTTTACTCAGGTATCATAACGGCATTGTCATTCATAAATGTTATTCCTAGTAACCACTGCCGAGAATTATGGACAGGGCAGGAGGTGAATACTCCTCTTGAAACACAATCGATCCGTCGACCTGCCAAACCAGGTGCTATAGCCATTTGCCTTGGCTCTTGTCATCCAGGGACAGTCCTCTGCAATGAAGAAAAAACGAATACCAACGATGAGGTAAAATGAACTCCTTGCCACCTGTAAACCATAACTTATCATGGGTCCTATCGCAACGACCCAAAACATTCACCAATACAATCCTTGTCCAGGCACACATACTATCGAAGCTGCCACCACAATACCTAAAAACATGGCAAAGGAGAGGATTCAGAAAGGCACCGCATTCTCATGATCAGAACTCCAGTAAACAAAGCCTCGGGAAGAGAAGATTAGATGATCTGTGGTGCGGTGGCTGCCAAGCCCGCAAAGAGTAGTGCTGCGCCTGTGAAGCCGCTTGCCACGCTTACGGAAGCATACTTCGCAAGCTTGCTGAAGCGCTGTCTCTTGGCTGGACGGGCGATGGGTTCTTGGATTGCACCGGTGAAGACAATCTGGGGTGGATTGCTGTCTCTGGCTGTTGAAATCTTCGCGTCACTGTTGGTGGTCTCAATGTCAACGGCTGGAGAACCTCTCGCAACACTCTCGACCGTCAGAGCATTCTTCTTGGTCTCGTCAATAGCACCCTTTTCTGGCTGCTGGTTGGGTGGACTCGATGCGGGTATGAGGCCGGGTACGAACGATGCTTGCGACAAATCCTCTTCTGGTTCGTCAAATACGTCCCAGGAGCGTTTGTTGGGACGAGACTCATTATCCGTTTCGTTGCTCAAAGGTTCAGATGATGACACAGGCTCCTGAGCAAGCAAGAACTTGACTGTTAACCGACTTCGACCCTGATCATCGTCTCCAGTGACTTTCTTGCTCTTACTCTCCACAAATTTAGCAGCGCTTGTCATATCGAGCTCAGGGCTCTGTAGCCTAGTCCGATCGGGAGAATTCGGTAAAGAATACTCGTGAGCATCCTTCAAGAACGCTTCACCGGCAGAAGTCCACACAGAACTGATTAACGGAGGCTGTCTGGTATCATGTGTGGCCTCTAAACGGATATCTGGCATAGTCGTTGCGGCTGACTCAGAGATCTTCTCAGAGGGGTATTCTGGTGCAGCTTCCATCTCTTTACGTGAATCGGTCATTGCCATGCTTGATTGAGCGGTAGGCTTTTCTGTCTCCTGAAAGCCAGCGGTGCTTACAACTACCGTGGAAAAGGTACAATTCGGCACCGACGCCCGATTATCCTCACCAGCTGCAAACAGATCGTGGCTCTCGGCTCGATCGCCAAGTGTCTGGCAATCCGGAGCAGAAGTAGAACCAGTGTCGGTTGACAATGATGGCTGTCCAGGCTGTTGATTGAGCTGGCATGGGGGCTGTGGGGTATATTCAGGGGGGATGAATGATGAAGGTGGTAGACAGCGTAATAATGAATGTGAAGTCATGTGTTTCATCCCATCCAAACAAGAGCATGTCTGGTCAGGGGAAGAGTCTTCGTCCTCCTGGAAAACGCTGCAGTCGGTCGAGTCCCCAGTGACCTGGCTGTTAGAACCAAAAGAATCATCGTGGCGAGAGGGCCAACGGATATCTGCACGAAGCCGAATTAGTATGCATGAAATTCTAGGAATGAAGCAAACAAAAGACTTGCCATCATGATACCCATCATAACCGCCATCTCCATCACAATCATCTTCATCGCACTCATGTGAAGTGCTGCACTCGCTGTCTTCGCTGTCTTCGCTATCTTCGCTAGCGGACTCCATGTCTGACCGGTCGTCAAATGCGGACATAGGCTCCATGACTGGTCCCATGTCATCGTCGGAGCTTTCGCCAAGGTCATCAACATCAGAGTCCCCTTCTTCAGAATCCGATGGAGCTTCGGGCAAATGACCAAACTCATAAGTCATGTCCTGATCGTTGAGATCCATCTTGTCGTCTAAGTCGTCAGTAACGACAGTTGGCAAGGAAGAAGAAAAGGCCACTTGAGAGCTTGGTCGATGCGAACAGTCTGATCCATTCGGCGTGCCTGGCTCAGAGGTTAGATCAATTACAGCAGAGTGCAATTGGCGCATGGTTCGGCTCGAAGAAGGCTCGTTGGGTTGTGATTGAAGTGGAGGAGAATTTTTGCAAAGATCAATAACCGTCACAGGTTGCTTGTCCTTTTCGTCGTCATCTCCAAGGTCATCAACATCGCTCCACAGATCCTCGTCATACTCGGGAACAGAAAACGTGTTTGAAGGTGTGGTACGCTGGTTATTTGCAGCCGTTTTGACGCTGGAGAAGGCTGTTAGCTCGCTGACTTGTGACGCAGTATCAAAAGGGCCAACTCACATCTCTGGCCAACGGATAATGGCCTGGACAACGCAAGGTGGAAATGTCTGCCGGCCTCGATAGACATCTGCCCCGAAGCTATAGATATCCCCAGCCTGGACGGGGTATTTCACGAAAGGCTCTAGTGCAACTTCTCTGCCTTGATCGTTTCGTCCAAAGGTGCCGTGTAAGGACCGAGTATCTTCGAGCATAATGGACTTTTTCCTGATTAGTGATGGTTCAAAAGAACATAATGTTGGATAGAAGCTGATGGAGTGTATCCGACAACTTACCCTGTTATCGAAGTCGGCCGTCAGGAGGGCGTGTTCACGCGACATTACTGGACTTTCAAACCAAGCGTTTCCCACGTCAGCCGCGAGTCCTTTACTTTCCTGTTTTGAAGCTCTTCCGATGGGCATAGTTGGGTTATCTCTCGTGAGTTTGATGTGTCGTTGGATGAACAAGAGCTCAGGACTGGGATCTAATGCTCTCAAGGAAACAGTGACTGCCCAGCAAAAAGTCAGCGAGGTAGCACTTCATTTATATTTGCCATGGAAAGACAACAGAGTACGTCAGATTGGAGAAGGGAAAAAATAAGAAAGCTTTTCAAATCATACCACAATCCTTTGCCGTGATCGGCTCTTCCGGAGTCGCCATTGCGTCGTTGAAGTTGTTTCAGCTTTGTCAGGTCGAAGTCCCCCGCTGCGATTTCAAGCCGACTGGTATCTGCAGGAACTCTTCGTAGTTGACGTTGAACAGAGCCTAGGCGCGGCTTGAGTCGGAGAAAGACCAGCGTTATTCGTAGCAGGAGTGGATACGTTTGTCGGCTTACAGCTGCACCTCACGAGATGTCGCACCTTGATGGTAACCACAGCACAGCTGTCGGTTGACGCTAAGAGGGACGAGGAAGAATGGGTCTTGACGCAGACGAAATGCGTTGATCTTGGAAGAAAAGGATGAGAATGAACCTTGAAAAGAAATGAAGAAACAAATAGGGTGTAAAACTGAAGAGGGGAAAGTACGAAGTTGAGGTGTGAAGGTCCGCCCGATAGGTAAGGTACTCCTTAAGACGTCGAGGTCGTAACTGTCGCCCTTGAAGCAACGGCTGCCTTAGCGGAAGCCAAAGTGGGGCCCGGGGTTCAATAGGCGTCAGAAAGAGCAGGCAGACACCACAATTAAGCTTGCCTTGGGCGATGCCTTGCGACCAGCTACAGTGGCTGCTCTGAAAGTGTCCCGCCAGCTACGGGTATCTGCTTCTTCTTCGGTGACTTTTTCGTAATTTTTTGCAGATCGCTTTGGTTGGTGTCCTGGTGACGGCTTGATAATTTCACAAGTCGCACAGAAGTGTAACAGGTCTGCACTTTACCGATGCAGTATTGGTAGGTGACTTGATGAAGCACCCAGTCAGGGCGATAAGGTTCTACTGTAGGACTGATGCCGGCGGGGGTGGGGTTGAATGGAGCTGACGTGCACCTGATAGCAGATAAGTACCCCGCCATAAGTTGACGATAACGGCACGGACCTTATGATACCTACGTATCAACCAACTTTCCATGAGCGATTGTACGCCATGCAAAGGGCCTATTCAATATTCATTTTGCAAGAATAGCAACTGCTGAAACATTCGACTACCATGATATTTGACTACCAGGGCACATTGTATATGTGTGATTTAATCCAGTGACGCTGGTATGTTTCGTTAGGGAAGACTGCTCTCTTATCGCCCCACGCGATACTTGGGCATTGACAGCACCTAGGTACCACTTTGGCCTGTTAGGAGAGCTCCATCCTGTCCACATGACAGCTTAAAGGAGTTGGTCCCCAGGCAGAGTGCTCATCCATTGGCTGGATGGCGGAATCAATCTGACTAGATAAAAGAAAGAGCAACGACGGAGTAGTAAGGGCAAATCGTGGCAGAATATGGAAGTGCTAGAACCCCAATACCATTCGGTAGCTTTGGGATCTAAGTTGGGACATATGTTCGGTGTAGATGTCAATGGGACATAACACGATCATGTTGTGCCTGCTGCACATGGATGCTACGCTACACATTAGGGTGTCGCTTTTCTCCTCGCCTGTTTCTTTGACATGAATACACTTTCTCTTTACTCTAGCCATCCCGCTGTCAAAAGCATCTCCTTACAACATGCTTTGCTGTTATCAGCATGTTTCCATCACTCCTGGAGGATTCGCTCTTATCAGTCAAAATGGCTTTTTGAATACTTCGAAACCAATCTCTAATCTCACATATATTTGCCCTCTGCCACTTCAAATATTGAATAAGAACGAACATACGTGACCGATGCATCTACGTACACAGTATAATTAACCGCTCGATCCTATGTACTTCAGTGTATTGACCTGAAGGCGCTAAGCTAAAGTGCTGGATCTGGCCATAATCCGCTTCCTCTTCGGCCGGGTGCACTAACGGGACTTAGATTCCCACTTGGCTTTCCCGCACTTCGACAATCCTCTCCACAGAGGGGCTCATCGTCGCCAAGTGCGACTCAACTGGGACTGACGATGCTAGCTCAAACGACGTCATATCACTAATTTGGGAGCAAGCGTACATAGCACAAATGCTACGTACGCCATGCGATACTGTTTGTACCAAAAGCTATTGCTCCCGCGATACCATCGCAAACTCCTTTAGCTCGAAGCTGTGCGCCGCGTCGCTCAAAGAGGATACACAGGACATTTTGAGGATAAGGGAGGGCGAGGTTTGCTGCAGGGACGAGACAAGTGTCTTCGTAATGCCTAACTGACCTTTCTCCAACGGGTCGCCCCAGCCCAACTTAACCAGGTCTTTGCATCATAGGCCCCATCGCGTAGGCAGTCCAGGGCTCGGGGCTAGAGCTCATATGACTACGACAAGCTCACACCTCGTCCCTTTTTTTTCTTTTCTTTACTCCATGGTTTTGACGCACACTCTTTAAGGCATGCAACCCATCTACTGTAGGCGTATTCTTGGCTGACTTCTTAAGGCCTCGCTACCTGCCGTCTGAATTTATCCCTCGAGTACTCCGCGCTTTCTCCATCCGCTTTTGCAGAGGAAAAATTTTGGTGCGTGTTCCAAATTTACAATACAACACGCCACCTCAACTACCATCTCCGTGGCCTCTCCCGCGCACGGAACGGAACTGGCATATAGCCGAGGATATATAGTCCATCTTCTTTGCTCAAACAAAATATCCACGGTTCCCATGGACGCTTGCTTTTCGTGTCTCTACACCTACAACGCTCCATTCACCTAACATTCGAAGCACAACGCTGCAGTGTCTCTGCTGTGCGTCAAAATATCATTAGCTTGCAGAGCTTTGCCACCCAACAATACCTTTTGTATTGCAACACCGAAAATCAAACAGTGTACAAAAGGTCTCCACGACCCTCGAGGCAAGATGAGAGACCTACGCAAGAAGATCCTGCTCGAGAGCGGGAAAACCATGTCTCGCAAGGCGCGCTCGCGACCCGACTCCAATTTTGGCTCGACCACGCACTCTCCTAACAGCTCTCCTACTGGCTCGCGACATGGTTCGCGCGCCCCCAGTCGTTATGCGTCGGAAGACGAGGTAAGCGACGATGATCCGAGCGACAGTTTGACCAACTCTGTCATCGCTTCGGAAGATGGTGACGAGACCATCAGCGATTGGACCGACAAGCTAAAAGATTGCATAAACGAGATTCTGGATCGCAAGCGCAGCAGCACTCAAGGCAGGGAGAGATATTTTGCTGCTTATACACATCTGGCAAGACACCACTTTGCCGATACCATGATCGAGCATCAAATGCATGAGTTGGTCCCAGCATTCCTACGAAGCATTCGTAATGGTGGCACAACTGAAGAAACAGTTGGCGCACTCAAAGCTCTTCAGATGACCACCATTACCACTCAGTCTGACTCGATCTACGACCAAGCCTTCTCTATTCTCAAAACTGCAACTGAAGGGTCGGACGAAGAGTCCGTCAAGGTTGAGGCACTTTACACCATGGCCGTGGCTACCATTTTCGGTGGAGGCGCTGAGGTTGCTGCGCAAGAACTGATGGACTTTGCCGTCGAGATTGTCGAAAGCGACGGAAACAGCGTGGATGCTGGAGACAATGGACCCGTGGTCACTGCGGCACTCAATATCTGGGGGTTCCTTGCAAGTCACATCGATGAATTGGAACAACAGTCCGAGGAGGCGCTTGAGGCCTTTACAGAGCAGCTCGATAGTAGCGACGCTGATGTACAGATCGCAGCCGGAAGCAACATCGCCCTCATCTTTGAGGCACTACGGGCATACAACGAGCAAGCCGAGGAAGATCACGATAGCAAGCAGGAACAGCTGAGAGTCGAGGCAAAGCAGAGAGGCGAGCGGTATGTCCCAGAGCCGTACAATCCATTCGACTTGCAGTACAATCAGCACCAGCTTGTTCAGAAGATGACCGAGCTCGCTGGTCAATCTTCAAAAACAATCTCCAGAAAAGATCGTCGCCAGTTACATGCAACATTCAACAGCATCCTGAAGTCCTTGGAGCTTGGCAAAGGCCCTGGATATTCTGAAGCTGGTCGCATCGCACGAGAGTCAGATCGAGGCGGAGAACGAGTCTATGCTGCTGAGAAGGTCTTCACTGAATTTGGCTACCGCAACACAGTCAAGGGCAATGACGGGCGGACTCTGACTATCGACTCATGGTCACTGTCTATTCGCGTCGATTTCTTGAAGAGGATTCTTGGTGGTGGGTTCACGACACACTGGTCTCACAACCCAGCAGTTGCGGAGACATTTGACACTGCATAAACCATACAAACTAGTGTCACAAGACCATAAATGGACCAAATTGGTGAGATCCCGCGTTTTTGCGGCATTCTATCGTTTCCATTATACATACTATAAGATACCCGCCCAGCTTAGAGAAAACAATAGCATGGTGATAGCAACGGATAGGCATCGGGCTGGGCTGGGTTTGAAATACCACATCGCCTTTCATAGCACTGATTCAACAAGATCCACTTTGAATATACAATTACTAGAAGCCAACATCCAACCATTGCTTATTGTCGATACGATGCACAAACAGTTGACCAGTCTAAAGTTACAAGCCATCTGGACGGCTTGTACACTTGGTGCTATGACATTGATATGTGGGAGCGGTACCGGCAGCACATAGCTCGAATTGCGATAGACGCGGCAGCTTGCATGGTCTCATACATTTCGTTATCCTGCCACGGGCTCTGGTCTTGGCTTGGAGGACGTCACCGCCGCCCAGTAGTCAAGTGTCACTTGTTCTCGCAGTCTCTTGGGGCGGTCAACTGTCTCAGGGCGTTATCGAGGCGATGCTTGTGCGGTTTGACAAGACGTGGCATTTGCAGACTCCTCGGGGGCCACTGGCTTGTACTGGCACAAAAGAGCCCGGGTGAAGCCGAGTGCTTGGGTGAGGAATAGGTCCTTCTTTTCAGATTAAATAGTAGATAATACCAAGGGGAATTGATAATAATTTTAAAACTCATTCTAGATGGAAAATGTATGTGCAGGGCTTGGCAACGGAGTGGTTGTCCGGTGAAGTCAAACTTCTACATGTAATCATGATGCGGATGTTCTCTACAGAAAAGGCTGGCATATGCGACTGCAATTGCTAGTTGCAAATCATGTCGTAGTTGATGCAGGTAAATATGTATTTGTCGTACGAGCAAACTTGGCTTTTTCCCGTTGACAGCAGCCAGCAAAGGCAGTCTAGGTGTCCTTTTGGGTGGGCGTTCTGCAGACTGGTTGGCTTCGGTAACTTGCCGGATTGAGGCGCAGGAAGAAGGGAGGGCTGAGATGCCCGCACCTTTAATGTATAATTGCACTCTTTAACCTGAGAGGTACCTTGCCAAATGAAGCTTGATGGTGCATCTTACATACAGATAGATGATTGACAAAGGACAAGCAACACGTTCCCCGGGCGACTTGATTACCTGGGACGGCGAATGCAAACACCCAATTTTTTTTTTGTGCGTGCTTGTTGCGCTGTTGCACAGTCAACACCTGTCAACAATGAGAAACGACATGTCGCAGTTAGGTGTTTGAAGCCGGGATAGGGTTATTGGTTGCATCTTTTGGTCGTGTTGGCATCGACGGCGGTTCGTTTGAGAGAGGAGGGTGGCGGTTTCGTTGGGCAGCAATGGGGGGGAAAAAGGTAGTTTTGACAGCGGCATGTGAGAGGTTAGCCCTTTTGAACTGCCTACCTACCTAACCAGTGACTCTCAAGGGTTGATTATTGATGCATCGCATTGAAGTGTTTGCTACTGCATCCATAGAAGCGTTTTTAGCTTCCCCGGGCTGGGATAAATGGATGTTATTGTGTGTGTGATCTTGCCAATATCGGCGACTATGAAATCTGATAAATGCGATATCAATTGAGTCTTCTTGTGGAGGTTGCTGTCCGGCGCTGCTTTTCAACACGGGCATTTTCTTGTTTTGCATAATTACACAGTTAGAGTCCTTAAAGACTATTGCATTTGCCCCTTGTTGGTATAAAAGAACAGTCTCATTGCATTTTCAATTCTTCAACTTCAAAACTGGTGGCGCATGGCCGTGTTGGACTCTTTTTCACGGCAAGCCACAAGAGATCCGCTATCAATACCCGTAGGGCACGGCGAGACCGGGTTGATCCCGTCGGCAGGGCTTAGTAGCGTGGAATCCAATTCTCAGGCGGTGGAAGCACTTATTATTCATCTACTACTACTACATATATGGTACCCGCGACACTAGGCCGATCTGCTTGTGCTCTCGCAAAATTCCGTGATGGTAGAAAACATGCAATTCATCGGAAGGTGTCTAGCAAAATACCGCAAGACCAAGAAAAAAAAAAAAAAAAAAAAAAAACTCCAGAGCCAGAGAGGTACGTAAGCAGCCAGAAAGAAACCCGAAATCGTCGATCTTCCAAAGGACTATAAAAATTGGATGGCTCCATATAATCCATCAGAAATGATCGCCGTGTCTCCATCCGTTACCGTGCCAGCAAAGACGCTTGAGCCGCTGTGCGGCCACCTCTTGGGACCTGCCGCTGCCCGTCACGCCGTCAACAAGATGGAGCTTGGGCCTTTCTTTCCAGAGATCGGGAGCAGCAGAAGGTGGGATCTCAAGATGGGTACGGAGTATTCTGCCCTCAAAAAACATCGTGTCGGGTGCCCTGCGGGTGATACTTGCATTTGCATCCTCACATGAAAAGAGGCCGGACATTGCCGGCGCTGTTGAACATGGACCAGCGTCGCACGACGCATACGGAGTATAATGTGATGTGCACCAATACGGTAGCCACCCAGGTCTGCACTGGGAGAAAGGCGAAAAAAAAAAAAAAGAGAGAAGACCAGCCAGGTGCCCAGCCCAGCCTCCAGAATTTCGTCCCCTTTGGCAGTCACCGTTTCCAATCAACCATTCAGTCGCCCCATATGCGTTCTGCCCTTCGTCGCAATAGATTAGTCCGGACAAGACGATCGCGTCGAGACGTGACGTGACAGAGTTGTAGACATGTTTTATGACGTTAGTAAAGAAAATGCCAATATATGCCCATGGTAGAATCCAATATAGACGCGGGCGACCACGGACAGGCTTTCGCTCTTAGAATGTTCTATGAATAAATGTAATGGGGCGGCCGTTCAGGTACCTACGCGATGAGTGGTGACGGGGCCAAAAGCCATGAGACTCGAGTGGAGGGGAACATCCCGCACAACATCCCAGCTTGGCCTTGAGCCTATGGTTTTCCTGCCAGGGCCGGATCGTCGCTCCATTGGATGTGCAACCCCAGCATAGCCAACGCATCACACTCCTAAAATCCCAGCTGTCCAGTCTTCTTCTGGCTCTCGCTATCGACTTTTCGATACTCCGGGTGGGGGCGGCCTCCAGAACAGAAGGTCCGGTCTTGTTTCGTTTCTTTGCAAGTCCACTTGCAATGACGGGAATATCGTCTTCACCAGCGAATGGGATCTGCTTCGTACATGGTACGTAGGCTGTGCACTTTAGCAATTTACAAGGGCGAAAGCCAAAATTTCGTATGGTCCGTTGTGCTGGTCTGAAAGAAAAAGAAGTAGAGTAAGTCACTTTACAGTGGCACTTTATTCTCAGTTCAGCTACTACATGGAAAGTCTTGACCTATTCTCCCGGAAATTGGCAAAGTGTGGCGACCTGACTGGTTGATACCGTTCCTCCATTTACCTGCATCACCCATGTCCGAGTCCCTTGTACGTATGTAGGTTCTATGTCTCGCTTGAAATTGTCGCTGCTACTTGCTGCTGCTACCTGCTGCTGCTACTGCTGCTACCTGCTTGCTTGCTTTTCCTTGACCAGTTGATTCATCCTCCTCCACCTCCTTCTCTCTCCCCTCTACTTGTAATCCACCTATCGTGGAAAATTCCATTGTCTTTTTTCATTTGCCGACCTCAACGCATTTGCCAATAGAAGCATCTGCTTCTGTTCTGCAGTGCTGCTGCGATAGCATCAACCCACCTGCTGGGAACTTAGTCTCGGGCGCGCATCCCGCCACAAGGAGCTGTGACGGGCCTTCACCGGGATACTGGGACTAGCCAAATAATCGGAGAGGTTGGAGAAATCAACCTATCATTCAGGCCAGCGACCCGGCCATCTTTTCTTTGCAGTCGGTCCTGTCCTCGTCGACTCCCAGAAACTGCAAACAGGTTTTTGTTTTTTTTTTTCGCCCGTTTTCTTCTATTCAGTGCTTATTGCTCTCGTTCTGCAACTGAATTGTTTTCTGCGAATTTCGATGTCCTGATTGAGGGGACTCAGTCACATTTTCAATGTAGGTCTCACCTTATTTCCTGCATGTCTCGATCCACCAAGGTCAACTCGAATCAGTCGGGTCCGTCTCTTTGGGGGGAGCCACTGGGGGCCTTGCTTGCTTCCACTTGGGAGCCTACCTAGGTACTGTACTGTAGCTAACGGCCCACGCAACAGCATCACAGGCCACAGCAACGACGAAACAGCAACACCTAATCTTTCAAACCCGGCTTCTTGTTTTCTGACCAGACCACGTAATCAAAGATCGCCAAATGTCTTGACGAACGAAAAAAAAGAAAAGGGAAAAAAGAAGGCGACATACCTGTCAATCGGTTCCCCCCCTTCCGAATTTATCGCGCAGGTCACTTCTTTTTTTGCACCTGGTGTGTTTCGGGTCTTGCTTACACCCTCCACTTGACTGGCGGTCTGTATTCGACCCAGTTTACAAGGGCAGTAAACAACCCCAGCACCTACATCACCGATTGCAGCACCGTCTGTTTGGGAAACCCATTTATACAGCCCACCTTCCCCAGGCGCGGCCATCGTCGAGGGCTCAATCGGCTCCAGAATGGGGGTCGACTCGAAGAAAGCCCCTCCTCTACCTGCGCCGACCGAAACTGAGTCATTGGGGACGCCAACCGAGCTTGCGACGGATGTTTCCAACGTGCACGAGGAGGAGGACAAGTCACACATCTCCATCCCAGACGACGGAACTCCAGTTACCATCCGCACCCACAGGGCAAATCGCTCGCAAACATCGCTACTAATTGAATATTTTGAAGGCGGCAAGAGCCCTGTCTCCCCCGAAGGCGTAACAACTACCAGCCGCAAGCCCAGTGTAAGAGTGCGCTTGACGCCTTCCAAGGGCGGACGTGGCAAAAACGACCACATTCAGATTACCGAAATGTCGAGGTCGGCTCGAAAGTCTTCGGGGTCGAAGCGGGCGCACCAAGACCCGTTGGTGCCCAGCCGCAGCGAGCTAGATATCACCGATCCTGAGGATGCTAGGAGTCTGCACTCCTATGCCTCAGCAACCGAAGAGTCCAATGTCTCGCGCCACCCTATTGAGGTGGACATTACTCCGGGGGCATATCGCAGACGTGAGCGGAAGCCCGCGAGCCCTCTCATTCCAGCCGCAGACAGCAAAGTCTCTTCATACATGCCCCCAAACATGTCAGATATATCAGCCATCCCAACGGACAGTTTCTTGGATGGTTCGGGAGGGAACACGACCTTGTCGTACTCACCAAAGAAGCGGCGCAGCAAGAGTCCTTCAGGTGCAGAGGCATTGGCTGCGGGAGCCTTGGGCGCGGTCACTGCAGCTGCCGTAGCTGACAAAGTCAACCGCAAAAGTCGCAGCAGTAGCCACGACCGCAGAATTATTGAGAAAGCTGTCGAGAAGGCAACCAGACCGGACAAGAAGCACAGGTCGAAGAGCAGGACGAGCTCCATCAGTGAAATGGATGTCGAGGCCAAGAGCTCTTCAAAACGAAGGTCGTCCAAGGGCGGCCATAAGGAATCCTTGGTTTCAGGCGCAGATTCTAGCGTACTCTCTTCCGCCCTGGCTCCAAGCCACAGGTCCTACGACTCAATGTCGTCGTCAAAAGTGTCAATCAACAACCCCAAATTGCTTGAGACGGTTGAGGATGCCATCCGAAGACTCATTCTTCCCGAATTGGAATCTCTGAAAAGAGAACGCAGCCAGCGCGAGACGAGAAAACCCAAAGACAGAGAGTCTCTTTCCAGTCTGACATCTGTTTCTCGAGAGGAACTGTCCGTCACAAGCAAGAGAAAGTCTGGTGCTACTGAGCAGTCTGTCAAGTCTCGAGGCCGTGAAGCTAGGAACGATCTCTCGCCCCAGAGCAGTGTTGAACATGTCTCTGTTCTCGAAGATGAGGAAAACACGCCACGCCGTACAAAGGATCATTTTGAAAATGCTGCTATCATAGGCGCAGCTGCGGCTGCTGGCCTTGCTGCCACCCAGCGTGACAGGTCCAGGGTGGACGAGAAGCGTCAACGACGAAGACGGAGAGCCAGAACTCCAGAAGCTGGTAGAGCTGCGGAGGACTATGATGAGATGGAGCATGAGGTTATTCCACCTATGCCTCTGTCAAGTGAGATTAACCCCTCGGAGATGACGAGAACTTCCATCCTCTCCGCTGAGACCGACCGGCCTCATTCTGCAACCGAAGAGTTGACTCCTGTACATGAGGTGACCAGGGAAGTCGTTTCTGACGACTCCATACACAATACGCCAACACCTACTCGATCTGAGCACCATACTTTGCAAGCAACTCTGGGAACCCTTCATGCCAACGTTTCTCACGGCGATCTACGGGATCTTCCTCGAAAGGGCGCTGGCGATTATGCAGAGTATGATGAAGACAGCGAACTCAGCTCTAGAGGCCCCTCTTATCGTGATGAGTATGACGATTACGAAGAAGACGGCCTCAGTGAGCCAGGCATGTATGAAAACGACTTTTACAGTCAGCAGGATGTGCCTCCACCACTGCGTTACGTTCCTTATCAACAGGAGCGTCGTGGTCTGAGCCCTATCCAGAGCGTGTCTGGTTATACAGAGGGAGAAAGCGACATCTACCGTAGACGGGATTCGAGATTGACAGACAGCGAGCTCTCCTCTCCGCACAAGTCACCCAGGCCCGGCTCAGTACCCAGCAACATGCGCAGCCGAGAGTTTGGAGACGACGGTAGCAGCGTTCAGAGTTCTGGAAATTACAGAGATACAAGGTATACCGACGACAGCGAGCTGGACCGTGTCGCCTCGGGTCAAGCTGTTCAAGGCGTTGGTGCCAACCCCCGGTTCGTACACCAGCCATTTGGTGCAGAATCGAACGTTGCATCTCTTGTGGAAAGCTCCATGGCGGATCAGTCAGTTCTCAGCGCTGGCCAGGACTATCGTGATTCTCAGCTCTCCTACGACTCACGGCTAGAGGAGCGATTGTCTCGAGGAAGCAGCCCGGCAAAGAATTCTGTAAGCAGTCGAGTCGAAGAGTTCGAGAAGCGCAATTCGCCCGCGCTATCTAGACAATCGCGCTCGGATATTTCTCAGGACTTTGATGAGTACGAGATCGATCAGTATGGACGAAAGTATCTCAAGACCAGAGACCACCAATCCCCCACCACTTCTGAGCAAGCCATCACAAATGCTGCTTTGTCTCGTGCAGCTGAAGAGGCTAAGCGAAAGGCACAACAAACTGTCACTGATGAAGATTCGCAGTGGCAAGGTGAAGGCGTTATGCGTAATAAGTCTTTCAAGGAGCGGGCCCGAGCGGACGGCTTCAGAGCAAATGCTACTCCAACACACAGCATGGATCGGCTGTCCGACGCCTATAGTCAACCGGAGCTGGGAGCTAGTGGCCTTCCAGACGACAAGTACCCCATGCCAGAGATTGGTTACGGATACCGGGACGAAAGTCGTGAACACTCTGTCATCGAAGGGGAACTTGGGGGACCTGGCGCTCGCGACTGGCACGAGGGAGCGACTCCGACACAAGAGAAGACTTTTGATTTTGAGCGTGCTGAAACTCCCAAGCCCAGTCACAAGGATTCGAACCATGGAATGGGTGTCACTGAGGCCGCCGCCGCCGGTGCGTTGGCAGCCGCTGCAGGTATGGCTGCCACACACAGTCGACAGCCATCTCAAGATCAGGATGATGAGTGGCATCGGACATCCGTCGATCGTAAACGCGACACACTTGTTACGAACCCTTACGAGGGCACAAGTCCCATTGCCAATCTCGCTGGCCTCGAACAGCTTACAGGAGCCGGATTTAATGGTGACTTGTATCGGGCTGGCTTCAACACTGGAAGTCCTGGACTACCCCATGGCGACGAGGGTTACGAGACTGCACAGCCAAACGAGGCACAGGTCAAGGGTAAGGCAGTTGAATTCCAGAACCAGCCGGGAATGGGTGGGAACACCGATGATCCATTCTATATCGGTATGCCCAAGCACCAAAGGCAGCTCAGCGGAATGTCCCAAGGGATGGCCTCACCGCTCTACGATCCTGCCAGTGGAACGGGCATTGATAGGATCCAGTCCAAAGACATCATTGCATTGATGGAACATGTGAGTGCCTAGATTCCTTCCGTGGCATGATTTTGTAAACTAACATTGTTTTAGCTCATGGTGCGCGATGCACAGCGAAGTGCTAGAGATACCGAACTGCTTGTAACTCTCGTCCGGTCAGCGGCCGAGATGCGAAGTTCTTTCAATGATATAAAGAGACTCCTTGCCGATACAGAAGATCAAATCATCGGTGAGGTGAAGGACAACACCGAGAAGACTGTACAACGGCACCTTGGTGGCCCAAGGCCCTTCCCCGGCAGTGCACCTCGATCACTGCAGGGCGGCTCACAAGCAGGCACTCTTGATGAGACTGCCAAGAAGCAAAACATCTTCCGACGGGCTCTCAAGGGTCTCAGTAGTAAAGGGACCAATGATCTTGGAAGGATTGAGGACATGCTTATGCAGCTGTTGGGCGAGGTTGATGTCTTGAAACACCAAACTGCTGGCCAGGCTCTGGTGTCCGGTATGGGCACAAACAACCAGTCACTCGAAAACCTGGCGGAGGTTCAGTACGAGCAGGACAAGGGCTACGAACCAGAGGGCAATGCTGGAACTTCGACTGCGAGCCATGCAAGCCAATCTGGACACCTGTCGATCCCGCAGTCTCGCGGGCCATCCGCCAAAGGTGGCTACGAGCGAAAATTCTCCGACCACAGAATCAGCACCGTTCCCGAGGGAGATGAAAATGAGTTTGATGCTCGATCCTTGACCCCAGGACAGGAATACTCGGATCCCAATTTGTTCATGTCGCCAGCAATCCCCCCCGCCCGTGTTGAATCAGTGCCCCTTGCAACTCCTCCACAAGCACCTGCTCAAATCAGTGCTCACCCTGCTAGTTATGAGAACACGCCTCAAACAGATGCAGGCAAGAAACACAAGTCTAAGGGCTCTTCTGGGTTCTTTCCCAAGATTTCCCGTTGGTCCGAGACGACAACATCTAGCGTGGGCAAGATATTCCGCAACTCACGCAAGCCAGACCCGGAGGAGTTCCTCCAGCATCCACCTTCGCGTTCTGGCTCAGACATGGGCGACTATATCAGTTATCCTCATGACCAGTACGATGATCATCTACACACCACTTACTCTCAGCAAGACTTTAGCAGTGATATTCCAGACGAAGTGATTTCGCCTACAGGTTATCGTACTGAGGCGCCACCCGCTACATATGCGACTCCCGAGGATCCAAAGTACAAGGCGCATCGCAACAGCATCAATCTCCAACACCCTCAGCCGCGACCGGGACAGACCGAGCGTTTTAGAACGGCTCTCGAGACATCTGCCCAGGGCTACGGCGGTATTCAATCTCCCATGAGCCCCCGCTCGGACAACTGGGCAAGCTCAGCCGTGAGCCTGAACCGCTTGCCAGAGCCAAATAGCGACCGCTACAGTGATCAGAGCCCAGCCAACGAATACGGCTGGACCTCGCCTTCTCAGCAGGGGCCCCCTCGACCACCGAAGGAGCCTCTTGATGATGTCAGCGGCACTCCACCAAGAAATGAGCGTCTCAGCAAACTTCAAAGGAACAGCCCTTTGCCCTACCACAGTGTGGATAGCGGTTATGGTGGAACAGCTACACATGCTGGTACTGTTGGTACCGCAAGCTACCATTCTGGAAGTCCAAAGCCAGAGAACCGCAATCTTAGCGGTGCGCTTGGTGCTCCAGGACGCCGACCCAGCGGACCTCGCGCAATGACACCCAGTCGAGGCATGAACATGTCGCGCGGAAGCGAGGATGGTGAGAGCATCCGCAGTGGTTCATATGCCAGAGACGAACGAAGGAGGAAGAGAGGTGAGCTTGATCTAATCTTGAATTTGTATCCAACCAATACTAACCCCCCTCGTGTAGACACTTTTGGCTCCATGGCTAGTCCCGTCAGCCAGGAATCGGATACGTTTTAGGAAAGACGTCCTCGGTTCCTGGACATTTGCTTACCTTCTGGGAGCCCCTTTCACGTCGACTTTAAGCCATCGGGCCGTCGGTCTCGGTGATAGTCGACCTATCAAGCCAAGGGCTCTCACGTCATACTACAAACTCCAAGACTTGTGTGTTGAATTGGCTGTTCAGTGGGACAACAGTCAAGATGCATTATTCATAGAGTACATTTGCGCAAGGCTATTCATGACTCGGCGTTAATGGTTTTCGGGACTTGGTTCTTCCACACTTCTACGTGTTCCCGCAAAGCATCAAGGGACACACCAGCTGAGCCTAACCGATTAGAACATTTGGTTGGGAAAACAAAATCAAGAAAAAAATTGACAATTAGGTGACGAGCGCAAGCGCCAGTAGCCTCGATGAGGGAATCTGAAGAAGCAAAGCTTAGGTTTGGTGGTAAATTTGTGTCGTTAGATCGTTTTTTTTTTCTGATCAGCGATGTGAATTTGGTTGCTTTTCACCCTTTCTCTCTCACGACGGTCATGACATGCCACGATAAAAAGTCATTAAAAGCCCTCGGTACATAGTTGATATTCGTAATTAGTGGTTTGGATTCATCGAGACGGCGAAAGCTGTCTTTGATGAAGCAGTAAACGGATTAATCAGGAGATTGCAACCCTCGCTTGCGATTCGAACCATTTAGAAACTTGTTTATCTTATTTGCAGAAACGTGAAAAATGTATTCTTCTATGTATGTAGACTTAAGTAAATGTATGTGTCTAGATTTAACTGTTCGAAAGTTCGACTTACAAATTACCCTTCATAGCTATGTCTATCTATCTTGATAGATAGCACGTACCGATTCATACTAGAAACCGAAAAGAAGTCTGTTCAATCCGCAAATCGTTACCTGGTATCATTATCAGCTAGGAAATACCATCCAATCATGATCAAGTCGTATGCACGTTGAGAAGCATTGCATATCCAGATTAGTCATGACAAGGTCCATGATCCATGGGTATCCGGATGGTGGGTAAGAATGAACGCAGCGGAGAAGAGGAGGGATGCGGCCTTGCCCGGGGCTCACGGGTTGCGGTTGGTCCAAGAGCTTCAAGTGATAGTCAAATGTGCTCACAGCTATCATGTGTTCTTTTGCCCCCGTCAGCAAACTGTGTAGATTTATTTGTGCTCATAGTAAACGGAGCTCGCTCATCCCAGACCCTGATCCGTTCTGAATGTCCATTCGAATTAATATCATCATCTTCTCTCATCTGTCCAAAACGTTGAGTCATCTTCACACTATCTGTGTATTCATTCCCAGGTCCTAATTTATACCGTCATCGTCATGGTAGTTGAAGCGCCTATCATCACTTTTACTCCTGGACTTGAGTTTGTTGGAAGAGACTACAGTCAGCCAAACCGCGCAAGGATTCTATCAACGCAATACCAGGAACATTATCAACACGGGCGACGAGTTCATTGACCTGCTCAATCTCACTCTGATTGACCAAGTCATACCGTGGTATCTTGGCGACCACTCCATCATCTACTCGTACACGGCCAACATTGCGCGGCCAGGCAATGTTCCAGTGCAGCTACATACGGACCAGCTTTCCATTACACTGCTGACTAGAGACATGGCGTACGGCATGAATATCATGTTCTATTCGGAAGATATTACCGACGAGAATGGCGCCACGCGGGTGTACCCGGTGTCTCACCTGGGAAACGTGGCGCCCAGCAATATCTTCACAGTGGTAAGTGTCTCTGTGCCAAGCCATTTAATCTGACAATGGGAGAACCGAATGCTGACATGATCTGACCCAACAGGAAGGCCCACACCCCGTCGAAGGCCCAGCCGGCACCACCCTCGTCTTTGAGAGCCGTCTCTGGCACGCCACGGGCGCCAACGGCCTGAGCACCGGAGAGCGCCCCGTGATTCTGCTCTTCTTTATGCGCTCCTTTGTGCGGCCGCAGGAGAATGCATACCTGACGCTGCGCAAAGACGTTGAAGCAAAGTTGCCGCCTCGGCAAAAGGTGTTTTTGGGATTCCGTACCTACCGCGCCCGGCATTGGCGGGCTCGAAGGCAACACGCTCGAGGGATACTATGTTACTCGTAGAGGGAGGATGCCGTTGGGAGGCTGCGTAAGCCTCTTCATTCGCAAGAGGCGCAAAAGGCATAAAGTAGGAGTGAATAAGCTTCATCGCAAGTAACAACAGACACCAAAACCGGGTTTCGTCCACTGTTTGTACGGGACGAGAAAAACCAGAGGACGCACGAAAAAGGTAACCAGAGACGACGCACACATGGAATTAGGACACGGAGTCACAAGTCTTGACACGACATTCAAGCTTCATAACACCTTGCAAGTTCTATCATGTGACGATGAGCATTACTTGAAAGTATTATGCGGGAGGCATCAGAGCGCAGTGACTTGGCTTCTCAACAGATGTGTGATCGTGAACTATCTTGAACTTTGCTTTCCCTGTTCCTTCTCCCCATTATCCAGCAGATGGTAGCGTCGCGGCACTGCCCAGTCGAATAATAAACTTTCCCCTTTGATACCAGATTACTGTTGGAGTGATAGCCTGGCATCCATTGTTGACAAACACGTTGGTCGTCCTAGGTGTGAGCAGGAGCCATTGGCGCGGCCCTTATTGTGGTTTTTGGTGAGAGGAGCAACAGCAGTGCTGTCGCCAAAGTATGTCTTGATGAGCATTGACCCTGCCGTCCTCTCAAGGGGGAATGCTTTTGCACTCAACCCACAGGCTGGGCAGGGGGTCCTGAGCAGGCTCTGGTAGAAGGGCCCGCCTCACAAGATCTCGGAAGGCATCTTCCACATTGTGGATTTCCCGAAGATTGGTGTTCAAGCCGTTGTGGCGAGCAGGAGATGCCACCGCCACATTTGGCTCCATATCTTCGATGGAAAAGCCTAAGCTTGTTAGCAAATCTTTATCAGACTCCTTGTAGTTTGTCATACCTGAATCGTCGTCTGTCGCGTCTTCGATCTTCCTCTCTCTTGATGATCGAGTCAGAACGCGTATAAATGCAGCACCATGGTCTGCCATTTCAGTTTACTCAGGATCGCATTGATCCCAAACCTGTCTGCTTGTACCACTTTCGGGGGAGGACGCCGCCGTCGGTTGCGACGAGGTGGGTGACCTTATCACTCCAAGTCGAGGGTGCTGCGGACAGCCACCGAATTGACTTATGAGGCACAAGTCCAGAAGACCTGTGGAACCTGCGGCGTTTGCATAGAAGCCATGTTCTGCAGAGAGAAGATTGTTAGTATTTGTTTTTAGATGTCTCTAGACGGCGACAAATAAAAGAAGTCTTGTAATTTTCGCCGATGAGGGGTGGCAGGGTAGAAAAGTTAGGCAGGTGCCCCAGTGAATGAAAAGAATACAAACGCGAAAAAAAGACGCGGCCGTGAATGGAAACAGGGTAGAAGAAGGGCTACTGTCAGAAGGGGAACTTGATGTCTTACCGAAACTCTTGGTTGCTCGTTAAGCTCCAAACGGCCATCCATGGCCTCGGGGTCTTCCGGTTCGATCCTCAAGGGATTGCATCCTGATCGGATCTCGAGGAGGCCTGGAGTGATGCCATGGAAGCGGCAGATCTTTCGTCTCGTTGGTTTAGACGGAAGGGCTGAGGAGACTTGTAGATTAGGGAAACGGGAAAAGGAACGAAAAACTTGAGGCCGAGACAGGTATTTATATTTGAGCTTGGGTTGGCGCCGAGGCTGACGATGAGAAGGCTTGAGGCGGGAACAATCGAGCTGCGAGCCGTTTGCACAATCCGCCGGGCGGTTTGGGTCGACGCGTCAAAACTTTCACGCCGGACCAACGGCGGAGTACTATCATGCCCTGCCAGCCCGACCTTTTCTCCGATTGTCACTTGTTCGATTATCATGTCTGTCTTGAGTAACCGTTCATTGTCCTCAAGCTGCCACCTACTTACAGGCAGCAAAGCCTATTCTACTAAAACAATCTTGAGCACTTGATCAAAGTTTTACCTTGTTTCCCCATCGTCTCGTTACTAGCTAATACTAGACAGTTATATGCTGCATTGTGATCCTGTCCAAGTCATCCAGAGAGACGCAAGCAATTGTCCATGTTGGTGATTTTTAACCATTTGGGTCCATCAGTATCCAAGATGAGAGAGACCCTGAAGTGATCGGAAGCAGTGACAATTGCTGCAGATTCCTACTTACAGCCAATGGTATCTAGCAACAGTTTCACTACATTGTTACAGCGTGACTGCCTCGCTCAGTAATAAATACACGGTCTGTAAGGCCATAAGGATGCCGCGTTTGCAACTACGGGTTTATTGTTCTTGTACTCCAAATTAGTATAGCGTCGTTCATCTCTAAGTGTTAGTCACGCTATAGGATCATCTGGCTTGTGCCGAGTAGTCGGCTGCCAAAAAGCGGGGACGGAGAATAACCGAGTACCATAGAAACATGGATCCCGCTACTCTGCCGAATATTGCGCATGGGAGCATCACTGATGACTCGCATTTCTTCCCTTTCCTTGGTATCTTGGTCGTCAAAGACCATGACAGTACAATAGACTATTCAACATGGAAAACGTTGAGCAAAGGATCCGACAGGCAGTCAAGGATGAGACGATCCTCGGTGCTGTCCTGGTCGCCAAGGACAAATCCGGTACCCACCTGAATCCAGTCATCACCATCGAACAAAACCCGCCATCTGACAAACATACTAGGCAAACTAGATTACCACCGCGCTTTTGGCAAGCGCCAAGTCAAGCCAGAAGAGAAACCCATGGAGCTGGACACGGTTCTTGCCATTGCTTCCATGACCAAGCTAATGACGACCATTGCCGCACTCCAGCTCGTAGAACGCGGCGCCGTGACCCTGGATGAAGATGTCGGCAGACATCTAAATGTTTTGGCCCGGCAGGAAGTCGTGCGTGGTTTCCAGCCCGACGGGACCCCGATTGCAGAGAAGCGCAGGAATCCCATCACCCTGCGGCAGCTCCTCACGCACAGCTCGGGCGTCGGGTACGACTTTGTCCATCCCGAGATCAACATGTACAAGAAGCACCACAAGTTGCCGATGGGCAAGACTATCAATGAACGCTTTGGCGCGCCGCTCCTCTATCAACCAGGAGAGGGCTGGTCGTATGGCGGCAGTATGGACTGGGTGGGCCGACTGGTCGAGGTTCTCAGCGGACTGAGTCTCGAAGACTACATGAAGAAGTACATTTGGGACCCTCTTGGGATCAAGGACGCTACATTTTGGCCGGCAACGCGGCCTCAAGAGTACAGAGACCGCCAGTCGGCGATGGCGATACGCGACAGCAAGACGGGCAAGGCTGTCCAGTCGCGCAAGCCCATTGACCTCGGCAGTGGGTTGACCGAGGCCGCTGGTGGTCAGGGCGCATTCATAACCATGGATGATTACATGAAGGTTATGCATTCGCTATTGATGGATGACGAGCGTCTGCTCCGCAAAGACACGACCGAGATCATGTTCAAGCCCCAACTCTCGCCGTCTGCCAAAGCCGCTCTCTTGGAGTCCGGCTGGGCAGTTGGTGTCGGCAATTTTCCAGAGACCAATGAGTACGACTGGGGTCTTGGAGGAATCTTGATTGATGGAGATAAACATCCATACAGGAAAAGGAACGCTCTTACTTGGAGCGGGGCACCAAACTTGGTTTGGGTAAGTATCATGTGCTCTCCACTATGGCAAGTAAGCTGACTTGACTTGTCGCAGTTCATCGACAGAACAGCTGGTGTATGTGGCGTATTTGGCTGCCAATTATTACCCACGAAAGACGAAAAGGTTGAAGCATTGATCCAGATCTTCGAGGAAGGAGTATACAATTATAGTACCAACAGGATAAAACTGTGATAAATACATCAAATTTACAACCTTGCCAATTAGGTTCAGCACCTGGACCAACCGACACAATGATGCTCTGTAGATTGGCTCCACAGGCTGCCAGCACATGGATGCTGGATATCTGTCGGGTTCTCTGACCTGCGATTGGTATCATGGATTCATCCCCAAAAGTCTCCATGGCTATCTTCGACTAGCCAGGTTGCATTTCATGGCTACTGGTCTCCGAACGAGGCTTGTGTGGCGCAAGGTATGGTCTCATCTAAGGACTCCGCCAGCGCTCATATCGATGGGCGAGTGGATGTGTCGAGGACTGAGTCACAAGCGCAGCCGGGCATTTGAGAGCTTGATGCATTGAAATGCCAGACACAGGCCAGGTTCTGCTTCATGCGATCAAACTGAACTGTGAACCAGATTCTCTCACGCAAATCTCTTGCCATAAGCCACGGTACCTCCGACCAGCTTGCCCAGCACGTAGCCAGCATAAACACCCACCAGAATCGTGACTGGCCACTTCTGCCACTCGCGATCCCAGTCAAGGGGTATAGGTACAGCTCCAATCCAAGCACCAAAGCAAGCACCAACCAAACCACCAGAAGCCTCATCAAAGGGCGCTCGTACGCCTAGGATCTCGAGCCAGTCGTTCGTCGCAACGCCGTGGCTGTAGAAGAGAGGGTATAGACCCAGCAGAGAGAGATGCAGGGAGCACAGGAATGTGTTCGGGAGGTGTGTCAGGAAAGGAGCGCCAAAGAGGACGAAGAGGACGTGGAGAGGTACGGCGGAGAAGATGGTCAGGAGGATGGCAACTGTGGTTGTCTATAGATCGTAATAGTTAGCCAATGTCTGCGTACAAAATATGTTCCGAGGGGAAGGAGACGCACCACTGCAATGTTCGGCCCAGCTCCGTCAGCTGCCGCCTTCTTCTTCTCGCCAGGGCGGAGCTTCTTTGCGGGCTTCATCGCTTGAGCTCCAGCTGGTGGCAGGCATAGAATTGTATACGCAACCTGCATCGCCAGGACCACGGGAGCAGAGCTCCACATGGTGGTTATCGGATCCTGTACCAGGGCATTGAACCTCGCGTAGAAGAAGGCAGCGAGCAGGACTGGGTGAGCATGTCTCACGATTTGAGCTTGGGACGACGGCAGGATGGGGACGGGTTTCGTTGTGACTTCGCTGCCGCCGGCGGGTTTGGAGGCTTCGGAGGCACCGGTTGTGCTCGATGGCGTAGACATTGTGACGGGATCTACGAGAGGCATCGAGACGCTGCGATTATGCGCTCTGGAGCAAAGGTGTGTCGAATTGAGAAACGTGGTTGAAGCTTTAGAGTTGAAGCAAGCTACGAACATTACAGGGGGTTCCAATTCCCGGGTAGAACATCTTTGGCGCGTCGCTAAAGAGCAACTAACGCTAAATTTGAGCTGCGGCCCGCGCCCGATGAAATCAATGATACTGTATTAGAGGTGCACAATTCCAGTCGTTTTCGAGCTCTTGGTACATTAGACGTGGTGATTTTACTGATTGAATGCATTGACAGACGCCGACCTGCTGTCTACAGTTGCATTGGTTGTTTATTTTCAGTCAATGACATAAAATGTAGCTATCCTCATCTGCCGTTTGGTTCGAGCCTTGGACAGATATGTTCAAAGCTATCCCTCCCCGTAATAACGCCATGATAATGCAAGTCTTGAAGTGCTAGATGCTCCCTGTGATCAAGCCTCGGCCTTGGGAATCAGGTTTCTCAGGGACAGATCGTAAATGACATCCTCAACCTTCTTGACGTGATACTTGACGGCATCGATCTTGCGGCGCACAACGTCGTTCTTGAGGTTGAGGAGCTGGAAGCCAGCAAACAAATCCTTGATAAAGGCACTGATGCGGACCGTAAGGCTGATATCGCCCATGGTGACCGAGTTCATGGCCAGGCGGCTGAGCTCGTCCGTGAGGTCGGTCAGAGATAGAATGTACTCCTCAATGGTGATGTGGAAAGCATCACGGTCCTCCAGGTTGACAGGGACTGTAGTCATGGTCAGTTCGACATTGGTATGTAGAGCAGGAGCGGCGCAACAAACCTCCAAGGATCTCGCCAACCTCTTCGATGCGAAGCAGACGACCGAGCTCGCCAGGCCGCGATTCGGTACCAAGACCACCAAGCCAGGTGGTCAAGAGCATCGAGTAAATGAGGTTCTGAACTGATCTCGTCCACTTCTGGTTGTACCTGTTTCCAGTTAGTGTGGATATTCATGATAGACCAGGTAGGAGAGCTCACTTGTAGTAAGGATAGCTCGAGGCAAACTTGGAGAGCTCGCCAATGCTCTCGACGGCAGGCTTGATGCCTTCCTTCTCAACCTCGGCGAGAAGGGGACCAACTGCGTTTCATGTTAACTTCTCATGCCTCCCAATGGGGGGTCGATCACATCAGCTTACGCTTCGAGGTAGGTGTAGCATGGATGCGACTGAGATGGCCCTGAGCTGTCGAGATGTGACGGTTAAGACCAGTCAATATCTGGTTCAACTTGTCGTTAACCTCGGTCTGCTCCTCAGCGTGAGCCTGAAGGTACTGGAAGATCTCGGGATCGATCATGACACCTGTGTTGCTCGCCATCTTTAACCCTTGGTGCATGTCTGGGTGATTTCTCAAGATGGTGGTGCTTTTGGTGGGTGATGCATTGCCGCTACAGATCAGGCAAAGTTTTCACCAACATTTTGGAGCGCGTCACATTTCTTCAATTCAAACTATGGACATGATCGCTAGCACGACTGCAAGTTCATTCTCTGCCCTTCATCACTTTAATCAATGATTGTAAAGTCTGCCAGGTACACTGGAACTGCAAGCATCCCACGAAATCATTGAACTGCCTGCAGCAAGATAGATCGCCTGCGCAGCCATCCTCTATACGCGCGCGCACATCAACGTCAAAAAAATAGCAGTCACAAGTGGCTACGACAGCTATAACGATAAAGCCTATTTCCTTGCTCTTTCAGCTCCTTTGCCTTTTGGCTTAACATCATGATCAGATTCAGAATATTAATATCCGAAGTAGACTTTATGCCGGGTAGGGAACTTGCTCAGATGCTACTTTCTCACGAATAGGAATACTAATGCGCAGGACTACTCGTTTCCCATTTAGTATCTGAAGTGGAAATGAAATCTCGTTTGCCATATATTAATCTTCTTCATAACGATAGTCAAGCTATTATTATAATGAAAATGATTTCGCGTCTCGTCGAGGTAGTGAAAAGTCAACGGACACTGTGGATGGAGCCATGGGCAAGCCCAGAGGACGCCAACCGGAAGACAAAAATAGGAATAATATTGATTGTAACCCTTAGGTTACTCTGCGGGGAGGGGTTAGCATAAGCGTGTGGAATGTTTTGAGACGAGGTTTTCTCACTTCAGATATTAAACTCTGCGAGTAGATTAGCACAATTTATACTATCTCACCTCGGAGAGGCAGTGACCAGAAGATGACTTACGAAAAGAACAGACTGTGACACTAGTTAGTTGACTGGCACTCCAGCCAAGGGCGGAATTGCACATACTACTACCTGCAAAGATTATCAGCGATTGTCCAAAGATGATGATTCGTCTCTTCATCTACCGTCTCGATGACTCGAAGATGGCAAATGGGGACTGGGGAAGGGTGACGGACACTTGATCTAAGCCCTGAACATTGGAAATGTGGTTAGCATTTGAATACTTCGTTCGATCGCGTCGGCGTTTGATGAGATTAACCATCAATCATCAAAGATGGGATGGCATAATCAAGCGCGTCGGCTTCGAGGGGGCAAATCGGCTTACAAAAGGCAAAGACTTTGGGAACGGGTTAGCGAGAGCACCGTTAGGGGGGGGAGTGGTGTTGCTTACAGAGCTGAAGAACAAACCTCTAAGTGGGAGGAAAGGCCTAGCTTTATACCTGTAGGAATTGGAGTGATTTGGGATGGCCGGCAGAATTCTGACCGCCTAGGGCTGCGCGGGCGGGCGGTCAACAACGCAGCTGCCAGGGCTGGGTGGGCCACTGCCTGCGCCGGTTGGCAACGACCAGCGTTTGGCAGTTGCCCGCATAAGTGGATCAAATAATGCCTGCTCACTTGTGTCTTGTCACTTGTGTAAACAAACAGAACGACAGATTAATTTCAGGCACACGCAAAGGATCGCTGCCTTGCAGATGAAACTCCAAAAATTATTTTCATTTTGTGTCTTTCTCATATTGTCTTGGTGTTGTCTTAATTGTGACTGTCCTCTTTGTTTTACATGCGACTGAGGGCATGCTGCCTGTTGGCCTTGTCTACCAAGTTCTTTGATGAACTCATGTTACGCGTCTCATTGCTCAAATGCTTTGGCGAATGCCTCGTACATACGATTCGTATGCTGCCTTTGAGGTGCCATGGAATTTTGTGCATGCAGGCAAGCATAATTGCCAAATACCAATTAATTGCAACATCGACGCTGCCTTTGGTTGTGGCAGGAAGCATCTTGCATCATTGCCGGAAAGGAACGTCAGTGTTGGATGTTTCTGCATTTAAGATACGTAACGTGATTGATCATCGTTTTACCCAACGACATCAGAGAGAAGGCACAAATCTCCAAAGCTCGGACCTGGACACGCCCAGAAGGTCAACTGGTGGTGGTCGACTTGTACCATCACCAAGGCGCGTTGGCAGGAGTCAATGGAAACGGTCACGCCATACAATGTAGGAAAGTGCGTGGTGATTCATTGGTCACATGGCGTATAGGAACAGTACCTGCCATTCTTTCGTTGCTGCGCGTTGAACCATTTTTGGAGGCAGTACTTGCACCTAGCAGATCATCAAGGTCGATGTCAAGTAGGAGCCTTGGGCTCGAGATGCATGGTGTATCTTGACTATTGATGTGGTCGTATCGATCTGTTGTCTATCATTGATGTAGATCTGCCACCATGTGTCTGTCAGGGCCAAACTGTCCAAGTCTAGCATCGGTGCCGACGAAATTGAATTGATATCGAACTGTCCCTGTAGGTTGATCTTGTAGTATCTACCTCTATACTGCTAGTACAATATCTATCAAACACTACGCCAACATGAGTTTGGGGTGAAACAACGATTATTGGAAGTACGTAAATCAGAGTGGTAGCCGTTCCCAGAGTTATGCAATTACGTCAGAATGACCAGTATCATTTGCAGCTGCCAGGGTGCTGTTTGCAGCGAAGCAGTCTATATAGATCAGCGTATTCAATGGTACAAGTTTGCCATACGTACATTGCATTTCACATCTGGCTATATCAAATGATAATGTAATCATCGCCTCTGCTTTGGCATACACATGCCTAAAAATAGAGATCATTTTGACAGACCTCTTCCAGGGATTGCAAAATCCAGCTTTCTTTGCCTCCTTCCCATGAGCTCGATGTCACATGACTCTATTGACATCACGCTGGACACCGGGGATGCTGCAAAGTGATTCATGCGACAAATAGAACAGCGAGCTGGAGATTTGCTTTGCATATGATATTGCTTAATTTTACTATTTAAATGTGACTTATAACCGTGTATCATCACTCATAGCCGAGCATGTACTGCGCTACTGTAGGCTTCAGAAGAAGATCTCGCTCATGCATCACACAGTACATGCTTACTGCGGAACCTGCAGGAGCAACTTTCCAGTCGTCTTTCTGCTCTCAAGGTCGTCGTGCGCCGCCTTGGCATCCTCCAGCTTGTAGTCCGAAGTGTTCTCCAGCTTGACAATGCCCCGCTTGAGCATGTCGACGAGCTCGGACGAGTACTTGCGGAAGTCCTCAGCGTCAGACAGGTAGGCAAACAGAGTCGGGCGCATGAGCTTGAGGTTCTTGGAGCCAGCGAGGCGCATGACATCGACGGGCGGCACGGCGCCGCTGGCGTTGCCGTAGGTGCAGACGGTGGCCTTGCGCGCGGCGATCTCGAGGTCCATGTCGAACGTGGCCTTGCCGATACCGTCAAAGACGGCGTCGGCGCCGTGGCCGCCCGTGATGCGCTTGACCTCCTCGATAATCTTCTCGGGGCTCTCGCGCGAGCTGATGACGTAGTTGGCGCCGTTCTTCTTGGCCTGCTCCATCTTCTCGGGCGTGCCGGCCGTGCCAATGATCTTGGCTCCGATGGACGAGATCATCTCGCAGAGAATGGTTCCGACACCTCCGGCCGCGGCCGTGACAAAGACCCAGTCGGTCGGCTTGACGTAGTGCGCCTCCTTGATCAAGGTCAAGGCAGTGAGACCCTGGAGGAGCGAAGCGGCAGCGGTCTTTGTTGTGACGCCCTCGGGCAGGATAATCACCTTTTCTTCTGCGACTGCGGTGTATTGTGCGTAGGCGCCACGCGTCTGGCTCAAATACCCCACCTTGTCGCCAACCTTGAGGCCGGAGACGGAGTCGTGAACAGCGGCCACGACACCACCAGCTTCACCACCAGTGACAAAAGGCAATGGAGCCTTGTAGAGGCCACTTCTGAAGTAGCTATTTGGAGTGTCAGTCTAATTGCACCATATTTCAATCGATGATGGACTAGACGAACGTATCAATGTAGTTGACACCAACCCATTCATTCTTGACAAGCAATTGGCCCTCCTTGAGCTCAGGAACGGCAATGTCATCCTTCCATTGCAAGACCTCGGAGCCACCGGTTTGCTCAATGAGGATACCTCCCATGGTCTTTGGAACAGATGCCATTTTGAAGGTGTTGTGGAATGATCGCACTTGAGGTGGGAAGATCCGAGATCGGGAAGCAAGATGTACAGGCAGCGGACAATATAGTGGTTTAAAAGTCTGAAAGACTGGTGAACAACACAAGACTCGCGATTGCTTGGGAATAGAGCTTGTGAAGAGAGATGGGTACAGCGAAGTTCGCATTAATGATTTCATGCCGAAGCTTTTACGGTGCTTTCCGTGCTTCTCCAGCTGCAAGCTTGTTCCGTAATCCAATAGAGTTGCTTACAATTGAGGTTGTATGGAACCCAGGCGATAGTAACCGCCCTTTCCCGCTCAACGGCTATGGGCCGTCGGCAGCTCATAAATAATGTACCTAGGCAGTAGCTGAACCATCTCCAATTGAATAAAAGCTATGTAAGCAGAGGGTAAATATTCCCACGGTGCTGTGAGTTGGGGTTTGGTTATAGATTGATTCGAGCTAGTAGATATAATAGCAGCAACCAACCCTTTATTCCTTTTGCAGTTGTTATTGTCTTGAACAACCAGACAGAACAACTGACTGGCAATAATCAACATGACGTCACTTTCTTTATCCCCCTCTTGCTTACAAATAGCAAGTAATATCAAACCAGAAGTGCTTTGACAAGTCACATTCTGTACGACTGCTGCATTTAAAGTCGCTCGACCATAGAGGCAATGGAATGTCAAGCATTTCAAAGGGAAACAAACTTCTGTATAGAGCAGAGAATTGACAGGCTAGTCGACTTTGAAGCGCGGATGCTCAGTAAGCTTCCGCGAGGCTGTGCACATGGCTAGTAGGTAGCGAGAAGGATTTCCGTTGGGACCCTGGAGTCTTGCCGTATGCCGTGCTGACTTCAAAGGTTGCCATCCTGGGTCCCAACGCCTCGAATTAGGCTGTGGTGCAACGCCAGTGCCGGGTGATATTGATGCAATAGCTTGTCCAAGCTGCACCTCTGTTTCCTTTGCTACGGCATCAAAGTCCCTCGTGAGTCCCCATAATCATGAACCAGATGGGACATGTTCGGCCCCCAAGTTAGAGTTGCGCCATGACCCGTCTTCGTGTCTGGTTGCGCATGCGTTAGTCTGTCCTAAAGGGGATTTGTGGTGTCTTTTCTCAGCCGATCGTCATGCGCATGTACGAGGCTTCTTGGGAAACCATTGGAACTCTGCTGCGGAACGTGGTCGCATCTGCACATGTTGTTTCTATAATTAACCATAAACCACATTCTGCAGTGTCGGCGATCGACACTGATGCTGCCCCTCAATTCACCAATTCACAGGGTGTCTTAGGGGTCCAAAAAAAACCTTGCGAGGTTCTTTTGTCCACTGTAAAGTGATTAGAGCTTGCAGATTGGAGGGGCGCGCGGGGTCGGCCAGGCCCTGGGCGCATTCAACTCCAATACGGCCGTCTCCGATGCCTACTAGCGACAACGGCAACTTCAGCTGGACCAACCGCCGTCCTGGTCGGTAGGACTGGGGTTCAAAAGTTTTCCAATTTGACTGTCGAGATTTCTTAAAGTCCTTGTGGCTGAGCCTTTTGTCCTGTCTTTTCTGTCGGTTCAATTTTCAAGAATCTCAAAGTACAAATACGCCATTCGTCCCGCCAGTGTCCATCGATCCTATAGTCGACAGCTTCCCACGCCAACCGTTGACCTCTTTGCCATAGGACTGCTCGGGCTAGAAGGTCTCTGGGCAAGAACTAGTTCTACAACTCCTCAAAGCCCTAGGGTACTGCCACCGCGTCTTCCAGGTGAGCAAGCATCTCTCCTCTCCCAGCTTTCCTCACCATGACACTAAGACCGAATTCAAGACTCTAGACCGCCAAAGACACCATGGCAACCAAAGATCCCATCACCTGCCACATCCTCGACACGACCGCCGGCCGGCCGGCCAAGGGCGTGCGGGTGAAGCTGGAGGGCGGCCACGCGCCCCTCAAGATATTCGAGTCGCAGACGGACGACGACGGCCGCATCAAGTCGTGGCTGCCCTACAGCAGCGAGCACGAGGCTGGCGACGTGCCCATCTACACGCTCGAAGAGGTCCTGGGCGAGGTTGAGAACACCTCGACGTGGACGCTGCGGTTCTACACGGAGCCCTACTTTGGCGAGGGCAACACCTTTTTCCCCGAGGTCGTCGTCACTTTCAAGGTGCAAAAGGGCCAGCACTACCACGTCCCCCTGCTCCTGTCGCCTTACAGCTACTCGACATACCGGGGAAGTTAAGCGAAGAAAGATGATCGATAATTGGGATGCAAGAGAATGTTGTGGTATGGCCAGGCATTTCTACAGGCATGTAGATGGTTTCCGACTGTGAAAAGCGGCTACGATACTACATGAGACATAAATATACCACAAGAGAACGTCAATGACAACGGGCCGCATTCTTGGATCTTTGTTGCAGAATATGCTCCATTCAGAGGCAGAGTAGTCATCTCATGGGAATCCAGCAGTCTACGATGCCTTGATTTCCTGAATGTTTCTCTGGTTGGAAATAACATTGGTCTGGCGGTCGCGATCTAGATCATCAAAGAGAATCAATTGCTACCAAGTTCGTGCATGTGTTAGACTCATGGTCATTTTGATCAGATTCTTTGTCGAAGTGATAGCTACGGCCACTCGGGACTCTCATGTTGCGATTTTCTGTTCTTTGATTTACTGTTTGTGGCAAAGACAGCCATGTTTCATGACTGACATGATCTTTCGTTTTCGTGATCTTGCCATGCCAGAAGCATCTGCCCGCATGAGACATGGATATCATATAAAGGTATTGACTCCTATCGCCCAAATGTGCTTGCCTTTAGCCAGGCTGGTACCAGGAGAATATACTTTACAAACAACCGGTCTGTAAAGTTGTCATCATGACACCTTCACCGAAAGTAGAAGATGTCGACGATGCAGCAGCGGCTGGCAACACATCAGATGCCTCTGTAGGACAAGATCTAGATGACCCACAAGACGAGCAAGGAAGATTTCTAGATTTTGTAATCTCGTCTTTGGATAAAGGATCACCAACCTCTAGCACAGCTTCCGAGGCCGACCCCGACGCACCCGCAGGCAGAAATCCTCCACGGACGGGCGTCGGCCATCTCCTCCGGCACGTCAGAGTATCCTTGCTGTGGCTCCAGGAGGTGGGAGACGCACTGACCGAGTCTGACGTGGCCGGCACTGTCTGTCAGTGGCTGGGAAGGCTCGACGACCCGGGCGAGGTCACAAACGGGGAGTCAATGGCGCTGGACTCCCTCCGCGAGGTCCTCCGCCAGGTCGCTGCGCGTCGAAGCAGAAGTTGTGTTCGATGCGGCGAGGCTTTTGAGGAGGAATACAATGCTTGGAATTGCAAGAAGTTCTTGGATAATCATTATGGTAAGTTGGGGTTGCCATCACCTGCTACCTTCCGCTCCCTTTCCTGGTATCATGTGTAGTGGTTATCGGAAACAACGGAGCTAATTTATGACGGCATGTTTGTAGATGGTAAAGGTCGTCTCGAGGTGTATCCTTTGGCCTCTTGTTGGGTACACGATGCAGAGCGCGCTGAGAAGCTAATGGGTATGGATTTTTCGTTGTTAAACAGAGAGCTGGCCGAGACCAGACCGGACGGCTTTCGATGGAACTGCTGCGGTAAAAATGCTCTGGCATTAGGATGTGGCATGCTGAAGCACGTCTCGTCTTGAAGGGCATGATTTGGAAAACTCGAATCCAAATTTCAAATCCATGATCGGGGTTTGTTGCGTATTCCCAGAAATTTTGGTGAATCAGCTGGAGGCCCTTGGTCATTAGTAGTGAACATTATGTAGTGATGATGGGATAATGATTGCCGCATCTGCTATAAAGTCTCTTGGCATCGTATTTCTGGCATACATATACACCGTCGTAAATCACAATCTAAACTCGGTCGAGACGTATTTATTGCTCATGTTGAAGTTAATTCTAGATTACTGCCAATACAACATGTTCAAACCAAGTGATGTTATTGTAACATCATCATATTATCATGTCAGAATACGTCGGCTTTGATAATGTCATGTCATGATACGCCAGCAATCGTCTCTAATCATCAAACCGGAGTTTACTAAGAGGCTTAAATGAAAATTTTACTTAATCGTGCTAGAGGTGTGGCACAGTTTTGACATGAGCAACATGGCACAGTACAAATCATAGATATGTTAAATGTACAAGAAGGACGACGCAAGCCAGGGACCTAACACTAAGGACACCTACTGAGGATGACTACCAGGTCCAGTCGATTCACACAAGATCGTCCAGTGAACAGTCTCCTGAGAACCACCAATCCGTGGACATTGTATCAGAGATGCCGATCCGTTTCTCGAGGTGCCTGGTGCGTCTAGGTTAAGCCCGCTATGACGACGCTGATCCTGCCAATGAAGGAGCCGATACCGCCTGTATCTTGTCCAGAACACAGAAGTAGGCGCCAGCTACTGCAAACCAGGCCAAGTGGCAGCACATCTTGGGGCCAGACCTTTGCTCCCAAGATCCACAAGAGCAGATGTCGCAAGGGACGCGTCTCTCACCTTTGCAACAAGACCTAATGGGATGGATTCCGTTGATTGCGGGAATTTCTGGGTGCATTGAAGCTTGGCATTTGTTTCCCTGGGTCCCGGGGGACTGGGGAAGACGACCGGGGGCTCTCTTCAACCCCGGTTGAGTTGATGGCTTCCCGTCGACTATAATGCTTGGCAACGGCATTCCGTCGTTGAGCGGAGACCCTGTTCGCAGAACTCGAAAGTCCCCCCTGTTTGTAACTCTCCCCTTTGTCGTTCATGTGAAATTCCCGGGTCCAGCGGCTATACGTAGTACGAAACGCGGCTCGGGGCCCGGCTGGGCTCAAACCGTAGCTCGAGAGCTAAAAGGACCGGCGTTCACCAGATACCCCGGAAACTCGTTTCCCATTGGCGAGATCATTCTGCATGCTGCTTGCTGTCTTTTGTACGTACGTACATCCTTCTCACTCCTTGCGCAAAATCTTTTGAATCAAAATGGGACGCAATCTCAATTTTTTTTAATAGTATACTGCATGCTGACGAGCGAAGTATCAAAGTGTTTGAGGTCTGCTAAAGCAACTACCATCCTTTTTGCAGCGGCTGCCTACAGCATTGCCACTCTAAGTAAGTATAGTATTCTAGTCAACGACGAATCAGATATGCAGCCGATGTCGCTGACATGTTATAGGTAATATGTAGTAGTTGAGCTGTGGCCACGCACAGACTAATACAAATTCACAGTACACGAATCAAAAAAGATCGGCCGCGAGCCGCGACGAAAGCGGGCCGGTTCCGATACTTTGGAAATGTGCTCTTTTCCCTTTCTTTTGGCTGTGCGGCTCTGCTAATGCAACATGTCGAAACACTCACCAAGGCAATTCTGTATGTAGACTGGCAATGACTGGCTCTGTCTAGCGACTGGCCACACCTTACCACACACCCAACCACAGAAACACCTTTTTGACTTTGTTCGCCTTTGAGCTAGAAGAAAATTTCGAACATTTCGAGCAGGAGATTTCATCACCATGACCGTTTGCAAAAGGGGATTTTCCGCACCTCTTCTGGATGTTTCTCGAAGCCTTTAGCAGAGCTCGACATCTGCAGCTTAGAAAGTCTATCCTGAAGAGTAGTACATCATTGGGTACTTACCTGCTTCCGAGACAATTGGGTACTTTGCGGTCAAAGATGACAATGACTGTATTTCCTGTGTCCTGCCACGATGCTGATGTGTTGGCTGGCGACATCCGAGCGGCTGGAGCAAGAGAATGCCAACACTTGAAACAGAGAGACGGGCCCAATGCTCCACCAGTTTCGTAAAGTCTTACCTCTGGAGAAGTAGAATAGTCCGATAGCTTGTGCGCGCGCCTACTGCTGGCAAATCGCGGAAAAGGACAAAGCGAAGGAAAGGAGGGGAACCTGTTAGCATGGTCGGAAGAAACCTGTCTAACTGTTGTACTTCCCCGAAATCGTAATAAACTGAACGGCCCGCGTCGTCAGCAAGTCAGATTTCACTCATGACAGCCATCAACGCCTGCAGAAAGGGAACCTGCAGTAGTTTGAAGTCTTTGGATCCAGAGACATGCATGAGGGATATGCATGATGGACGGACGGGCTGCCGCTGTAATCATCGCTGGCCATGCACAGAAACACTGTCGAACAGGATGTGTTGATCCATCAACATTGCCTAATGACAGACTTTTTTCCAACTTGCGAGCTACGTACCCGCGCCCGAGCCGTTGCAATTAGCACTATGACGGAGGATCGACCGGTGGGTGGGCTTGTGCACGCCCTCAACGGCCGGCCCTTTCGGCCCCTCTGAGGAACAAATTTTCTGACGACGGCCCAACCGTTCGCCGCGTGTTCGTAGCGCGGCGCTGGCGGCGTCTCCCGCAACCGCAACAAGGGTCTAGGCTGTATAGGAGGAGACAATTCCGTACCTGGGTGGATCTCTGCTATGACTCGGCCAACTCTGTCCCCTGACTTGCCGAATCTTGCCCTGACTAGAAGGCTGACGTTGCGAGCCCTAAAGACGTCTAAACGTTGCCGAAAACGTGTTTGCCCCCACCTCCATCTTTCAAGTTCGCACGACTGTCCCTGCAGAAGGGTAAGCACCGTCACTTTGAGAGATGAGATGATCCCCCGAACTAGTTGCTAGTAGGTACACAGCTGGACTTACAGTTGTGCTGCCATCTCGCATGTACTTGCGGCGAGTCGTCTTGACAACAAGCCTGTCACTTAACTTGAGTCCCGGGCAGCTATACCCGAGTCTTGGCTACGCACCTAGAGAATGCCGTGTACCCATCGGACAATTACCCCATCATTGCACTTGCGACCAGTCAAATTTGAAGTATTTTTCTTTTCTAGATTGTAGTAATATGGATTGAATCGAACCAATCAACTCCCATCCACACCACTCTAGATTTATGGGTTCTTGCTGTAAGCCACCAGTTTGACGACGGCGCCCTCCTTGCTGGAGTCGGCTGGGTACTCGGCCTATTCGGTGGGGGGTCTGGATTCGATCTGAAGAACAAAGAAGCAAGAGCGGAATATCGAGTGACAATGTACCAGTGAATAACTCCCGTTTGCTGTCTGATGTGCCTGCCTAGCTAGCCAGTCTGTTAGTAACAGCTAGCGGCGGCGTGCGCCTTCCCCAGACGTACGCCGTTTACACGCGTGAATCACTGACAATCGAGTTTCGAAAATTTGTCTATATAAACTTGTCAAACTCCCACTCAACCTCTCGATCTTTTTTTTCCACAACAACAACAACAATTCATTCGACTTCATTCCTTTCAGTCTTTTGTTCCATCCACCCATCACAGGTGTTGCCTTCCTTTCTTCGAGACTTTCATTCTCTCAAACAATAACAACCAACAAGCACTCTTGACGAGTCTTCTTCACCACACACTCTCTCTTCTTTCTCTCCTGCCACTACACAGGAAAGATCAGCCAAGCCAACAACAGCAAACACAGCAACACCTGTACACTTCAACCTTCACACATCCATCAAAATGGTTCACTTCACCAGCGTCGCCCTTGCCATGGCCTCTGCCATTGGCCTCGCCGCTGCCAACCTGTCTGGCGACATGACCTACTACGCCCCCGGCCTCGGTTCTTGCGGCGGTACCAACAGCGAGTCGGACGCTATTGTCGCTCTGTCTTACCTTCAGTACAACGGCGCCAATCCTGTAAGCAACTTCCAGTGTGGTTTCTCTTCTTTTCTGAATCATTGCTAACACATGTTATTCCAGTGCGGCAAGACCATCAAGATCACCCTCAACGGCAAGACCACCACTGCCAAGGTCGTCGACAAGTGCATGGGATGTGCCGAGGATGCCATCGACGTCTCTCCCTCCGTCTTTGAGGACCTCGCTGACCTCAGTGTCGGACGCACTGTCGTCGATTGGGAGTTCACCGACTAAACATTGGTCGAGTGCCTTCCCCATCGTCATCATACCCAGCAAGCGTTGCACATTTTTGCCCCTTCCCCAAAAAATACTCAAGACTTCTCTTCTATGATACCACCAAAAATTTCACCAAAAAAAAGCGCTGGAATGCTTTCAGTTTTCACGGATGAATTTGGCCCGGGGAGCCAAATAGCGAGGAATCACACAAACGTCTGGGTTTTGTGCCAAGCTCAAGAAAAGGAATGATGGAAATGCCAGTTTGACGATGCTGTGCACCCTCCAATCACTAGCCTCTACGGCAGATAGATGAATGAATAAAAAATCAACACCAAACCAAAAAGCATTTTTGATGATTTGTTGCTTTCTCAAATGTGATGTCTAAAATTGTGTAAAAATAGTAAACAAGGTTTCGACCTGCACCTGGGGCTTTGCATCGTTGTTTATGTGGCACAGATCGACGATCGGTGATCATCGCAATCTTGTCTGAGATCTATCTCTGCCCTACCAGATCCATGTCGTTGGGTCATGTTCCCAATCAATGCAATGGCGCCAAAACAACCACGGAAGAGTACAAAAATTGCCATGTATCAAAAAAGAAATCGTGCATTTCAAGTCAAGAGTATAATGTATGGGTAGATTGATCTTGACTTGTGGATCCCTTTCTCGGAGGCCGCTTAACATAGTATACAAGACTCCGTATAATACCACATACGGTACCACATCTGGTCTTGGCATCAAGATGAATACCTAGATGCTATGCTAAAGCACATCCATGCATGAGTGGTAACCGTGCACTTGATCTTGCAGGGCGGCCACACCGACTGCCATGGAAGTTGTACATATGTGTCTCAATTGTGCAAAAAGAACCAAAGTCGTTGCCAAGACCAATCAATAAGAAGTTTGTTCTTCCAGTTTTCTGAACATTGGCCGGCTCAGATGGTGCCCATTTTGCACCAAAGCATTACATGTCCAAAATCAAGCTCAAGGTACAAACGGTTGGTCCCACAATAAGATAAAGGGTAGGTAAGCGACTAGAATGTTCAACATCCAACTCCTGCCATAGTTTGTAGTCTCTCATGTCTGCAAAGAGCCATGAAGTTCCGGCCCCAGGAGACTTGATACAAATCTTGGAATGCAATTTGGAGGCTCGCAGGTATGTAAGTACAACACTAGCGGCGCAAGTGGTTGATTCGGACACGGGCAGGCAAACTGACTCGGAAGAACCAAGTTTATGCATATAACCGTGGTTTTGGAGGGGCAATACCCGCTATCTATATCTAGAGGCATCTAGCGCATTCCACCCATTGTTGCAGGGTCCAGTTACTACTACCATTGCGATCCAAGGCATCTTTTTGCGCCTCTTGTCTTTTGTGCTGGTTTCCTCCCTTACGTACTTGACCCCTTCGATCCGCATCTACCCCAGAGTATCACGACATATCTCTGCGGGTGCCCACCTCCTCTTCTCGACACGAAAGACTTTACCGGTGGAACAGACTACCTACGTCACCGCCACCTTTGTCTCTTTCTCTCCCTCCCTCCTCTCCCTATATCCAACAAAGCACACATTAACACAACAATGTCGACGGCTGTGCTCGACGCCGACAGCCTGGAGCCGACGCTCCAGTCGATCCTGGACCAAAAGACGCTGCGATGGATCTTTGTGGGCGGCAAGGGCGGCGTGGGCAAGACGACAACCTCGTGCTCGCTGGCCATTCAGCTGGCCAAGGTGCGCCGCTCCGTGCTGCTCATCTCGACCGACCCCGCGCACAACTTGTCCGACGCCTTTAACCAAAAGTTTGGCAAGGAGGCCCGCCTCATTGACGGCTTTGACAACCTCAGCGCCATGGAGATTGACCCCAACGGCAGCATCCAGGATCTCATGGCCGGCCAGGGCTCCGACACTGGCAATGATGCCCTGAACGACCTTGGTGGTGGTATGGGTGGTATGATGCAGGATCTTGCCTTTGCTGTGAGTATAGACGGCTGTTATGGATTATGTCCATGCATAATTTGGTTCGAGTATCATGTTTGCTGACGAGACCGTCCCCACCACAGATTCCCGGTATCGACGAGGCCATGTCCTTTGCCGAAGTCCTCAAGCAAGTCAAGTCCCTGTCGTACGAGACCATCATCTTTGATACCGCGCCCACGGGCCACACGCTGCGCTTCCTGCAGTTCCCCTCGGTGCTCGAAAAGGCCCTGGCCAAGGTCAGCCAGCTGTCGTCGCAGTACGGCCCCCTGCTCAACGGCTTCCTGGGCGCCAACGGCAGCCTGCCCAACGGCCAGAACCTCAACGAGATGATGGAGAAGCTCGAGGGTCTGCGCCAGACCATTTCCGAGGTCAACACGCAGTTCAAGGACGAGAACCTGACGACGTTTGTCTGCGTGTGCATTGCAGAGTTCCTCTCGCTCTACGAGACGGAGCGCATGATCCAGGAGCTCGCCAGCTACGGCATCGATACCCACAGCATCGTGGTCAACCAGCTGCTGTTCCCCAAGGCCGGCTCCGGCTGCGACCAGTGCAACGCCCGCCGCAAGATGCAGAAAAAGTACCTCGACCAGATCGAGGAGCTCTACGACGAGTTCAACGTGGTTCGCATGCCCCTGCTGGTCGAGGAGGTCCGTGGTAAGGACAAGTTGGAAAAGTTTAGTGATATGCTCGTACACCCTTACGTGCCGCCCGAGTAATCTGGATAAATGTGTAAAGACGGAAAGGGAACGAGAGAGAGAGCAAGCCCGTGTCCGGATCCCAAAAGGGGGAAATATCATTGCATTTGACGCATAAAGTGATACGGAGAAAGCGATGGCGCTGGTGTACATGGGGAGAAACGAGGGTTGCTTTTCTACTAGAAAGTTGCGCATCGAGGCGTACAAGTACTCCGAGTACAGCATCTGACTCATCTGTCTTTTGGTGGGAGGCATATTCAGCAGAGATCTAGATAGCAAACCAACAATGTCCTCACAAACAAATCAATAAAGTTAAGCATGAATCACCAAAAGCATCTTGGCACTTTGTATCATTGTTCATTTCAAATTTCTTGAATTCATTCCTATTCGTCTTGCATCAGAACTTATCGCCCGTGCAAAAGACATCTAAGTACAAGAGACAAATCGCCAGTCTCTGAGCCCGTTTCTCTCCTCCCCTCCACAAGTTTTCGCCTTTTTATTAGAGGCAACTCGTAAACCTTATCAAATCAGAAAAATACCTCATCGAGGTGAAAACGCCTAATGAACTCCAATGTCGATGCGAATGATGTGGGGACTTTTTTTTTTGGTCGTGGTCGTAAAAGTCTTGCCACCTTTGCCATGATTTATCTGCCTTCCTCCCCCTTTGTGTGAACCCCCTGAAAAAAACGCCTTGGGAAAGCAGACGAAATGTGTCTGGAAACAATCGAAGCCTCCTGGAGATGTGGACGTCATATACAGGCCGGTGGCTTTCTGCAACAAGTGAAGTGGTGGGTTTTACACCTTTGGCTTGGGAATCGAAATGTCGCTGTAGTATGCTATTGTTTTGCAGGTATGAAAGGAGTCTTTGTCCGTTTCACACTGAGAAATTAGAGATAGTTGTTGTCGTAAAGTGTCTGTCGATTGGTATCCATCACAGCTCTCTGTAATCAGACGGCCGATTTCTCATGCGCCTGTTCTGGTGACGGTTGGGATTGACGGGTTGGCGAAAGTAGGCATCATTGTCGCCGTTGGGCTGGTTAAAGTTGTTTCGGTTGAAACCGCCGCCCTGCTGAAATCCGCCTCGGTTCATGTTGTTGCCGCCCATGCCATTCATGTTGTTCATACCGCCGCCATTGAAGTTGTTGAAGCCGCCATTCATGTTGGGGAATCCACCGTTCTGGTTGAAACCCCCCATACCCATCATGGGGTTCATCATGCCCATCGGCATCATGGGCATATTTGGCATACCCATGCCCATTGGCATATTGGGCATACCCATGTTCGGAAAGTTGGGAAACATCATGTTATTCATGGGCATGTTGCCCATTCCCATCATCTGCGCCATCATATTTTGCTGCTGGCGCTGTTGCTCTTCCTGTTGGCGCATGGCCTTTGGACCCTTGGGGATCTTTGGCTCATTCTCAAGTGGCTCTTCGGCAGGTCTCTTCTTTGAGACGAGCTCGTCTGGTTTCTTGGCACCTTCGCCGTTAGTGGCAGGTTGAGGTGTTGCGGATGGAGATGTCGATGGCTTAACGGCCGTTGGCGAGTTGGCGGAAACGGGTTCCGGCGTTGGTGACTTTTTGCCGTCCGTCGTCTTCTCCGTTTCTGACTCGGGGTTCTTGGAGGGGTCTGTTTCCTCGGGTTTGAGAGTTTCACCATTGACTTGCTCCTCAGCAGCCGGAGACTGCGCGGTCACGGGGCTCTTTGATCTTTCCTTCCTGGCCTGCTCCTTCTCCTTAAGGTGCTCCTGAATCTTAGTGGCAGCCTCATCATTCGGCTTAAGATCATCTATGAGGACTCCCTCCGTCTGGCACGCGGGACAGACGAAGTCACTTTCAATGAGCGCGTTCGTGATGCATTCATTGCAGAACGTCTTCTCACAACAGGGAGTGGTCACTGGATCTATGAATAACTTCTTGTCGAGGGTGCAAAGCAGTCCCTTCTCCTCCAACTCCCTATCTCCTTCAGACGCAGCCTTTTGTGCCGATGCACTTGTCTTGGACTTTGCTTGGAATTGTTCCCACGATGCCTTGTCAGGCTCTGCAATGACATAATCTCCATCTGCATTTACCATGACACCTGCGGGGGGCTTGACTCCATCCTCGCCATCCCCTTGCTGAAGCGTTGCCTTATCCACCGTCTTCAAGAAAGAGCGAGGAATGCCCGTCGTCCGCTTGACTCTAGGACGGTTATCGAATTCTGGATTGTCGTTGGTAGGGCAAACTTGTATCCAATGTCCTATTTGACCGCATCGATAGCAAACATAGCCCTTTGGCGGCTCGTGGTCTGGTACATTGACAGGTTTCTTTGCTCCAGGCTTGTATACAGGTGCCTGGTTCGCCATTTCCTCCTGCTGCGCAGTCCACTGGTCCGACTGGACCTGGAACATGGCCGCCAATTTCTCCTCTTCCGTGAGAGCATTGCTCATTTGTGCTAGGCCTTGGGTAGAGGGCTTGGCAGTCTTTGCTGTCGCTTCGCGTCTGGAAGAATTCTTCGCACTATGCGGCATCTTGCCCGAGACATATCTTGCGGCACGCCCAGCGCCGGGCTTGACAGGCGGTAGACGCCTGGCGATGACGGTTGTTGACCGAGGAATGATGGCGAGATCGTCCTCATATTCTATTGTTTTGGTTAATAGGAGAGTACTGGCACGAATCTGACATTGTGCTTTGCTTACCTTCGGTTCCATCCTCGGCGTAAATGGCAAAATCAAAGTCGGTGCCATCTCCCAGGCCACTCAATTTGATTATGTCGCGCTTGAGTTCAAACACCGAGATTCCCGTTCCATCAAACTCGACACGCGAGGGCTCCTTCTGAGACTTGAACTTGTAAAACACGGACGAAGTCATTGTGAAAAACGCGAACCACGATTGCCGAGCACTTGTGGTGTAGTATAATAGAAATCAAGGATGCCGGGGAAGATATTTCACCGGATTCAAAAGGGCCTCAACGAGAGAGCCTTACGTTGCTGCTGTTCAAGGGTTAATATTGAGAAGCGATGACAGTACAGGGTAGCTCGTCGCAAAGGTTGATTCCCTGTCGCTTCGTAATCTTGCACTGCAGGCAAATGGGGAGACGCGGGGTTTCTGCGAGTCGCAAATTTGATGGTAGGGGATCTTGGTTTTTCTTCTTTCTATTGCGGATGACCCTCTTGTGATGCCCTCTCCCAGATTGGGGTTCTTTTCTTTTCTTCTTCTTCCTTTCAAATTTTGACCAACTGGCAAAAGTAGATGGACGGGGGAATCAAAATTTTATGATTGTAGAGACTGAAAGAACAATGGAAAAAAAGCCCTCGGCCCTCTGTTGAGAAGAATGAAACACAGAAACTGTGATGTGTACACAAAGCCAAAGGCAGACTTGACAGCCAGATATCACCTCGCAGAGTGACAATGGTGACACAATCTCCTCCTGATCCCAGCACACCACACCAGGTATCCGATCTCAACTTTTTGAAATGCCTGTCCGTTCAACCTACCCTACCAGATGAGGCGAATGAAATAGTACCAAACGTTGTTGATCACGCTGATTATAAACTCATCGCCGGTCGGTCACTTCTCTTTATCGGTCGGTCGCGATTGTGGTGGCAAGCACGAAGTGACAGCTTCCAAGAGCGTCAAAGCTGCTGCAGATGATGCAGTCGCAAAAACTGCTGGTCGCAATGGAGATATTGCGCGCGGCGGCGATGATCGGCTCGAGATGGCGATGCTGTGTCGGTTCGTCAAATGATGGTCGTCGTGTGGAAGATGGTGGAAGTTGGGTGAGATTGTGGTAGATTAAGAAGTGGGAAGAGGCCAGGCAAGTCTGAGAAGACTCGGACGACCGGCGATTAGTCAGAGAAGAAGCGCGCTAAGCTCGGTTGGGAGCTCGAGTGTATTGTGATTCACGTGACCCTGCTCTTCGTTCAATTGGATCAGCTCGGCGCAGTTGCCAAGCAACTGTCAGCTACTTGTTACCTTGCTGGCCTTTGATTCACTCTCAACCGAATATCTTCAGGGAGACTGTATGTGATTGGATTTTTACAATATTTGAGTTCTTTAATTTATATGCAAGTATCTAAAATACCCCAAGTCTACCTGAACGCCGACGCCGGAACATGGGATAGAATTTCGTGTCCAGTCGATAGAACTAACGCTTGCGACGAAACAACAATGCTCGAACACATCTACCATGCGTCTTTCTCCAGCACTGATACTATGTAAATCAAATGCTCAACAGTGCCGCCGAGATGGTAGCCACCAACACCACAACCGGGTATGATAGGATGCCAAGTCCCAGCTTGGAGCCGGCGCTGGTTGTGCCACAGCAACTGCGACTATAGGTAACATTGTTGAGGTTTGCGGCTACTTCGAACACGGAACCTGGGTAGCTACCAGTGTTGTAGTAGTCGACATTTAGGAATTTCGGGGGCCTTCCCCACATGTTGACGCAATTGTCGCCCGACAAGCCCAAGCTACCAGTACCGTTGACGGCGTTGGTGACATTGAGCTCAGCTCTCGCCGGTACGAGCATGCTCACTCCCAAGAGCGACAGCTCGAGGTTCAGGTTATGATTGATCATGTAGAGACGGTTTTGAGCGTCGGCGTCTGCCAGATCCGGGGGTCTTTCCACGGTGCAAGGGAAGGAGGTGTCCGTGGGGTCAAAGGGTGTCTCCCACATCTGCGAGAACTCGTCTAGCAGCCAAGGATACTCGGTCTGGTTGGCCATGTAGTCCAAAAACATGACGACTCGCTTGCCTGACAGGATCATTTCGCTCAAAGTTGGCCAATCGTTCAATGTCATGGGCACCAGGGGTGGCGTATAGACATAGTCCAGAATGCCTGTCGACTCAATATACGGATAGTAGAGGGATGGCACCGAGCTAGATAAACTGTTAGCAAGTGCTTTCCACGTTTGATGGACCACTGTTCCAATTGAGATGCAGTGGTAACAAGTTGTACTTACTAATTGCCGTTGCCAAGCAAGATAGTTACGACATCGTAAGGGTGAGATACAACCCAGTCCTTGACCGTGGTCAACCATTCTGTGATAGGACCAGCATCGAGAATATCACAGCTGGTATGGCAAAAGTGCGGCTCAGTACCATTCGTGGGCCATTGAATCTGGGCCTGCAAAAAACGGACACCATCGTTGAGCTGGTATGTGACGTCGTACTTTTGATTCGCAGCCAGATTGTTCTGTGTGATAAAAGGAGAGTTGTGGCAAGCAACTTCGGTGATGTTGCCATAGTTGCGACTACAAAACTCAGCATAGTTGTTGCACGGCCTCGTGTTGGTGACAGTGGGCGTTGCCACGGTGGTAGCCGTGGTAGAAAAGTTGCCCGAAGCTGTGGCCGACGATCCGGTCAAAAAGGTCCTACTATCCGTTGTTGACACAGTCGACTGAGTGACATTGCTGCTCATGGTCGTCGAGGCATCATCTGTCAAGGTTCCCAAGTTTGATTCTTGTGATGTATATGTCAAATATGTGCCTGTCGGAGTCTCCTCAGTGGAAGTTGCCGATTGTGTCTCCGTTGTTCTCGAGTCTGACACGGAGCTGGTATCCTGAGCGAGGGCCGCACTGCATAGTAGCAGTGGTGCTAATAGCCGGTAAGCCATGATTTTGGGATCGCAAGCAAAATGCCGCGCAGTTTCAAGAGAATGTGTGCCCTCTGATGAAAAGAACTTTGCGTGAAAGAATTTCTTTTTCTTTAGAGTTGTCACTGTATGCAAGTAAAAGTTGTCCGGATTCGGTCGATATCGGTGCCGTCGAGTCGAGTCGGCACCGATGTCACTACAGGGCCGATACGTCAGGGGCTTCCAAATCCTTTGCTGACAGAAACAAGAAGTGGAAGTAGCAAGACAACTGCGCCAAAAACGATAGAGTGCCCTAGAAAGTCAAGGATGACCTCATGCGATGAAGAAAAATAAAGCTTAACAAGACCCTGTAATAAACAGAAGAAAAGCCAGGAGGTCTAGGCCTTTTGACCCAGAGAGGTTGGACAGCATCAGCAGAAAAATGGTTGTGCACTGCTAGTTGGGCGATGCTAGGCGGTGCTCCCGGTTCCAAGGTTCATGTCATGTCAGGGCGAGATACTCAGAGGTACTTGCTGGGATGGATCCGTTCACCGGACGGCAGCTGGGATCGCCGCTCCAAGTGCCGTGGGCGGAGGAGAAACGCGTCCTATCATGACCGCCAGTGAGTGATAGGGGGGCTGATATGCTGAAACAACCAACAAGGTCGTGCTGTTTTTGGCGTGGTGATGAGTTGTCTTGCACTTCTCTTTCCCTTTTCTTCTCACTAAAACTTTTTTTTTTGCACCAGGTCCATGGCGCTGTTTATGACGTCGCTAGAGCCTCAGCTCTCATGTTAGCACTGCTACTTTGTGGGTCACGATCTTTAGGCAAGCGATCTTCCTTAAGCTTTATGCGTATCCCAATTGGGGAGTCTATCGTTTTCCTAATTCAATCTAAGTGAGGTAGTATTACTTGGTAATCTGTTTCATGGCAACTAGATCGGCCCAGAGGGAAAAAATCAAGATAGAAATTGAGATAGTCTTTAGAACTTTTGCTATTTGGTGGTTTGTGCTCTGCTGGTCTTGCCGGTCTGCCGGGTCCCGTCTTTGTCAGATTAAGACAACGAAGGATGGACATTAAGATAATAAGTGTGACAACCTTTAATGTTCTGGGGTGTGTAGTGCTCGCAGCAGGCTCTTCCGGATCACTCGGGGCATTGGATACTATCAGTATGCGTATGCGTACACGGAATACGCATCAGTCAGACCGGTACCGTTCAAAAATACACAGCATTTACACTAGGTAATGTAGGCCGTTGATTGAAATGAATTGATAGGCGATGGGCAGTAACCGGAGGAAGCAAACTCGAATCCCGGGAATACCAAATCCTTCCCGGTTGAGGAAATTGTAATTGATTTCATGTTGGGCGCAGGTACGAGAGCCGTTCATCTAGCAGTTACATTAGTACTACTCTAACGCCAGGCTGTTCAAGGAGGGTTCATAGGGGACCCAAACACGAGTTCTGGGGAGCTCCAGAAAGCCAAAAACCAGCCCCCTTCAGGCCCCTCAGGCCCCTCTGAAGGATCGTTAATGTGTGGCCAGCATTCAAACTTGCAGTGTTGCCGCTCAACCCGCTCGCACGGGTACGCGCAATCAAGGTGTTGCTGTGCAAACTTGACTGGCAATGATTGTAGGTAAATTCAATGTGGGAGGTGGGCTTGATGGATGGTGGGTAGAGGTAGGGATCATTAGGGAGATTCTCGTCAACTTGCAGTGCTCCGCCACTGCACGGGGCGAATCGCCGGCACCCTTCCAGACTTTTGGCTGGAGCCACTAATAAGGAAATACGGGACCGTGAGAGTGAACGGGTCGATACTTTGCGATACAAAGCCCCAGCGTTGACCCACGTCACTGTCGCAATATGACTGTAGATACCTTGTAGACCCTGGGCATCCTGATTCAATGTTTTGGCACCTGCAGATTTGGACCTTGTTTGGGTGCTTAGCTAGGTAGTAGAAGAGAAACCCTTCGAGAGCTGGGGTTGGGATTCTGGAAGCCTCACTCTTAGCATCAACTCTCATTCTTGTTCTCTTTCTCTTTTTTCTCGTGTGTGTGTTTCCTACCTCGCATTTTCGATCAATCGGTCCATCTCGCATCTCATTGCGTTGTAATCTGCTTCTTGTCCGCTGGCACCCCCTTACAAAGTCAGCAAACGCACCTAGAAGCCTAGACGGCGCCGGTAGACGGACTGCAACACCCCCCGACAATTCCCTCCCGCCGCCAATGGGTCTACCAGGGTTTCGCAAGCGGCGGGCTGCTGCAACGTCAGAGTCGGGCGCCCAAGAGAAGACTCCCGCAGATGATCAACTCCAGCTCAAGCAACGGACAAAGACAAGAAAGGGCGCCATCATAACCTCATCCATCTGCTATATGTTAGCAGTCATATTCCTGATCCTGGTGAGTGCGCGCCCAAAAAGCAATCAGGCGGTTGTCTCCGCCCCGGGAGAGCTTCTGGTTTCTGATTGGTCCAATAGGTCGAAATAGGAAGTACCAAGGGATCCAAGGTGCTGGGCGACATATTCTTCTTCAAACTTGACCTGTCGGATATCTTGGCATCAAGTGCTTCAGGACTGAGCGGCTTGACTTTGACAAACTCAATTGCACGAACGCTTGGTCTGCACGACTTTTACCAAGTAGGACTATGGAATTTCTGTGAAGGCTATGAGGATGAGTAAGAACGCGTCACACCTACAGTTCCGACCATGACGTTGTGTGGATTGCTAACGTATCTTCTTACAGGGGCATCACATCTTGCTCGACACCAACCAGCCTCTACTGGTTCAACCCGGTGGAGATTCTACAGAGCGAACTGCTAGCGGGAGCGTCTATTGCGCTGCCTAGTGAGGTCAACACAGTCTTGACCGTCCTGCGCATTGCCTCGCAGGTCATGTTTGGCTTCTTCCTCGCAGGACTATTGCTCGACTTTGTTCTCATGCTCCTCGCACCCATTGTCATTTACTCGAGGTGGTGGAGTTTCCCTTTTGCCATTTTTGCCTTTATTGCGGCATTGATGGTCATCGCGGCAGCTGGTGTGGCTACGGGCATGGCCTTGGTCTTTGAGTACGCTCTGACATCCCAGACCGATCTCAACATCAAGGTCGACATTGGTACCAAGATGTGGGCTTTCATGTGGCTCGGTGCGGGCTTTACATTCCTCGCCTTCATCATCCACGCCGGCTTAGGATGCTGCTGTACCTCCAGGAGAGACCTCCGTACTGGTCGCAAGGGGGGAAGGAACCTGGCAACGGTTCCGGGCACCGGCTCAAAGAAGTCGACAACATCTGACTAGTTGTCAGACGAGGCCCGTTTGGTCACACCAAATGTCTTGATTGATTATGGATCAGTCGAGCAGCCATGCATGCATCATTTTGGGATAAAATAGAAGTAAGGCGCCGATTAAAGTCCTTGGAGAACATTGTATTAGATGGGTATAGACATTCTCTTGAGCCGGCGTTTCGGGGGTGATACACAGCGCAAAGACGCGCAACGGTCCTTACAGGGTGTGGAAGTGTAGAACTGGGAAGACCAAATTATGTAGATATAGTAAAAAAATCGAAATTATTAGTATTGAATGATAATGGGCAGCAGATTTCAGATCATGTTCGACGTCATTTCAAGGCAACTGAGATATCTTCAAAATACTTGGGGAGAAAGTGTCGCGGCGTCTTGCCTGTTTGGTTCTTAACAGAAATTATCGCCGGCCTTGGCCGTATGGTGGAGCTATAGTGAGAGCTGAGCGCCGCTTGACAAAAGCAGGGCCTATTATCAGTACGGACTGATTCTGACAGTCAAGGTAAATGCGCCGGCGAGATCGACTTGCGGGGAAAAGAAGGCTTGTGTATCTGGATACCCATCTTCAATACACTATTGTGGTACTGGTTGAGTCCATTGATTTTAACGCTTGCAAATATCGCCTATACTCTCGCGTGACTCGGCAAAGATACCGAGTTTCTGACCACCATCCCTGGTTCTCATTCCTTACACCCCCGCGTTGCACTACTTACCCCAGATTACATATAAGAGACGATTACTTCGCTCAAGCAGTTGGACAAGCACGACGTCGATTCCGCCAAATTAAAAGTCATCTTAATCACCACGAGACCCTTTGCTTTTCTTGCAAGACTGACCCTCTCCACACAAACCAACGACTGTCATCTTTCCCCCTCAGAATTACAAGACCCCCCTTATCTGAGATTTGACACAAGATGGCCACCACCGCCACATCCCCTCCCGAGCCCTTGATCCAAGGGATCGCCCACGTGAACCTCTCGATCCCACCGGGAACCCTGGACGCGGCCAAAGCCTTTTACGGGGAGACCCTCGGGCTGACGCCGCGCGCGGGACCGGCGGCGCAGGTCCACGAGCTGGCGTGGTTCGACGTGGGCGGCGCCGCCACGGGCCAGCAAATCCACATCTCGATCCAGAAGCACGACCGGGACACGACCGAGCCCCGGTCCAGCCGCCACCCTTGTTTCCGGCTGGGCTCCCCCGAGGCTCTGGTTGCCCTGCAGCGCCGCATCTTGGCCCACGCCGAGCGCGGCGGTCCCGATGCGCCGCTCGAGTGTGATGCCGTGGGTGAGAGTTCTGGTGAGACTACTGCCGACTACCCAACGCGGTTCTTTGCTAGGGATTATTCTGGAAACCGGTTGGAGTTTACTACTTAGAAGCAATCAGGACTGAAAGAGAAGAGATTATGGTGGTTTTCTTGGAGGATTTCATGCGTCAAGTTTCAGTGTGAAGAGGAGAGGCGGTATCTTGGGATGGCAGTGGCTGACTTTGGCTCAGGCTGTGTGGCTGTATACATTAACGTTTGTCCATTATGATGGACTATAGTCAACAACTTCCAACTAAACTTCCTCAAATGGGACGCATTGGCATTTCATAATCTTCAAATTTTGGTATCTAAGCGTGCTCTATGATCCTCATCACAACTTGAGACCGTAAGCCTCGACAGCCGTGCCTCCCCAAATCATCTTCTTGTCCTCATCTTCGAGAGATGCCATCCAGCAGAGCCTCTCAACAAGCTTCTGCCACTTGGACCAGGCATCAGAGCCTACACCCACGGTGCACACGGGCCAGTCGCTTGCAAACATGATGCGCGAGGGGCCAAAGGCGGCCAGGACAACACTGAGCCATGGGCTGAGTGCCTCAAAGATTTCCTCGGGCGACCGCTGTCGCATGGATTCGGTCATCTCCGGGAACCCGCCCGATAGCTTCATGTACGTCTTCGGGCTCTTACCGAGTGTGAACATGGCCGTCCGCCAGGCAATGTATGAAGTGTCCGTAAGGATATTGTAGACTGTGAGGTCTGGCTTGCACATGTGATCTAAACGGGCAATGTCAGTTCGAGCTCTCTCACGACATTAGGTCCAGTGGTAAACAGATGCACTTACTCAAGATAAACTTGACCTTTTCATCTTCGGGCACGCCTTCGTGGGCTCGGTCAATCATCTCGACGGTCTCCTCGAGCTGAATGCGGCCGCGGTCATGCTGGTTGACACCAACGTCAAAGACGAGACCCTTGCGGCCCAGGAGCTTCAAGCTCTCGATAAAGTCGTCGGTCAGGCATGTCTTGTCCGGCTTGTCCTGGAGTAGATATCGGAAGCCTCTGACTTTGCTCCAGCTGTCGCCGGCGGCTTCTTGCACCAGGTCGATATACTTCTCCATGGCCTGAGCCCCGCTCGGCAGCGGCGCCCATGGGATATACGCCGCGCACAGGCCGGCGTCGTCTTTGCTGTGGCCCTCGCCGTCCCGCGGCTGGCCCAGGGCAATGCGCTTGACCCATTCCACCTCCATCAGAGGGTACTTCCAGCCGCTGCCATCCTTGGCGCCAGCCTCGAGGTCGACCTTGCGGTCCGTCTCCAGGAAGATGAAGCCCTTGACTGGTGCCGGCGATGACGCGATGGCAGCCTTGTACTCTTCCAGGGAGTGCTGCTTGGCCAGGGGGCTATCGGGCGTGCACCATGCCAGCGTCTCCAGCTCCGACTCTGGGTACAGATGGATATGGGAGTCAATGATGGGTATTTCTGAAGACATGGTGATGTTTCTTTCCTGTTATTGTCGAGCAAGGGAAGAAACGCAATTGATAATTGTTCCTTGAAAATGCCTTCTTCTAGCCAAAAAAAGACTGGCGAGATTTGGTGAATTGTCTTGAATGCCCAATTTCAATGCCCTGATATTGAAGCTTGATCCATAGCTCAGGGGGTGAGCTCAAACTGGAGTCAGTCCCTCTTCCCTCTTCTCTCCTCCTCTTCTCCACGGCCACAATTAGGTACGGAGTACATAGCTACGGTCGCAATTACCCCGCCACTCGCGGTGAAGCAAACAGCTACCCCACCATTGTATGGCGATCAATAAACCGACCAGCGAATGATAGCGGTTCTTACACGTTGCCATTCAAAGGTCCCAAAAAGGATCCAGTATCTCTGGTCTCACTGTCTTGACTCTCGAGATTCGTCGATAATTCTTTGTTCAGTTGTAATATGTGTGTCAATTGTGCTAAGATCTATTCTGCTTGCGCCAAGATTTATATTTGATGGATTTCTAGACCATCGCTCATCTATGCGAGTGTGCATCAACAGCAAACGCCCCGATAAAACGACACATCATCTGCTTAGTTGATAAGGAGAAGCTTAGTCTTCTGTCAACATTTCTGACTAGACATTCGCGATGTTCTGGCCACACAGCAACCTTGATACTCGACACCATCACTACATTATTGGATCGATTGTGATCTGACTACGGCTCTCCGGATGAGCTACCGGAACGACACCTCCAAGTTTTGGCCAGAAGCTGTCCAACGGAGCCATCGAATTATTAATCTGCTACCCTTTATGGAAGACTAAACGCAAGGCTGTGAACGGGAGCGTAAAGACCCAGTAAATTCAAAAGTGGTCAGAACCGACTCGCTCGTCCGTCCAATCAAGCATTGGGGCGGCAAACAAGGTGGCAAAGGTCACCGCAAGGAAGAACATGGTCATGGCTGCTATAGTCTTCATCGTGTCGCTATCCTCGAAACTAGCATGGGTGTCCTTTAGGGTAATCTGGTTAAAGATCCCTATGTAAACTTGTCAGTAATGAAGCAAGATATGGCGTGTTTCTATTTGTATGCCATCAACGGTTCTGGACATACCACGGAAGATTGATTCTTGGCTCGCTCTTGTCGATACTGGGCGCCGTTCTTCCTCGCTAATAGTTGCACGTGTAATATCTTCATAGCTTGCTAGAGGTCATACTCTACCTTCCGAACAAACGATGTTATAAGGTCTGCTCCAGTTGCCCCTGCGTCTCTGTATAGTCCAGAGCAGCTGGCTATCTCAAAGAGTTCAGCTAAAATTCCGAGGATGAAACCATTCTACCTCGCGTCCTTAGCAAGACAAAATAAAGAATGGTGTCGATGTATTAAAATATAACTCAATAGACATCCAATCAACGCGCAATTGAACGATAACTTATGATGGGTCAATTTATGGTTGCCTGCATAAGCTTTTGCGCAGCATTTAGGATTTTTGCTACAAACGCCCCCACGCCCCCTCCTCTCCTTCGAAGAAAAGGGATTGCCTTTTCTGCCTTTATTTTTGAGGAAGTTGGCTCCCATGCTGGATGTAATCTAATTCGGACACCGTTTTTCTTCTTGCCTGGAAAGCTGCCCATCTGTTTCTCTAGTCCCTCCAACGTGAGAGATCGATTGAGAGTAAATGAGCGGTCTTTCGACATTGGATTCCACAGCAACATCAACTTCTCCCACATCTTTGCTTGTTGATCATCCAGGATGGTGAGCTCGACATCATAATCGGGTAGTTCGACGGTTTTGATACATTGCGGAAGATTGATGAAAATTTGGTTGTCCTCGAGGGCAATTTCCCATTCATGCTCTGGCGGAAATGCCTGTCGCAGTTCCGCCAGCTGCAGCACATAATTGTACCAGTTCGCCGCAACACCTTTGTGTGAAACGGCGATACATAGCCGTCGATTCTTATCAATTGTAGCATCGAGGAGGAGTTTCATTGCAAGTCAAGGCAAGTGAACTCAATAATGCGGGTGGTGGACTGATATCGTTGCAAGCTGAGGAAGATTCAGTGTAGTCTAATGGATTAAAAGGTCTGTGAGAATTAGGGATAGGAGTGATACTTATCCACCAAAGCCGACCGCTCTTAGAAAGCTGCGAGATTGCGAATTGTGACTGTTGCGCGACAGCCTGCAGTCCATGGTGGCGGTCAAGCTTGTTGCCTTTGGTGATTGGCATATCCACTTCCAACCCAATATGCAGCACAGCCTCAGCTGAATGCAGCAGTGCGACGTATCTACAAAATGATTGGCTCGAGGACCAAGAAGAAATAATGGGCAGTCACGCTCATTCCCATTTCTATCTTCATATAAGGTATTACACCCCGCCATAAGAATGCTTGCGAATACCCACTAATACTAGAAGTGTGAATAAACAGCAGCTTCGCGGACCAAGAACGCAGCTGTTAGGTGCAGTCATGTTTCACAGAACAGCCGCCCGGGATAAGAATGGAGGGCAGGATGATGTCGAACTCGGCCCGAAAATTCAAAGTGGTATATTTGATTTTGCAGACGACTCCTGGATCAGAACTCATCACAGAGACAACTTGATACACAAGCTTGAACATCCTAAGGGCCGCGGACACAGTTACCGTATATATCTGACCGAGCTTCAGAGGATATATCTGCGCCAGCTACAGCGTAAACTCCTACAGCATACGATCGATCTTCGCTACAGGGCTTCGGAGCCTTCAGGGTGGCCGAAGATCTGAGACGATATGGTAAGTTTCTGGTCCCCCTCCCCCCCCCCCCCCCCCCTCCTTCTTTCCGAAGGGGAGTCACAATTATTTAGAACACTCATGACACGAGACAACAAACACTTACTCTAACCTTGCTGATCATCTTACGCAGTACAAGCTTTGCAAGACTATGATTATATGGGGAGATTTAAGGATCAAACCTATGACCCTTTCATCATCACTGGCGAGCACTACATCGAGCGCTGTATGTTCGACATTGCGATGAAATATCGAGAAAGGGCAGAGGACCCCTTGAAGCAGCTGAAGTCTTTCGAGGAATGGGAGAATGCATCGGTGCGGCCCACACCCGTTGGCGGAACAAGAACTGAAAATCGCAGAAATACCCGTTGGAGGGCGTTTCGGGACCGTATCGTCCTTGCTGGGCTCGGCGGTATCTTCCTCGTTGGGCCCATGTGGTTGATGGTTCTACACAACACATTATACACGGTGCTTGTCTCCACTACGGTGTTTATCTTTGTCTTTGGATTCTTGATGGCTCTTTTGCTTACGAAACCCATGGATGTCATGGCAAGTACCGCAGCTTACGCCGCAGTCTTGGTGGTCTTTGTGGGATTGAACGTGGATAGCAATAGTATCACCACTTCTGTTTAGCCTGTCATTATCTATCATCTGAATGCCACCAATTAGTGAGTGGGCTGCCTCAATGTCCCCGAACAAGAGTGCACCATGACCCGGAATCCGAGCAGTCATTTTGGTTGCTTCGCTATTAACAGGTCAATGCAGCTTCTTGTCTTGTCACTTGGCAGGTCTGGGAAAAAGATATTTAGGCAGACAAGTGTTTAGATTCAATGGTCATCTATAACTACTAGATATATCGGCACTCATAGTACCGTTCTGCCATCATCCCCTATTACTTCATCACAGTGGCATGCCCAGACTTTCCATCAGTTAGTCCGAGACCACATATTGTCAAAACAACCACCTGCAAGCCTCATCTCCATTGAAGATGAGGTTCGCCGTGTTGCTGCAGAGCAGGTCGGGTGAACTCAATTGTAGCCATCCAAAAGACGACAGCAATGTTCTCCCCGTGCTCTGGATGAATTGTCAGAACAAAAGTAGACAATCACACGACCATGAAAAGATGCAGGCATCTCCATGATCGTGGGGGCCGCAGCATCGACCCATTGGGCGCACACGAGGTGCGAAGCGACAAGACCGGCTTGACGCACTCGCAAAATCCTACATGTGAGGGATGCAATAAGCAACAAGACAAGCAGCCATACACGATGGTATTATCGGTAGGCGCTCGTAAATGAATGTGAACGGCCTTCTTCTCTCTTCTATTGTTGTATTAATTCTGGCCTTGATGGCACAGAGTCGACCAAGCGTTGATTTCCTGTTTGGACCCCTCCAGTGATTGGGCCATTTACGCACGCACGACCATGCCGTTGCGGCGGGAGCCCTGGGAGACGTACTCCTCCTCGGACTCGTCGCCGCTGGAGCAGGAGCTCTCAGAGTCGCTGTAACCGCATCGGGCACCACCACAGTCGATCTTGACACGGTCGCCCTTGCGAGTGATGCCGTAGCGCTCGCAGGTGCAGTTGCTGCAGTCGGAGCTGGGTGTGCTGTAGCCGGAGAGCGACGAGTTGGGCGAAGAGCTGTCGGAGCGGTAGGACAGGCTGGATCCGGACGACGAGACGGGAGAGCTGGAGAAGTCGGTGATGAACTCCTCCTCGTCGATACCGGCACTGCCGAAGCGGGCGGTGAGCTCCTCAATGGTGTCCTCGTCGCAGTAGTCAGCATCGAGGATGTGACGGGTGGCATGAGGCGAGATTGGCTTGGGTGCCTTGATCTGCGAGGTGGAGAGAGGACGGCCCTTGGGGATGTCAACGGCGAGGGAGCTGCGCTTGGAAGATCGGTGCTTGGAGTCCTTGTCCTTGGAAGACGAGTGCTTTGACGAGCTCTTGGAGGAGCTGTGCGACTTGGAGGAAGACTTGCTGTGCTTGTCCTTGGGGACGTCAAGGATGTTCAGGGCACGGCCAGTGGTGGGCTCGACGGTCGAGGCCTCACTGGGGTTGTGCGAGACGTGGTAGCCATCGATGATGTAGTAGTACCAGTATCGCTGACCAGCCTCAAGGGTGCCTGAGAACTTGAATGTGCCCTTCCACGAGCCGGACTTAGAGGAAGACTTGTCCTTGGCGAGCGGGAGTTGGCCGACGTAGTTGTCCCAGGATCCAAGCAAATGGACGGACTTGACGCCGGAAGAAACGCGGAGAGAGAAAGATAGCTGAACGGACGACATTTTGAAAAGATTGAAGTTGTTATTGCACGGGAATTTGTCGGTGTCTTGCTAATGTTAAATTTTTTCTTTTTTTTGCAAGGAAAATATGCGTTTCGAGCAAGAAAGCTAGTTTTCGTTTTTATTAGAGGGTATAGTCGGTGGTGATTATGGGTGGTGTAGTTGACCGGCAACTGGTATGCAAAAATGTATGTATTTTTTGGTATTAAGTTTTTTGAGTATTAGGAAGTGAGTAGAGCACAGCTCTGACAACACTGGAAAGATGAAAGAAAGGGGGGAAGAGGGAAAAACGAAAAGACTAGCTTTGAAGATTGAATGCTTGCTGGAGAGAAGAAGAAGAGAAAGGCCAAAGACGGACGGGAGGACTGGCTATTATTATAATGATGGGGGCCGGGTGGTGAGGCCATAGAGACCCGTCTGCCGACCATGGCCATCCATGGTAGTAGTGCCTGTCCACTTAGCACAGTCGCCGGCAGTCATCCGTACTCTGTGGCCAGGGATGCCGTCAATTGCCCGGGCACGATATGGCCTCTCTATGGTCGGGACATGCACATGGAACCAAGGCAATAGCACTCCAGCACAGTTGACTAGTCCGAAAAGGCGTCGGGTGCAGGACAGGAATCGCAACACTGCATGGCCGGCGGCTAAGCATATTGGTCGATCAGAGAAAACAGCAATGTGCTCCGCAGACAAACAATGAGCGAAAAATAGAAAACAACATATGGCACTGGCGGGGAATATGGTTAACTAGGCCGAATGGAGACGAGAGGGCGTCTATAGCATGGCCGTGATTGGGCAGAGGTAAGCGGTCGGCAGCCAATGTGAGTCCCCTGTCAGCTCGTCTATTAGCCATCACACGCGGTTGAACAGAATTCAGCCAATGGTGGCACAGAGCGGCATGTTGACGGCTGCACCTGTAATGCATGGGCTTCGATCTTTATCGCAGCACCGCGCACCGCACACAGGCAAGTGAGAAAGAAAAAAGCTGGCTGGCTGGTTGGCTGGGCCACTTATTACGCCGTGGCACAACTCTCTGCTGAAAGAACAAAATACTATGTATGCCTTGGTAGCACTGCAACGTTGATCAATGGGTCGCGATTTACGGCCTTGAAGGGCTTACGAGGACCATGCAAGGATTTCCCCAGTCATGACATGCAATCTGCAATGCAGCCATGCAAAGACATCATGAGAACTTGCTGGTCGTCCAATGTTATCGTCGGATGAGGAACGATAGATCGAGCGAGTCGGAGGAGAGACTTTTGTGATGTCGATAGTCACAATCAGAAGTCCCAGGATGCTTGCCAAGGATGTGCAAAGTAAATGATATGAGAGCCTTGTTTTCTTCCATTCGATTGATTTTTTCTTCTTTTCGAGGGAATAAAAAAAATTCAATTGAGATGATGTAAGTAGACTTCTTCGAGCATCCTCACTGTCAGGACCGTGAGCCGTCTTGTGGTATGTAAGACTCCAAGCTGTCGGGTTTTCTCAATTTCCAGACTGGTATGTGCACATTATTGATAATGTCACCCAGCACATTTTAGACTTTCTAGAAACCAGTCTGGGTAAGGGTAAAGTAGCAATGGGGAAAGTGCCTATGAATGCGCAATCGGAGCCTCTGCAGCTCGAGTCCCTGTCAGGGTGGCATCAGTCAGTCCACAACCCACTCACTCACTGCCTGCCCTCGCTAATCCATGCTCATGGCCACGGATAAGCTGGGCGAAGAAGAAGAACAACGAGATCCGAATTCTCGACTCAATTCGGCAGACTGGAAGGTAGGTAGGTAGGCTTGGTGGTGAGATGGGGGATGTGTGCATCGGCTCCATGCAGGCGATTTCACTAGCTCGGGCGGGTATGTCGAGTGGTCACACCAGGCCAGTGTTTTTCCACGACTGTGAGACCATTTGGAGAAGCTGATTAGTTTGCTGACCGATAGATCACTTTGGAGGAAGGTAGAACACGAATCGCATCGTGATGCGGTCAAACGAATAATGCAGAGCCGTTCATCCCAGATGAGCGTATCCCGGTGAAGAATACAGGGAGTTGATGCAGATGGCAGTAAAATTTCCTATGCTTAGGTAGTTTACACACAGCTCTGGAGAATAGGTAATGTGGACGGAAGAGAGCCTTGAGCCCTGTCAACCGCCCGCATCGCTATGGGGACAGTACAGTGGAGTCACATGACCTGCAAGTCTCACTGACGGCAGCAGCCAGCAGACGGCCAGACCCTTTAACCAGTCCGGCGTGATTCATTCAGGTCTCGTCTGCCTAAGATACGCACTGTAGCCTAGCGGTCTCATACAAGCATTGAAGCACTTTACGCGTCTCGCGACATGAACAAGTAGCAAAACATAACGATAAACAATCTCAATCAAAACTGTGGCATTCTCCTCCACTATTGACTTGACCAGACTTATAATAAGGTTACGTAGAGACTTCTACTGACGATTTCCTCCGAGTGGAACAGAGTTGGATCATTGCTCCACGTGCAAAAAAGAACCCACCCCTCCCAAAGACCCTGATTGAATCCCAGCACACATCCAAAAGAGACTCATGTAAGTGCCCGTGCCTTCTTTGCAACCCTTCCCCATCCTCTCGCGTCACTCGGCGCCTATTACACAAATTCCCCAATCGGTCTTCTCGGTCAACCTCCATTATGGACGCTACTATTGTCTTGCCCCTCAAGCCCGCATGCCCACATCATAATCTTCAGCGGCTATCTTGCATGCTAACGGCTGTTGTAGTTTTTCCACTTGGAGATTATCATTGGAAGGAGGAGCAGATACCATGACCTACCCGACTCTAGATCAGAAGCTTGTCACCTCGGTGTCCGAGTACGTCAAGCAGTACATGGCCAAGTATGACGGCTCACATGATTTCAACCACATCCAGAGAGTCTCTGGACTGGCGCGTCACATCTATGCCCAATCCCCCAACCGAGAGGCACTCGATTTCCAGACCATCGTCCTCAGTGCTCTCCTGCACGATGTGGGCGACAAGAAGTACTTGAAACCTGGTGAGGATGCCTCGACTCTGGTCCAAGAGCTGCTCTTGTCCTATGGTGCCGACGAGCAGCTTGCACAAAAAGTACAAGCCATTTGCCTCGGTGTCAGCTACTCCAGCGAGGTCAAGGATCCAGCCAAGGTGCAGAACTTGATCAAGCAATATCCCGAGCTGGCCGTCGTTCAGGACGCTGACCGCCTGGACGCCATTGGCGGCGTGGGCATTGGCAGATGCTTCACCTTTGGAGGTGCCAGAACTGAGCGAGCCATGGACGACACCGTCAAGCACTTTGACGAGAAGCTCGTCCGTCTTCAAGGCATGATGAAGACGGACGTCGGCCGTCAACTGGCCAAGGAAAGGACGGAACGACTGATTTTGTTCCAGAAGTGGTGGGACGAGGAGACGGCTTTTGCGGCTGCGTCTCCCATTCCATCATGAGCACATACTTGATGTTTATGCTCGACTCAGTGGATGCCGCGGCAGAGGCGAGCCTAGCTAGCTCACTCACTTCTCAAGGAGAAGCAGACCTGTCTCGGCATCGCCTCCTTGTGCGACCATTTCACACAGCGAGAATGCACCGTCAGACTGCAGGAAGCACCAATCTGTATCATTCTGAGCATACCAAGAGAATCAGATGCCGGGACTGGCAATGGTCCTGGCAGTCTTGTTGTCCATTAGAGACATGGAGTGAGGTACAGAATTGATACATATGCTGTGCCTTGCCTTCTTCATTTTCGTGAGCGGTCATGATCCTACCAAGTGAACAGGCAGTGTTTACTGATATAGCGCGACTGAGCTTACCACATGGCCCGTTACACCGCATTTCCATTATTATCTAAATGTCTCACCAAGACGGTGGGCACTTGAGTTATTTCCTATTTTGAAACTTCAACCATGTGTTCTCTGGGCATTCACGCCTGCCAGCGATTTATTCCGCCAGATGCGTGCGCATTTTCTCGTCGCCTGATCAGAGGCTGCTTACGTCCCAGCCTCCCGCAACAATATCCCTCGGCTGCTGCGGCGTAGGCAGATCATGACCCCAAGAAAACTCGTGTAACTACCATCGACCCTTGCAGCTGCATACAATAAAAAGTGCCCCCTCCATGATTGGGCAGAGTCGTACATCCGGACCGACAGAAAGCCAAGACTGCTGCTGACCAGACCCGAGATGCCACCAAAGGCAGGCTCGCCCTCTCCGTCCCAATGCCCGCTCGCCTTTCCTTTCAGGTCGGCAGCTGGGCCGCACCTCTCTTTTTACCTATCGTGTGTGAGTGTGTGTGCCTGCGCACAGCAATCGCATCGGTAATAACGCCTGCCGTCAGCAGCGATCAAATTTGCTTTTCTTCCTTGGAGCAGCCTTGCGATAGCAACATTCTTCCTGCCCGACACAATTGCGTAGTAGCTGTTCTAATGTTTCTCTCTCTTTGAATCCCTCGTAAGGCTGAGTGTCTTGCGAGACACATTTTTGCCGACAAAGTAAGAAAGAGATGAATCTTGGTCGCTCTGAGAAGATGCGTTTGCTTCTCTTGTTGTTTTCGCAAATCCTCCTGGCTCTTGCCGAGGAGAATGAAGCCGTGGAAATGGCTGCGATGGAAGCACCAGCAGCATTGAACAACGGTTTTAGCCCACGCTTATTTGAGGGTGCCGTTGCGCCTGTGCCCTTTGCAAAGCGCCAGGACCTAGGCGTGTGCCCAGATGGAGGGCACAGGTGCGAGGATATAGGCGCTCCCGATAGCTGCTGCCCCAGCGACCTGTACTGCTACTACAAGGCAGACTGGGAAGTCGGATGCTGTGGATTCGGGAAGAACTGCGATCCTACTTGCACGGGTACCTTGTATCGGGTAAATGCGACAATCACGAGTACAGCCAGTATTACAGCCAGTATCACGCAGTCAGGCACAGACACTGGGGCGGCGACTCTAACTGAGACCGTGACTAAGAGGGTGACAACCTTCACCTCTGTAGGCTGCACCCAGAGACCTTGTGCGATATCAGAATATCAGTGCCCAGAGTCCATGGGCCACGGCTGCTGCAATAACAATCAAGTCTGCGGCTCAAGCGCCCGCTGCCTCGGAACGGTCTCGACCATCGCAACAGACGTGCCCACCCGCGGCTGCAGCGGTACTCCCAGCGCTACTGAATGCACCGACGGCGGATGTTGTCTCAAGGGCCAAACGTGCGCCAATTCGAGTGGGACCCCGGTATGCAGCGGCCAAGCCGACGGCCCTGCGGGATCCAACACCACGACCGTGGACACGGGTCTGTCCCAGAGCGCGCGGGCGGGCATCGGTGCCGGCGTGGCCATTGGCGCGGCCCTGGTGATTGGCGCCGTGACCTGGTTCTGTATCCGCAGGCGGCGCCGGGCCCCGACGGATGGCGCCCGGACGCGCACGGGCGGCGGCGGCGTTACGCCCGGTCTGGACGGCGCCACTGCCGCCGGGGGCACCATGTCCGAGGCCAGTGTCCCGGTGCGCAACCGCGTGCACCGCCATGGCATGGTGTACGAATACCTCGGTCCCACGGCGGTGCCAGGCCCCTTTACGGAAGAAGAAGGCGCGCCGGTCCATTACGGGGGAGAGACCCACCGCGACCGCGGCGTGCCCGAATATCCCCAAGAGCCTGGGGATATCAGCAGACCCGTCGAGATTGGCTCGTCGCCTGAGATAATCAAGGATAAGGATGAGACGCTGCCCGGCTTCGGCCGGAGCGCGAGCCTGAGGTCTGATCATGATAATAACCCTCAAGCGACGGAAAACAATGAGATTTACGAGCTCGACGCGTTTCCAAGTCCGAGCCCAATGTCCCCCGAGGAGTTTGCTTCGGCGCATAGTCATCCCCTTGGCAGTCCGAGTGACTTCATTTCGCCCCCAGGGACGTTGAGGAATGATTATTTGGGTTGATTAATGGTATTTCATGACTCTCTAATGTCGCACTGAGATGGGATATTGTCGATATGATGATTATTGTAATATGGACAGGGCAAAAAATGATGGGAAAGCAGTTTGCATATTACCTACGCCTAGTCTTGCTACTGATACATGCATTAATAGAAAGATCGGAATTCGCGTGACGCCCCAAACTCCTCCCGGAAACTTTGCTCAACCGCTCTCTATGCCAAATTCAGAAAGGAAAAGAAGGAAAAAACATGGGAAGCCGGATCGCGCGCCAACCTCTGATCCCGGGTTCCGCAATTGTGGTATGTCCCTACGCCGTATGATGCAAATGCTGGGGAAATGATAAAGAGGGAAAAAGAATCCAGAATTGTAAAAATCATTGTCCGAATAGGGTGCCACATGTAGACTTCCAGCAGGCCTCGGTATTGCTCGCGTTGATGTGAAAGAGTCGTTTATACGACGCCACCAAAGAGCATGTTGCCCTGCAGATCCCGGACGAGGTCGTCGACGCTATTGAGATGCCGCGCCAGCAGCTGCTGCTTCTCCTCCTGAGTCCTGGTATGCTGCGAGGCGTCGCTGTCGCGCCGTTGGCGTGAGCCGTCGGAGGAAGCAAAGGCACCGGCCAGCTTGCTCGAGCTCCGCTGGAGCAGGGCTGGGACCGAGTCGCGGGCCTGCGCCGAAGGGATCGAGGGCACCTCGGGCATGAGGTAAAAGTAGAGGAACTCGATGCACTTTTTCTTGACGTCGCGCGAGGTCGAGCGCTGTCTAAACAGCGACGAAATGGTCAAGAGACCGTCGAGCCGCTCAAAGGTGCGTGTGTTCTGCGGAGTATCGATCAGTGACACCACGAGTGTCAGCAGCGTTGCGCCCATGACGGCTGGTGGGAAGTCGGGCTCGAGGAGGTCGAGAAGCATCTATAAGCAGAAAGGATCGTGTTAGTCGGGACCACCACTTCTGGGAAAGAAAAAGTAGGAACGCACATTCATGTAAATCTCTCGAGAGAACAGGATCTTGCTGGGCGGGTGCAAGAGCAAGACACCTTGAATAAGATCCAAGGCGCTGAGGATGAGCAAGTCATTCTGGCCATCGTTTCCCTTTGCCAACAGTCTGTCCAGCGTGTTGACCAGGCGCAAGGCGACATTCCACTCGAATCCTTCCTGCAGCTTGAAGAACTGCTCAAAAGCCGGATCATCGGAGATCTCGGCCAGGTTCTTGGGTTGTGGCGGTCTCGAGTGCCCATCCTGCTCATCGGCGCGCCCGTTCTCGTCCTTGTCGCGCTTGGATAAACATATGGTTGCAAGCAGACCCTCGACTTGGCGCAGGCCTTTGCGGATCTTGGCTCCGTCGTAGGAGGAGAGGTGATCAAATGCGACCGACAGTAGGTTCTCCATGGCTGCGTTGGGCGGTGATGTCCAGATTGGCGGCGCAATTCGTCGTTGTTTGGAGTTTGACGGGTACTATAATGATTCGTTCTAGCGCCAAAACAGTGGGTGTCCACCCAAGAGAGATTGGCGATGATGGGCGTCCAGGTCCCTAGTTGCCAGATCGGGAAGTGCGTAACAAAAAGATGGCCGGTTTGCACCGTGGAATTGAAAAATGACTGAACAGGTGTCGAGAATGGAATTGAAGAGGAAGAAAAAGAATGTTGAGACGGTGACACCAGTGACTTTGCAAAAGACACATGAGATGAAAAAAGGGACCAGCTGAAAATGCAAGGCGAACTGCCCAATAGAGCCGTTTTTGTCCCCATGATGCCCAGGAACAGGGCAGTGGTGGCTGTTGACAGGGCAACCAACAGCCGACTACAATGGGACTGAATGGGACCGTTTTATGGGACTTGGGCCTAAAAATTGAGATCTTGGTGGCGCCGTTGGGCTCCCAGCGAATGGGCGATAACCGAATGCCGCGTTCCCAGGGGCCCTGGGCCCAGGATCTCATGGCTAGAAGGAAGCTAAATTCCACTGCATAGGGCGGATATCCATGTCGTGATTCGGCTTTTCCTTTCCCAGGTTGCCATTGCGGGCGAGCCCGAGAGTGCCGTCATTTAAATGAGTGCCTTTTCGTTAAAGTCCAAGACGCCGTTTGGTTTTGGGCACCGTTGGGTATTTCTTCATCTTACGATCTGTGCTGGTTTTTCCCATTTCTCCTTTCGTCGCAGATGCTGATTAAAGCCCTTTTCATTCTCCAGCTTATGGGTCAATACTACAGTGCAGCTTACGCAGTGCATATCATCCACACCACTACATTATGTATGGCACGAAGTAGGCGTTGTACATACAGCCAAAGGTGGGGGATTAGGAATAGAGCACGACTGCCTGCTCGAGGTACATTATGCAGCTCTTCATATCTCGGCTGTGCTGGCGAGAATACGATATTGTCTAATTCTGCAATGCCTGTTCTCTTCCTCGTTTTGAACTCAAGACATGATGCTCTGGTGGGAAACTGTTTTGGTTTATCTAATAATGGTGGATCAGCTACATAGCAGCTCCGTACTGACGGTCTTGAACAACTATCTACATACCGTGCATACGATACATACATGCGCTTAGGCGGTGCACCAATCAACCTTAGCGGAATATCATCACCCAGAGCCCTGCGTAAACTTTGTTTTCGTGAAAGAGCTGGTTAGTATGATCAATTATGGTCAAGTCTCAAACCTATAGGTCAAATGATTCTTGAATGGGGAACAAGGCGTTGCTCGAGTTCCAGGCACTTATATTTCTGATTCACCCTCTTCGCACTCTGTTATAGTCAGCTGAATCGTGATGCATTAGTGGATTGCTTTGACCAAAGTGCAACTGTAAAAGAACGGGATTCTGGGAAATGTAAGTAACTTTTAGCTCGTAATTCTCGCAACTGAGCTGCAATGATGATGGCGACATGGCCGAGTTTTGAAGCCATTCGGATCTACGGCCTGCAATAATGGCCATGCTAACATGTAAATGGAAGAGGCTACTGGGGCTAGTGCTGCTTGGCTCTGCTGGACAGGTGGTTTCTGAGCTATTTGGGGACTGCTATGACGTCCTGCATTGCGAGCTTCTATAGTCCGAATAGGCTGAGACGTGATTAACACCAGCAGAAGCTCGCTGTCAAACCAGGGGAAACCAGGGGTTTTCGGCCTGCGGTGTTGATAAATGTCCACTAGCTGGGTTCGGAATTCTTTGCACGTGTAATATAGGTCACAGAGCATAAATATCATGGTCGTCGTCTGCCGGAAGCCTTCAGCCTTTCCATTGTCGGGATCAACTCTTTCTCTAACCCACCTCTGAAGATCCAAGTCTTGGGGGGAGTGATCGGCTTTTCCTACCCAGGCACAACCGTCTAGCTACCCCGCCATCCGTCCTCCACTCCAGCTTTCGCAACGGGAGGAATTTGAACTGTGCCGCCGACTTACAGCACTTCTTCTGCGCCGAGTTGACATTGCATAGAACAAACAACTTGCTTGCACCACCGAATGACGGCTGGAGCGCCTACTTAATAACAAATCATAACGCCGAGAGACTTATCATCAATTTTGCCATTGGGAGTTTTTACGAGGTGACGACACGAATCCCCACTATAGCCCGCCACAGACGGTCCCGAGGCATCCTTCGTAGCACCAGCCCACCCTGACTCCCTTGAACCCTGTCCAAGTAGCGGGCGCATCGCAAAGCTCCCTCCAAGCTCCCAGGCTCATTCACTGCCACAAGGACAACCGACGACAAAGCATAAATCCAACGGCTGCCTAGCTGGCTGGCGAAAGTCTAAACGCTGTTGCCAGCGGAGCTTTAGCAGAGACCATCATCAACCATGCTCTCCACCAAACCCAGCGAACCTCCTTTTCCCTACCCGTCGCCGAACGCCATACCTCCTCGAACCTTCTCGACCGGATACGCTGTGCCTCATCCTCCCTCCAAGTCTGCGCTGCGTCCTCTGCCAGAGTCCAACTGGCTGAGCCAAGGAAAACATCATCGTCACACCTCTTCCACTACCTCGGCCGCTGCTATCCGGACACAACCTCTCACTGCCGTAGTCATGTCTCCCTCGGCGCCTCCTCCGGACCCCTCCAAGTACGCGACTGAAGACTTCAACTTTACTGCAAGAAAGACGTGGACGGACCAGAAGGAACAGATTATATGGGGACCCTACGACTACGTAACGAGCCAACCCGGAAAGGACTTTAGAACACTGCTCATTGCTTCCTTCAACAGCTGGCTGGAGGTTCCCGAGGAAAGCATTGAAGTCATCAACAAGGTTGTGGGCATGTTACATAATGCGTCTCTACTTGTCGACGACGTGGAGGACAATTCTACCCTCCGTCGCGGCCTGCCTGTAGCGCACATGATCTTTGGCACGGCACAGACCATTAATTCGGCCAACTACATCTACTTTGCTGCTCTCCAGGAGCTGCAAAAGCTCAAGAACCCCAAGGTCGTCACAATATACATGGACGAGCTCATCAACCTGCACAGGGGACAGGGTATGGATCTTTTCTGGCGCGATACCCTGACCTGCCCGACCGAGGAGGACTATCTCGAAATGGTCGGTAACAAGACTGGCGGGCTCTTCAGGTTGGGTGTAAAGCTCATGCAGGCTGAGTCAAAATCGCTGGTAGACTGTGTCGAGCTTGTAAACCTCATGGGCCTCATATATCAAATCCGCGACGACTATATGAATTTGTCGTCTGTGGAGTACAGTAATAACAAGGGCCTATGCGAGGACCTGACCGAGGGAAAATTCTCGTTCCCCGTTATACACTCCATTCGATCCGATCCCGCGAACCTTCAGCTCTTGAACATTCTCAAGCAGAAGACGACGGACGAGGGCGTCAAGCGTTATGCGGTCAAATACATGGAGGGTACCGGTAGTTTTGAATACACACTACAAGTTCTCGACGTTCTCATTCAGAGAGCGAGGAAGACTGCCGACGAACTCGATAACGGCATGGGCAAGAATAAGGGAATTCACAAGATCCTGGACAAGATGGTCGTCTCGCCAGCCACTGCCTAATTTCGTCCCACCTTTATGATTGATCAATATGACGAGGACTATGGAAACTCTTCGTTTCAAGGAGCATGGCTATATTCTGCCATGTAGGTTTAGCATCTGGATACCCTTTTCTCAATTTTATCACTTCAATGGTCGTTATACCTCATGATGTTACGAATGGAATGGGGGTTTCTCTATTTTTAATTATATAGAGGCCACAGGTATTCTGTCTACAAAATGTGATCTGATTTGCCATAGAATCATGCGAGAGACTATGCCAGGCTGTCAATTTTGTTTCTTGTGTTGTAGAAATTGTGATTAGCGATAAGTTTGTTTGGTGTTAAGGTCTTTGATGCTTTGTGTTTGTTGTACAGATGGTCTTTGGCTGAAGAGGCTAATCCATGAGGCTATCCGTCCAAGGACAGAGATCACGGCGTGTTGCACCTGTTACTGACCGGATTGTTACTGCTGTTTCCAGAGAGCACCATGAAAGTAGTAATGGAACTAATTTAACGCTTCACACTACAATTTGCGCACTTGAATAGACGGAAGCATGTTGATTTATCATTAGGTGGCTTGTAGAGCTATCAAGTGCCTTCCTTGCCAGTACCCAAGTTCTTTCGCTTGACAAGTCGTACCCAGCGCCTCCGCCTCCATTCACCTCGTCTGCCTTCATAGTCATCGCCTTCTTCCCAGCTAGGCCTCGGTGGAGGCGCCTTGGTCTTCCCTTTGCCCTTGCTAGGGCTGGTGAGCTTGCTATCTTCCGTGACGCCAATCTTGTCCTCTAGCTCGTAGTAGATATCGTAAACCCATCTCTCGCCCTCGGTCTCGACTTCAACGCCCGTGATGATGCGCTCTTCCACCCATTCTCGACTCCATAGGTCAAGTGCCCATTTCTTCTCACTCCACTCCCATCCCTGAGGCGGCATCACGTCCTCAAAGAAGCGCGTGCCTGTTGGCCGGTCACCGGTAATCCTGATGGCCGATAAGGGGTCGTATGGCGAGGCGCTAAAGACCCAGGGCTCCCATTCACCATTCGGGTCGGATAGTCTCTGCAACTCAAAGATTTCAACCTCTCGCGTCTCGGGCGCGCTATCGAGGATAATATCATTATCGATCCAGTGCTGGATGGTGCCCTGAGCCATCTCCTGATTCGACGCCAAGTGTTGCTTTTGCGCGCCCTCGAGCTGCATCTGTACGTACGGATGACCCATGACGGTGACGGCCCAGCCCAAGACGAGAAAGATGAACCGCCATGGGAGAATATTGGACGCGATGCTCATGAATAGACAGACGGCAAATACGGCGACAAAGAGGGCGCTACTCAGGGCCTCGTCGCTAAAGTTGACGCGCGGCACCATGAGCGTCACGATGCCATCATGGAGCTGGCTAAAGTCCTCCATGCAATTTTGCAGGTCGCGCATGTTCTTGAAGAAGTCGCGGCTCAGTTCCTTGACGGGCTTGACCGTTTTGGCTGGCGCCAAGGGGGGACCCTGTGCCGAGTATCCCATGGCCTCGATGTTGGTAAGGGTTACGGGAGCGGCTGGATGGCGGGCAATGAAGCTGGGCACCATGATGCCAAAGAGCAAAATGGCCAGTGGTAGGAGTGGGAGGAGATAGGGGTCCAGGCAGACAAAAGTATATATGGCTAGAAACGAAAGTGTATGCGTAGGATGTTTCCATGAAAGCAACCTGATGGCCTTGGCCTGGAAGACAAAGACGACGCCTATGCGACTGTTGAACCGGCGAAAGTTGTACGACATGGTCGGGAGGTTGAAGTTTGGCTTCTCGGTTGACACGCCGGGAAAGCCCTTGGAGCCATCCTCGGGAGGCAATTCACCACCATCGGGGAGAACCTGGGAAAGGAGTTTCTCGACCAGCTTGTCCTGGATGGAGGCCTTGTCCCGGAATGCCGAGAGACGGTCCCTGATGCCTCCTCGCCTCCTCCGGACGGGTGAGTCGGCCTCGGAGTGGTCAGAGTCGTGACTCGCCCCAGCTACCGAGGAGGCGGCCACTGAGGCTGAACTAGGAGAGGCCCCATCGAAACGGATGGTCGGTATGGGGTCGTCACGGTTGACGAAGGCATCGTCGGTGACTTCATCCATGTTTCCCTCCCTGGACAATAATGACGTGGGGTATCGAGAAAGTCCTTTGGTACGTGATGGGAAGATGGCTCTTAATGATCTCGTCTCATGATAGCTTCTCTCTGGTTGCGAAATATACTTTTGCGATTGATGAGTTGGGGTAACAACGAGTAGTATAAAAAGATCAAGTTGAGATGAGATGACGATGCATGTCACATGCTATTTCGCCTTGAACAGCACTGTCTGCCGGCCTCCACTGACAACCCAGCCTAACGGTCACTGCGCGTTGGCGCGGGGCAGCAGGATCACCTTATTTTTAGCGGGGTCCAAGGCGCTAAGAAGCACAACCCCTGCACCGGGTACTGCGGCTTTCCTAGCTGTTGCAGCTCTAGACGTCAACTCCAAAAAATTTGGGTTGCGATCTCGACATCTGCCATTCCACTTCCCTGACTTGGCGAACTTCCACAGACCAAACAGTCACCATGCCAATCACGATTCTACAGCCTTCCCTGGCAAGGGAGCCAGCGGTACATAACCACAATTCAGACAGCGAGTCGGACTCTGAGGGCGGTGTTGATCTAGACGGCGACATTTCCATGAGCCGCCCCACCAAGCGAGTACGAAGGACAGAAGCGATCTTGACGCCTGGTGAGGTTATAACCGAGGATCCCCAATGGATGCGGTAAGTAGAACCATCATGTTCTCGCGACGGATTACTCTTCTGAGAACAATCTTCTCCGTATGAGAAAACCCTGACTGGCTGACTTTTCGCAAAGAGGCCATGGAACCTATACCTTGCCCGACCCGCCGCAAATCGTTGCTTCGGTCGCCGGAACGCTCTCCAAAACGAACAAGCTGCTCTCTGTGAGACCGCTCCGTGCCCGCTATACACCCGAGATTGGAGACTTGGTGGTCGGCCGTATTGTCGAGGTGCAAGCTCGCCGATGGAGGGTGGACGTGGGATCGGCTGTGCTGGCCCAGCTTCCTCTTTCCGCAATCAACCTTCCGGGTGGTATTCAGAGACGTCGAACCGAGACCGATGAGCTGCAAATTCGGACATTCTTCAGCGAGGGCGAGTTGTTAGTAGCAGAGGTGCAGCAATTATACAATGATGGTGGCGCGGTGCTGCACACACGAAGTCTCAAATACGGCAAATTACGAAACGGAGTATTCATGGCAGTCAGCGGAACGGGTGGTGGCGGCGGTGTCGTGAGAGCCAGGAGACACGCTTTCACAATTGAGGTGGCTGGCTCGGACAGCGGCAACGAGAAGATGGATGTAATCCTCGGCGTGAATGGCTACATTTGGATCGCCAGACACATCGAAGGCGAGGGCGCAGCGGCTGAAACAAGCGGACCTGGAATCACGAGAATCGAGGAGAATGTGGGACTTAATGTCTACTCGAGCCAGAATGACCCCATATCACTGGACACGATGCGCGAGATCGCCCGGGTCAGGGGTGTCATAACGGCACTCGTCGAACATGGGCTCCGCGTAGACGAAGAAATGGTCGTCAAGGGTTACCAGGAAGCAGTAGAGATGGCAAGAACGGACGGAAGTAACGACAACTTGTGGCTGGGTGGTGAGAACGGCAAGCGACTGGCCGATGCTTTGGTCGGTCGGTGAAGAAGGCGGTAGACGAAGGGGATAAAGTATACTTGCTTTCACTGCAGGTGAAGCATAACATAGTGTGTCTTGTCAACGAGAACGACTCAACGTCCTCACCGAGGAGGCTGTCCACTTTTGGATGAGTTCAGATGGTGGTAGGAGCATCTTCTTTAGAGACAGTACCCCACGAATTTCCATAAGAGGAATAATCAGCATAGGTATAAGTTGATGGTACCTGCATCCATTGCTCACCATCTATGGCCAGGTAGGCAGTGCTGTTTGCATTACCTCAATAGCTTTGCCGAGAATCTGTATCAAGATGCCTTCTTGTGTCAAAATCTGCACAATCAAGATAGCCGCCTTGATAGAAAGAGAATCAGAAACAGGAAGACTCAGATGGTGTTTGATATAGGTTTGATTAGAGGCGCAAATAAAAGCAAAAGCCTTGATTGCCGCGAAATAAGACACTTGATATTATGCGACTATTGATGTTATTGCAATAATACATTCTGAAGTCTTTAATTAATGGCTGGCTTCGCTCGGTGGAACACCCCCACTATGCAATTCGGCCATACAACCAAACCCCTGTCGCCCGCGACTGTTGGCTAAAAAGCAACCTCATAACAGAGAAAACACCAAATCTCGGCAACCTAAAGGACATTTACGTGTATGAGACCTTTATTGATCTCATGAGGATGCTGTCAAGAATCGGCCTGCGGTCGATACCGGCCTCACGGCTCGTGAGACCGCGCTCAGCATACACAACCCCGATTCACAACTTGCGACTCTGCAAGCCAACAGCACCCCAACAAGCCCAGCAGCAGGTCAGGGCGTTTCACTATGACCCACACGCCGTTGTTTTCAAGCTGCCGCTCAAGACACGGCTCAAGTACATGGCCTATGGCGCCTTGTCGCTCCTGGCTCTCGGTGGTGGCATCATCAGCTGGCGTCTACGAGGGCTATACGGCCAGCGCGATGCGTTGCAGGACGATCTCAAGTCGGCGCTCCACGAGCTCAAGGCGTTTTCAGACGACTTTGTGACGGGTTTCGAACAGGCGCGCGCCGAGGGCGACCACCGCCGACTGGGCCGTCTGACCTTTGACCTGCTTCGCCACATGAATTTGAACCGCGCCACTGGCCGGCTGCTCGAAGGCTTTGTCGATTTTGGCGAGCTGCCGGGCCTGCCGTACGACAACCCGCGCAGTGGCCACGAGCTGGTGCCCCGGGAGGACACGACGGTCCTGCTCGAGCAGGATGATGATGGCCGCATCGGCGCCTGCTTCGTCGGCGTCAACCTCGAGCTGAGCGACGTCTACCGCGGCCTGGCGGACCCCAAGCCCGAGCCCGAGTCGGACAAGCTCCTGGAGCTGTTCTCACGGGTCGGCGATCAGATCCGTACCTGGCGGAGGCAGGACCGCCTGTTTGAGGACGAGGAGGGCGAGCTGGATCTTGTCATCATTTTCCACTTCCGGGACTGGTCGTGGGCGTTCGAGTACGGCGACGGCCACTGGAACTCTCTCAGCGGGCCCGGCAACATCTTGGCCACCTCAAGCACGGTTTCGAAAGCAGAGGAGGTACTGGAAGCCATGGCAGGCGAGAACAGGGGCATCTTTGGCAGGGGCTCGCGGCCTTGATCACGATATATACAACACCCATGGAGGCAAAACAAAACATTTTAAAAAAGGAAACCCGGAGCGTGAGGCAGTGTTAATGTACTAATCATGTATAATACTGTGTCATCTATATCTGCTACAAAAAAGCTATGTACTATACCCTTGTCTAGACATGACTACACGCGATAGTTGGGGCGCCTTTTTCTTGGTCTGAGCCGGCAAGACCAAGGTTCTGGGTTGATGCCCACAATGAATACACGATCTACAGCAACACTTTTGCCTCTTTTCCTCCTGGTCGGTTTCTTTTTCTTCTGGTCATGCATTTCAACTTTTTGCGTGATTCCTGCATCTGGCCCTCTAGCTCGAGCGGCGTATCGTCTTTGTACTACGGCGCCTGGCGGACATCCTTTCGTTTTCTGTGGCAGCCAGGCGTGTCGATATGTTTTTGCTCCCGCTCCTTCATCCAGCACCCAAAAGTTCAGAGGGGGCGGGTACGGAATCGGCATCTCCCCTTCCCGCATCATTCGCCGATCCTCGGCCTCGGCCAGGGCGCATACGGCCCAGAGGGCCATGGCGAGCGGCACACGATTCACATCCTCACCGCGGCGCGCCCACGGTATGACCGCAAAACAGACCTTTGGGCCGTTGTCGAGTCGCCCCGACTCACGAAAACGCAGCAACGCTGCGCCCTCGGGAGTGAGCACGAAGCCATAATCAGCACCTTTGGCCCAACACGCTGCCCGGGCTCGCTGGAGCGTAAGCTGGACTCTGTAATTATGAGCGTCGCTGCCCAGGCTAGCCAGCGGGAATTCGTCGGCAGCGTCCGTGATGAGGCCCACGACCAGGTGGCGTTGGCCTGGGCGCATATAAAAGTGCCACTCGCGGTCGGGCGCCGACACATTCTGACGCGGGTCTGGATTATACCACGGTAGGTACTCGAGCTCGAAATGCAGGTCCTGAGACCATTGCGATTGACGCGCCGTGGCCCTTAGAGCCCGGCTGACCCGATTCAAGAGCGCAGTAACTGGGAAATCTATTCGGCTCAGGAATGGCGCAATGCCCAATGCGTTACCGTTGGCGCTGCCGGTAGACGACTCGGCTGGGCTGTAGAGCTCCTGGTCATGGGGTCTGAAATCCAGCAGGTCTTTGAGGGCAATGCGCAGCACGGGATATGTAAAGTTTCTCCACTGTCGTGCTTGGATTAGGTCCTTTGGCACTATATACGGATCATTCTGACCGAGGCCGTGTTGTTGTTGTTTTTGTTGTAGTTGTCCCTTTCTTGAGTTTCGAAATACTCTCAAGCCAGGCTCGCCAATGGGACATGTGAGATAATCTAGCAGTCGTACAGAAGATGGTCTTGATGCCTTGAATTCGCTATTAGCCATCATGTCATCATCCAAAATGTATAATCAAGAACACGTGTGATTCTGATGAGTTTCGTGAATCTTTGAACGATTGAGTCTGTTTCACTGATAGCATTCCATTCTTTGTCCTCATCAGACACGTGTGTCATTGGATCCGGCTAATGCCCATTTTTGGGCGTGTTAAAGCGTCTTTGTCAGTCGGTAATCCTTTATCTGCTCTCACGACGAACATCACATCTGGCTCGGTTCTGTATCATCCCTGCTACCACATATAAGGCGTCGCTCTACGAATGCTACTTGATAGATCAAAACCATTTTGATATCAGCATAATCATTACACATTGGCTTCTTGAGTGAAGGGTTTATGAACATTTTTGTATGTCATTAGATTTCGAATTCTTCCTTCCAACTATAGCTCACTAGAGACCTTCTCGTATGTAGAGAGGGTGTTTGCTGAAACCCATCACACTGAACCATATGCACTACCCACATCTCAAGTGAAAGCTAAAGCATGGAGACTTCTGATTGATGTACATTTGGGGTAACCCCAACAAAGGAAGACGTGAACGCTGAAAAGCAGTGCCGTTTTTTCGGATATAATGTGCTGACGAAAAAGTAAAAAAAAAATGACGAGACGCGATTAGGAAAGCAAATCAGTTAGAGCCTAGCAACAAACGTCTCAGATTCAGCCTCTTCACATAAACGTAGCCGCCCGTCAAGACCAGCAACCACCGGAACAACGCACCTTTGGCCGAGGGGCCACCGAGTCCAAAGACCAGCCACAAGTAGTATCCGATGCCAGTGATCTGCTTGCCGTTGCGGTCAAAGTCGGGCTTGGAACCGTTCAGCCAGAGGTACTGCGCGAGCTCCGCGGGGACATATGGCGGGTAGCGCACGGCCATGAGCTTGTCTGCCCAGCCGGGGGTCTCGGTGACGGTACGGAAGTGAGTAAAAGTGTCGAACGAGTTCTTGCCGCGGTATGCACCCTGGCCGGATGTGCCTACACCGCCGAACGGCAGTGTGGGAACGGCACCGTGCATGTAGGCGTCGTTGAATGAGGCTCCGCCAGACGTGACGCTGTTCAGAACTAGATTATCCACGTTAGTGTGACAGTCCAGAGACCAAAATCCGATGAATCATGTAAGGACATACTCTTGTTGTTCTCTTCAAACTTGCCAAATGTCTGGAGTGACAATGGTGTAGGGTCAACCTCGTTCACAATATCGATGGCGCTATCTACAGAGTCGTATGGCAGAATGGCCCAGATTGGACCAAACGATTCCTCTTGGACCATGGAGTCATTGATGGAGTCAACAAGGACCATGGTAGGCGCAATGAAGAGATCTTCTCTGTCAGTCTGGCCTCCCAAGACAATCTTGCCCTTGGTGTTGTCGAGCATGCCCTTGATACGATCGAAATGCTGGTGGTTGATGATTCGGGCAAAGTCAGGGCTGGCCTGAGCACCGTTGGGGAAGAATTCATTGTGGACGGCGGTCAGGACTCTGATGAAGTCGTCCAAGACCTCGCGATCAATGTGGATGTAGTTGGCTGACATGCAGATTTGTCCCGCGTTCTGCACCTTGCCCCAGAGCAACCGGCGGGCAGCAAGAGTGAGGTCAGCGTATTTGGAGATGAAAGCTGGGTTCTTGCCGCCAAGCTCCAGAACCACGGGAGTCAAGGTCTCGGCCGCCTTTTTGGAGATGATCTTGGCTACATTGACACCGCCAGTGTAGAAGATCTTGGCCCACTTCTCGTTGAGAAGAGCGGTAGTTTCGGGCACGCCGCCATTGACGACCTTGTAGGCGGCGGGATCCAAATAGGTTTCAATGAGCTCCTGAAGGACAACAGCCGTGGCCGGAGCACCCTCGGAAGGCTTGACAACGGCGGGACAGCCAGCAGCGATGGCACCAATGAGGGGGCAGACGGTCAAGTTGACAGGGAAGTTGTAGGTGCCGATAATCAAAACAGCGCCCAGGGGCTCCTTGTGAATTCTAGGCTTGATGATCTTCATGTGGAAAGGGACGTCGACGTTTGTTTCGTCCTGAGCCCACTTTTTGAGATTCTTGATGGCAAACATGGTGTCTTGAATGGCCCAGCCGACCTCTGATATTTGGGAATCATGTTCGGGCTTGTTGAGATCCTGCTTCAAAGCCTCGAGGAGCTTGGGAGTCAAGTCGGTAAGACCCCAGTAGAGCTTGCGCAGCTGGACCAGACGGTATTCGACATCCTTGGTCTTCTGCGATCTAAAGGTACTGCGCAGAGTTGAAGCAAACTGTGGAATCTGCTCCAGAGGCGTGTCCTCGAAAGGCGCAAGCTTGATATTGTGAGTGGTCTTGTGCGCCATTGTGCTGTTTGTTATGCGACGGCGCAAGTCCGTTTGAAGCTTGTTGTTGAAGCTTTCTGGTGGGGAAAAAAAGGTCAGCTCTTTGTGTAATAGTGACAATGCAAAGGAAGTACCACTAGCAGTTCGAACCTTTTCTTTCAATAATATTTATATATATACCGAGAATAGACCCGCGGTTGAATGACAAGTTGAATAGAGAGACACACAAGAAGCTTGAGAAAAAAAAAAGCTGTCAAGGTTCCGTCTCTGGACAACCAAAAGAGGGATGCGACGGTAGATGAATCTTTGAGCGCATGCAGAGAGATGGATGTTGGCCACGCTGCTGCATGAACCTAGGCAAAGCGACAAGGACCCCGAGTCTCAGGGAGGCAATACTACACGTGTAGTTAGACTACAAAGATACTAGACAAGCCCACCCCTGTAAAGCGGTTTGAGACGTGAGCGATCTTCTCGAGGCAATGTTACTTTTGAAAGACCCGAGTAATAAGGTAAGGTACCTACTAGGCCCAACCGGAGATTTGTCTCGAATGGTGGCCGCGTATATGTGTACATCGTACCACCGTTGAACAGCTAGTATTTAGTATTGTTTTGGAGCTGCTCTTGCTTTATTTCCCATAATCATACAAAGTTACTAAAAAAACCCGGGGCTAGAGAATGAGTCCGGCTTCTGAAGACGTGGATACACACTGGATTGACATGATCTCGGTTATCGTATTTGGTGTAGTTTAGGGCGAACGGGGTAGGCGTCATTGAACTGGCCGTCGGTGGTATACGTCTCCAATCTTTCCCTAGACTGGCGTATCGAGAAAAAAAAAAAATACACCACCACCACCACCCACCTCCCCGAACCCCTGACTATTGAGGGTGGACCGAGGCATCTCGTGGGTTCTCCGCGTTGCAGTAAAAGAGGACCTGATATTTGTAACTTAACCCTTGGCATTGTACGTATCAAGCCAACCACCAGCGACATCGTCTTTGATATTAGTCAATCGTTATCAGAAAAAAAAGGGTGACAAATCTGGGAGCAAGACACGTAGCTGAGCCTAGGTAAAGAGACTACACTAATAAGGTAGCTATCCAGATCATCATTGAATGGTTGACCCTCACTTTGGAGAAAGGGTTCCACGCATGCCATGTGCAATTATCTACAAACTGCTTCAGACGCACTGGCCTATCAACTTGGTGCCAAAAATGCCCATTTGAAGAGCGAATAATAATAGTAATACTGGTAAACTAGTAACAACGGTTGCAGGGCAAGGACGGGAATGGCTTCTAATGGCTTCTTTCGCTCAGACATTGGATCGCTCAGACAATGGAGGCAGCGCAGCGGCAGCAGCGCGCGCCGGGTAGATTGAAGGGTTTCCCGGCAGCTTCTTTAGTGGAACCTGTTGTTTGTCAGATCCTTAATAGCATCCGCCTAGAATCCAGCCAGGCCACAGACGAGACGCCGGTAAGCCGAAAAGCACTAACTTCCGCGTCGGCAATTCATCGGAATCACTCCAGAACATCCATCAAATGTCTGCTGAATAAGCTATGGACGCACAGACCAGGCCTCTTCCTATTGAGCCCTATCGCGCATTTTCCTAGGTGTGGGGCAGATACACCAAAAAGTTCGCATCTTTTTTGAGCCGGGCCCATTCTCACCACTTCTCGATTCCGACCGCCCAAGCAAGACTTTTGCCCAATCCCCGACTTCCAAACCTCCAACAACAGACGCAGGATATCCATCTCTTTGCGCCCTTCCCACCCCCCAAATCAGAAGCAATGGCTCCCGTTACCACCGTACGTATAAAATGATCACCGCTTTGCTGTTGGCCCAGTCTCTCTGGGGGAAATTCTGTTTTTCCAAGCGAGATCATGGCGTGAAGCAGTAGGCTAAGATCAATGTGTGTTTGCAGAAGAAGTCTGGCCCCAAGGGCAAGCAGGCCAAGACCACCAAGAAGGTAAGATACTCTCTCTCTCCCTTTCCCGTCTCAAAACGTTTCGCCGACTCACCTATTCTCTAGTTCATTGTCAACGCTCAGCAGCCCGCTAGCGACAAGATCTTCGACACCGCCGCCTTCGAGAAGTTCCTTCAGGACAAGATCAAGGTCGACGGCCGCGTTGGCAACCTTGGTGACAACATCAAGATCCAGCAGGCTGGCGAGGGCAAGATTGAGATCATTGCCCACAACGACCTGTCCGGCCGCTACATCAAGTACCTGTAAGACAACCACCCACCTCGGAAATATGGGCCCTCCAATATTCAAAATGCTAATTGCAATCAATCCTCCAGGACCAAGAAGTTCCTCAAGAAGATGCAGCTCCGTGACTGGCTCCGCGTCGTCTCCACTAGCAAGGGTGTCTACGAGCTCAAGTTCTTCAACGTTGTCAACGACGAGCAGGACGAGGATGACGAGTAAACGAACCTCGACAAGTGTACTTGATGATGAAACGCATGGATGGATTTTGCATTTTAGGGTGCTCGGGATTCGCATGCCATAGGTCAGGGAAAAGTTTGGCGCTTGAATAGAGTGCCATTGTTGTCCGAGGATTGGGCAATCCAACAAAGTCAATTCTTGCTACATGACTGTGCTCGTGGGATTGATATTGTGATATGTGACTGTTCCAGTTCGTAATTCTAAGTTGTGAAGGATGGCAAAAGGGATCCTCATTGGTGTTCGGCCAGCGTCGAGGTCCTGCTTGACATACGGTTCATTGGATATCGCAGGTCAATATGCACTATAAACATTCTTTGATCCTGTAACCACAAGAAAGCATCCATTGTACTACAGTGTAGCTCTTCATTCCTCAGCAAAGGACTTGATTATCACTAAGCTATGACTTGTAATAAGTGAGGCTTGGCCGATCCATTCTATTATTTATCGAGTCTATCAACATGTCTAGGTCTAGAGCAGAGATATTACTATATATACATCATTATACATGAAAGCAGAGATGCCAAATCCCAGGCCTGTCATTACTCTGACTGTTCAAGGCAAGTGTCTCATGACACCCTCAAACGCCACCAAAGCCGCCGCATTGGCGGGGAACGCGCGCAGGAAACACGGCAGGAACCCGCGCCAGTATCCCCTCCAGCCGCTCTCGCGGTAGACGGCGCGCGCGGCGTCGGCCCAGGACCGGAAGCGAGGCGTGCCGTCGCCCAGGCGGCCGCCCAGGGGGTCCGTCATGATGCGCTGCTTGACCACGTCGCTCGGGTAGCTCGTGATCCAAAAGACCTGGGCGCTCAGGCCGCCGGCCCAGAAGTTGACGGCGGGCGCGCTCAGCGACGTGCGGTCGCGCAGCGCCCGCGAAAACAAGTCGTAGGAACCCCACCAAAAGAAGAAGAAGGACCGAAACATGAGCGTGGCAAACAGGCCCTTGTACACGCCGCGGACGCCGTGGGCGCCGTAGATGCGGCGGAGACAGTCGATGGGCCCCGAGTACAGGCGCGGCTCCCCCGACCCCCGCGCATTGTACTGGATCTGCAGACGCGCCTTGACGTGCTCGACGGGGGCCGCGACAAACGACACGGTCGCGCCCGCCATGATGCCCGCGATGCCGTGGCCGTGCGCCGGCATGTGCGCCACGGCGTCCGACGTGCCGGCAATGGGCTGCCCGCCGTCGGCCGCCGTCTTGTCCGCGTGAGGCAGGGTGGGCACGCGGTCCGCGAAGAAGTTCTCGGCCACGAGGCGCCGGTACACGGTCAGCGAGCCCAGCATGACGCTGTCCATGAACATCCAGCCGACGAGCGGGGGGCTGGCGCCCTTGTAGAGTCCGCGCACGCCCTCATGGCGTATCGTCTGCGCGACGCACTGGAGCGGTCCCGCAAAGCGCGAGGCGTCGGTCGTTTGTAGGCGAACCTTGATCGTGTCAAAGGGATGGCCGACTGTTGTCATTAGTCTTGGATCAGTATTTATATCAAAGGTATCATGCGACAAACTTACCAGACAGTTTGGCGATACCAGAAAAGACGCCAGCAACGAAACCCTTGTAGTTCTTGCTCTGGCTGGCCTCTGCCGGCTTCTGCTTCAGGTCGGCGGCCATGGCTAGGCGCTCTACATTTGAGAGTTGAAGAAATAAAACCCACGTCTACCAGTCCAGGAGACAGGAGTTGGGCTGACGACAGCAACAACGACAATGATGACGTCTGAGAGTACAGTATAGCAAATTGCTGATTTCTCAGTCGCTGGGAGCTTTGAGTGGACGTCACTAGCTTAGCGCCGGGATCGGCCTCTTCTTTTTTTTCGATTGGGAATAGATAAGTACAATGTTGTGCTCTTATTGGTTGGTTCATATAGTGGTGTATCTCAGCCCGTTCCTAGTGACTAGCATTTTAATTCTATCCTATTGGCCACCATTGAAGCTGCATCATGTATCATTCCGTGTATTGAATATTCAAATCATTTCACAGTTCAAGTGCCATGTATTGATATAGCTTTGCGAAGCACAAATCAACTAGTGTGCCCCGAGTCAGAGAGAGCAGCCCAAGATTCCTCCATCAGAGAGAGTATCCTGTTTCGGCTGCGCAGCCTTCCTACAAGGTACAAACTATGGCATCCCAATCGCGCCTCACTTAGTAACAAGAGACATTCATTATCTCATATTCCTATTCACTCACTGACATCATTCAATCGAGTCTAGCTTGATCTTGTATTTGATAGATTCGCTGTCTTTCTATGTGTACGCTTCGGCATGACTCTAATGTTTCTCTTTCTCTCTAATATTGTAAAGACACTATCCATCCTACTCTAGTATTGACTTCACAGTCCCATACTTTCATCTTGTTCAGAGATCCCCGTGGAGTGAGGGTCCTGCCCTTTTGGTGTGTTCCCTTATATTGTCAGCCTGATCGGCCCAGGTCAGCACGTAATGTACTTACAGCCAAAACTGTTCGACCTCGACGTAATTTGGATCATTGCAATTTACGTAAACGGACACGGTCCTGGACATTACCCCAAATGTTCCAACCCCGGAACCGTTCGAGTTGATGATTTCTACAAGCCCAGCTGTCTGTTGTGTTACGTCCTTCCAGATCGTGTCGACGTTCCAAAGGCCCACATCTAATTGCACGAACTCAATGTCGGTTGGGTGAGTGTTCAAGAGGACCACCATCAAGGCGTGAGGAGAATCGCTGAGCTGGGTGCCACGCCCGGTCCGGATAATAGACATGCGACTTCCCGAGTCGTTGTAGCTGACAATCGTCTTGCCATACGCCCAGAACTTTCGTGCCAGCATGAGACGCGGCACAATCGAGGCATTATTGCGCGGCGATGGATACTCGTTCATCTCCCGTTTATTGTACACATGGGACCAGGACACACATGGATGCCCAAAGTTATCGCCCAACAAAATGAATGCGTAAGCAAGGGGAACAAACCAGGGTTCAACCGGCATCTTTGAAAATTAGATTCACTTTCGCAATACAAGCATTAATGCAGCTCTCACCTCGCGTGCACGTCCAATTTGCTGTTGGTAACTGTTAGTTGGTTTACTTGTTCCCTGATTTGTTCTGTATGAGGGAGATTTTGGACTTGCAGTGTCATGTGTTGCAACGAAGGTCTGTGACAGGTTTTAGTTGGGATCTTTCCAGCCAAGAATGATATAGAATGGAGTATTCACAATGGCGTGATTGGGCTCCCGAGCGGCCAAACTCCCCAATGCCAATGACCGCAAATCCACAGGGCCATCCATCCGTGATGCTCTGGAAAATGCCGAGCATACTGCAATAACTTGTGTTAGTAATTCAACACTTTTTCTTCTTTACCGATGAATGTGCTCTTCTGAGCACTTTGCCCAAGTCTGCTGCCTTGCAGCAAAGAATAAAAAAAAGGGAAAGATGTACTTGTAACACCAACTGGCACAGGTGTAAAAGAAGATAAAGAGTGTTGCTTACAGGGTACATCGTATAAAAGGAGGCGGTGACCCGTAAGATAAAGGTACTGGCGGAGAGCGATGATATCGTCTTTCCAATAGTCGCCTATCATGACCCATTTTTCTGTATATGCTTGTAAAGTATCAACATGGGGGACGAATATGTCTCGTATGAATTTTGTCGAACAACGCCTTAAATCTCCAAGTCGCATACCGCCCAACTTTAGCTGCTTTTTGAGCCAACTGACCCATTGGCAGAAGTTCTTTTGAACGGCGGAATTCCCGAAATCGATGAATGATCGGATGCTGTTGGTGAGCGCACCTGTCAATATGGGATTGGTTCGGTCTTATTTAACAGGAAGGATGTACTTGCAGATCATCGTCATGGCCCGTCCGACGGTCAACATCGTCTGCCCAGCGCTTCTGGCTGAATCGCCAAATGCCTTTCTCGTTTGTCGCGGCATTGACATCAACACCCGTGAAGCAGGATTTAGACCACTTCATCGAATTGTGGTATAATTTCACGCGAAGACTGTTGCCAGGCCAGAAGCGGCGGCCATGAAAACTGAAAACGGTCCATGCACTGATTTCTTGGGGGCGCCAATCGATGTCAAGACGGGGATCTGGAGATGAGAAAACATTGGTCAGCCTCATAGCACATGCATGCTATCTCCCGCCTGCAGGGTAAACTGCCCTGGGGGTTCGCCCTGATGGCCTTAACAGGCTCCGTTGTATCCGCACCAGCCTTGTGATCCAAGACAGCGTCGAAAATGATCTTGATGCCACGTCTGGATGCTTCTTCAGTAAGCCTGTGCAACTCCAATCTGCTGCCCCATTTAGTGCTTCTTGTGCCCTTTTGATTGAATTCTCCCAGGTCCTACAGGTCGTATGCATCATAGCCATCGCTCGTGAGCGATGCGGCCTTGGTGGCAGGCGGAATCCAAATGTGTTTCACACCGAGATGTCCAAGCCATTCGAGTTCTTCTGTGAGGTGGTTCCATTGCTTGTAGTCGACAGGAATGTTGGAATCGAAGCCTTGAAACATGACTTCGTTCGGGCCGTCCATTGTGTTCCTTGCGCTCCGAAATCCCGTTGCCGGTAATGTGGCGAAATGGCCCCCGAGCGTACGTCGGAGTCACCGCTGAGAGGTGCTGTGGGACGCGAAATGAGGCGATCTGAGAGGCGGTAATTCGGTCGACGGGAGGGGTTCCTCTCTCTCCCGAATCTTGGATGGAGGAATTTTGCCTCAACCCGTGGTGACTATAATCTTGTGAAAATTCAGTGTCTCCTGATTCCTCGTATTTCTAGTGCCTCGAGTTGTACTTGTCTTGGTTGGTGCGTGTCCGTTTGGGTCCTTGGTATACTAAATTCTCTTGACTGATCCCGTAGTATCTGAGTCCTTTCTGTCTGATTTCATGCTCTTTCAAGTCAATTATTGCTTGGGTCAACGTTGGTGAAGCAGGTGCTGATAATGCTGCTGCTGTTGTTGTTATGGTTTCTGCTGGGTGATTCTGGGTTGAACAGGGCTGAGCCAAGTCGGTAGATAATCTCCCGTAGGATGAAAGCCAAACAAAACTGGTCATAGGTTGCGGCAGGTGCTTGGCGAGCGAGGTGACGTGTGGTGTGCTCTTGCCTGGAATTCTCTTGAAAGATGCCAACACCCTGTAGAGTGACCCTCGTTCCTTTCCTTGTTGGCGATGCTGGTACGGTAGCTCATTCTTTCCTAGAGATTTTCTCGATTCAATATGACACAAGTCTACGAAAAGACCAAGAAGGGACCAATGAAAAAAAGATGTTACCAACTCCACTTACACAGAGTTCAAATGCCGGAGCTGATACCTCCTTTTTGAAGGGTAGCAAGCTGCAAATTGTAGCGGAATACAAGCAATTGTAGTGGTTTGCTGTTCTCAATGTCCCGTACAACAGTTTCGAAAAGAGCCATACCAGCGAACCACCTACGTCTTGATTCAAGGACACAAGACAGCCGCAAACCTGTGTGTGAAATGAGAAATTCTATTTCGCCTTGTGGCAGATCATATACCCAGATCATATGCCCGTAACCCACACCACCCCGCCTACCAAAATAAAACAAAACTCGCTATGTCCAAGATTTGATGCTCGCTGTATCTCTATCCACGCCCGGAAAATGCCATCGTTGAGATGTACGCTTCTATATGTTCTTTTTCATTTTTTCTCGATCTTTCCGTGCCGTCAAAAAGTCCCATGCAAATGACACTGGTCGCTCCCTATCGAGCGTGCCCGGATAGCTGGACTCGTCTCTTCCCTCTGAAAACATCAATCCCTCCCACCTGGGTTAGGTACTTTGCCTTAGAAGCCGTCCTTGGGCACGCCCCTTTCGGCTTCCGCCTTCAGTCTCTCATTGTTGACCCGCACCCACCAGGCATGCGACTCGTCCTTGCCGACAAAGTTGCCCTGCTCGTCCATTTCGTCCCAGGGCTTGGGGGCCAGGATATAGTGGACATTCTTGACGCTGTCGTCGCGCCAAATGGCGTCGTGCACGCCGGGCCAGCGCATGGTCTTGAGGGCATTGTAAATGTAGGGCAGGGGGACCCAGCGGCCGCGGTACAGATCCGACAGCACGCTCTGGTCGGCAAAGTCCATGTTGAGGGCGTGCGCCTCCATGTACTCGACAATCTGGCGGTAGACGCCCTTGCCCGGGTTGACGACCTGGAGGCCGCCGTTCATGAAGCCCAGGGGCCCGACGGCCGGGTCGATGCCCTGCGTCTGCGCCTCCTCGGGAGCGCCGTGCTGGTGGGTAAAGGCGCAGTGGGCGGGGATCCAGTCCTTGGGATAGTGCGGCTTCTTGAGGGGGTTGCAGACGCAGGCGTGGCCGGCGGCAAAGACGCGGCGGCCGACGCCCTTTTCCACGTCGGCCGGGTCGTCGAGCTCGAGCTCCATGAGCTCGTCCATGTTGCGCAGCACGAGCATGTCCGAGTCGAGCTGGACCACGCGCTTGTACTGGGCCAGGGAAAAGGGCGTCAGCTTGCTCCAGCAGTCGTAGAACCGCGGGTCGTTGCTGTAGTCCTTGCCCTGGGTCGGCAGCAGGTACTCGATGCGTTGCGCCGGGATGCCGCGGGCCTTGAGCGCCGCCAGCCCGGACTCGGGAAAGGTGTCGGTGTAGAGGGCGACTAGCGGGTATTTGGACTTTTGTTGCTTGAGAGAGAAGTCGAGGGTGAGAAGACCAGAGAGGTAGGCATTGTTGGTGATCAAGGTCGTCCAGACTGTTTAGTATCCCGAGTTAGTATATGCCCCGTGTCTTGTGTGCTATGCGACCAGATCGCCAGGGAGAGAGAGGGAGGCATATTCCAAGCTTACCCTTGTCTGACTCGACTGCTTTCTTTCCGTCCGCCATGGTAATAATGCTTTCAGTAATGTATATTTCGGTTAAAGAAAGGAAAGAAGAAGCACAATATCTTGGGATTATGTCGCTTAGAAATATTTCAGCTGGCAGCAAAGAATGTGGCTGGGAGAAATTATGTACAGAAGAATGATGATGCTGAATTTCTAATGATAAATCATCAGTGCCTACAAGCGCATATACTTGGAGGGGTCCCCCGATTGCGCTATATAACTAAACAAACAACAAACCGGCTTGCGACTCGTCACTTGCGACCGAAACCGAGTGGGGTCCGAGATATAATAAATCAGAGAAGAGCCAAGAGATTGGGATCAAGATAAGGGCCGAGTTTCAAGAGAGAGAGCGAATGATTCCAAAATAGATTTCCTAAAAGTCGGCAAGTTTCGTCTTCTCTCTCTTTTCCTCTTCTCATGGCCACCACTACGACGCGTGTACGCAGGTAGACTTTTGCTACAGCTCGTTTCGAAAACCGTCTTCTGCCCCTCCATCCAAACACGTTCCAGGCTTGCGAGCAATTGAAAGCTGCCCCTCCTTTTAAGTGACAGTCCAACCCCCCACTAACGCGCGCGATTCTAGGGGATCGCAGAGCATCCCTGTCTGGAGGGTTTGAGCCAATCCCGGTCCACGTGTCTCATGTATACTCGATGAGTTGGACCTTAAGATCAGCACAGATAGCAGATCAGACGGACTCTTTTCAAAGGGGAAATATGTAAAAAGTCTGGGGGTCGTTTATTTAAAGAAAAAGGTAGCTTGAATCTTCTCTAGTCTGTCTAAGCAAATGTTCTTGTTGTGGATGCGGAATTCTGTCAAACCAATGCATAGTATCGTAGAATCGTATCCACATCATGCTCGGACGAGTATCCGATCCTTGAGGCATGACCAATGTGTCAAACCCACGATGACAACTATTGATAGACGAAACCTCGGCCTTGCCGGTGTCTGTCCTGCTTTCAAATATCCTCCAGTGAGATGAATTGTCTGCTTTCTTTCTTACATGTCCAAATTCCTTCTTCCTTTTCGGCGAATAGATCGCTCACTTTAGTCCACCGCTCAACAAGATACTCTGCCCCGTCAGATATCCCGTCTTGCAGAGCATGATCACGACATTGGCGCACTCGAGCGGCGTGCCGAGGCGGCCCACGGGTATGTTGCGGACGTCACCGGCCGTGCCCTCGAGCATCTTGGCGTCGGGAATCATGCCCGTGTCCCCAATCATGGCCGGCGCCACGTCGTTGACCGTGATGCCGTGCTGCGCCTGCTTGGCCGCCAGGTTCTTCATCATGCCCGTCAGGCCTGCCTTGGATGCGGCGTCTGTTTGCATGTGGGAAAAAAGGATTTGTCAGAAGAAAAAGATCCAGATGGACAAGTAGTTTGAGAAATAAACGTCGTATGAACTCACAATGACACCCGTTAATTCCACCCCCAATAGCGGCAATTGAGCTCACAAAGACGAGCCGACCCCACCCTTGCTTTTGCATCCACGGCACACTGAGCTTGGCCAGCACAAAACTGGCGCGCAGGTTGACGTTGAGCGTATAGTCAAACTCGTCAATGGGAATATCTAGGATATCAGGAATGCGCTTGCCGTAGCCGGCATTGGACACGAGGATATCTGGTCCTTCGTGCCCGCTGCTGGGCCCATGCTGTTCCCGTAGCTCGGCAAACAGCCGCTCAATGTCGGCCACTGACCCCGTGTCGACCGTGTGCACCGAAATCTTTCTCTTTTCCTCGGCACCAGAAGATGCCATTAGCTCTTTGACCAGGTCATCTACTGGCTGTCTATTCCTGTTGCAGGTCAATGCCAAAGAGGCCCCTTCCGCCCATAGCGAGCGAGCACAGGCGGCACCAATGCTGTTTGATGCGCATATGTGTTAGCCTAGGTTAATAAGTAGCGGTTCACCTTCCACCCTCTCTCTCTCATCTCAAACATACCCTCCTGATGCGCCAGTAATCAGTGCCAAGCGGCCCTTGATCTCGTTGTCAACTTTTGCCATTGCCATGATGCGTGTCGAGTAGGCTTTGTATGCGTGTATGTGTATATGTCTTTGCTTGCGTGTATCAATGTCAACAAGGGGGGAGTGTCTGGTCTCTCTTCAATTGATGTTTCCAAACTAAGTACTTGATACACAGGTGCCGGTAGCGGGGAGGAGCTCCGCTCAGCCTGCTTGGGGGACACTTTTTTAACTCCTCAGACGAGGCGCACCACAGTTACGACCACAGTAGGCACGTAGGTAGGTAGGTATGCTTTTACTAAGTCAAGCAAGGTCAAAGAATATACATGACCAAAGGGGGGATCCATTCGCCGACAATAACCTCAAAACTCCCACCCACGGGATCTTATTGCGGAGCAATCCACAATGGACCTCAACTACTCCAAATCTACAACCACTCAGTTCAACCCCAACCTTTTCCCCATACTCTTTGGAACTGCGTTCAGTCACATATTCAAAAAGAAAAAGAAAAGTAAGAAAAGAAAAGTTTAACCTGATATCAAAACTGGCAGATCACGAGCATTTACTCTTGTTCGTACACGTTGATACATTCGAGGTCAATCCACATTTTATTCGTACATAGATATTCTATGGAAATGAGATCTCGGTGGATCAACTAGGACGGCAAGCCTACATCTTTCCTTCCACCCTCGTCGATACAACCGCGAATTTCAAATAACTGGCTTGCATCCAGTCGGACAGTAAAGCATTGTATGGTATCTAGAAAGGTGATAGAGGAAGGGTCGTCTTGCGCTTCCGTCTATCAATGCAATTTAAGTAATCCAGTACATCATCTCGTATGATTCGTCCATGTGCCTGCCCAAAGGAAAAACTCCAATTCTTGCTATGCCTGAAACGCCTTGCTGTAATGATCGTAGTGATGAATCATGAGTCACAAAAGAAAAAGAACAATTCAATACCGTTTGTATTTCTGTCGCCAAGGTTAGTATTTGCAGCCTTGGACAATATTGGTCATGCGAGCTTACCTCTTCAATCCTCCTCCTATTGTGCGGATCCAATGAATTGGTTGCGCCCATCAAGGTCTGTCCAATGGCTCTGCTTGAACCGATCAGAGGCCTAAAAACAATAGTCGGTGTATGTTTCAACACGGCCTTTGCGGCATCTTGAGCACTCTGGCTCTGCTGTACGGCGCCGGGAATGGCAATAATGGCGTCCCGAGCCACATTCAGGTCACGTTTGAGGCTCACGTAGCCGCCTCTCAGGCCTTGGAAGATACCGCTCGGCTGCTCTGCATATAAGCTGATTTGCTTGGTGTTCTCGTTGTCTGCCTCTTCATCTTCCCAGTCGCCTTCCTGCTGGCCCGGCTTGGCGAGTAGACCTTCGGCCCCTTGAAGAGCATACTGGGTGCCTACTGCAACCTTGGCCCCGAGCTTCACAATCTCCGTACCAGTAGTCTTTGCAAACGCAGCAGCACCTTTACCAATGCTGCGTACAATCTTGCCGTCTTTCTTGTACTCCTTGATGGGTATTTCAATGAGGTCTCTGATACCGCTGCCAACATTGACCAGAGAACGCACCGGCGCAAGTCCAGCTAGAATGCCTGGCAACTGATTTCGCTTGATTTCAGGCATCCAGATGTCGTTTAGCATCTGGCCCAGTCGGTCAAAGCCAGAAACGCCATATACAATGGTATGTCTCAAGACCATGCGTGCCTCGTCCAAGATCAGAAAATTCATGAATTCAGTAGTGTGCCCGGACCTCAGACCGGCATAGTCGACGCGCTTTGGCTTGAAGTCAAGCTTGACCGGGACGGAATTGACCTCGGCTCGTTGAATAAAAGGCTTATCGGCCTCAGATGCCTGCACGGGCGCATCTGGATCTTTGAACTCAAAGAAACGTGTAATAAAGTCCAAAGCATCCTGGTCGACATGCAGTCGCAGTGGCAAAAGCGTAGCCTTGAGGACAAACTCGGTGGCCGACAGCTCCTGGAGTGGCTTGACCTTGAGGAGCTCAATGTGCGCCATGCTTGTATTCATTTCTCGCTCGCCTGCATCTTGGTCATACGTTGCAAACTTCTTCCATGTTGATGTTGGCACATGATCAAAGACATTCACATCCTTGATCTTGACGTCGATTGAGGTTTGCGTTTCTCCGGAATCCTCCGCAAAATTGGCAATGTCGACATTGATACCCTCCAGCTCAAACGTGATCTTGTGCCGCTTACTGCGTTCGAGCTTGAGCCTCTTCTTGGTACGCTTGCTGCCCATCCGACTAGGAGTTGCAGTCATTGCTGTGGTGGCGATTGATTCCGTTTCCGTGGCATTGTCGTTGAGGGCTTCATTGATATTTCTCGTAAGCTCTCGAGGGTCGCGATTGGCTGGAACGCCAATGTAGATGGAGTTGAATAGAAAGTCCCCAATGACGGTCTCTTCCTCATCAATCATTGCCTCCATATCCGCAGTTACGTGCACGCGATCCGACCGCCCACGTCGCTCTAGTGCTTTGGCCTCAACCTCTTCGACGGCTTTCGTAATCACGTCTCGAGTATGCGTCCAATCGTACCCGTCAAACAAGTTCCAGATGAAATGCACATCCCTTACTCGTACTGTCATGGGGTATCTTGTGGATCTGGTGTCTTTGGGTTGTTCATAGCGATTCGCGGTCGAATTCCATTTTGGTGCGTATCCGTGAATCACAGACTGGGTGCCAAAATAGTCATCATGAACAACCAAATCTGAGTCGTCATCCTTGTCATTTTCATTGAAATTTGTGAGAAGAACGCCGTCGTTCGTGTCCTGCGATGAGGTGTGTCCTGATATGACGGAATCAACTAGATCATGTCCTTCGCCCTCCAAGGACTCATCGTAGAACTGAGAATGGACATCCAATGGGCTAGATTGACTGGAGTCGCCGAGATCGACTCCTTCGAGATCTTCGCCGCCAAGCTCCTGGGCTAGTCCAAAGTCATCATCAAAATCAAAATTGCCCTCAGCATTGCCAAAGGCGTCTGCCGATATTGATGCTAGAAGGTCCTGCATGGGCACAACTGCTGTTTGATACTTTGGAATCTTGCTTGGTGGGGTCGGCGGTTGCAGAGCATTAGCCAGTGCCATCAGTGTTTGCGTCGAGTCTGCGCAAGTTCCCATGACAATTAGATTGTCACGAACTTCAACATCGACGAACTTTGACTTGTCCTCGTTTGCTCCAGCGAGGATATTGATCTTTGCAGCTGATATGAAACAGATATCCACATATCCTTGCGCACACAATTCGATAATCTGGTCTGAACTAGAATTCGACGGACGACGTCGAGAAGCATGCGCAGGACTGCCCAGTGCTTCCACATTATCCGTCAATAGTACCGAACCTTTGTTGAAATGGAATGCGGCATCGGCTTGGTCACTCTTGGAGAGGGACACCTTCAGCCGAGCATCCGTCAAAGCAAGAATCAACTTGGAATGCAGATTCAACGGGTTCAAACCAATCAAACAGTCTCTAAAAACGACGTCGAGCTTGGTTGGCTTCCCTGTATTCGACTTGCCTTTGTCGAACTCCGCTTCAGGTGATCTTCCTGTAATAGCAGTGTGGGCCTGCTCGCCCAGATTAGCAACAGAGGCTGCAAGCTGAATCTCATAGTCCTGTGGCGTTGCGTCTTCGGCGAGATCCAATATGTCCATGATAGTTGGGACTCGATACTCGACGTTCAAGTTTCTCAGACGAAGCTTGATGACCGGTTCCATCGCGTCTGGGATGATCCGCATAGTGAATACCGGCCCGCTGTTTTTCATACCAAGGCTAGAGCCAAGCAATTCCTCTGTCTCGTTTCGATGAATTGATGCGGCGCCGAGTGCAACTGCAATGAGCGAGGGAAAGGTAATGTGCCCGGCTTCAACGTCTTTGAATGAGGTTTGAATGTGCCCGAAGCGTTTGTCGAGACGGACTGACAAATTACAATTGCGAATCATGGCCAATGTCAGGATACCGGGTTTGTCATCTTCGGGAAGATATTTGGCTACAGTGCCAAGGCGGGCAACCTCTTCGCCCAACCCTGGAAGGCACTGGAGCTGTTGCACGTTTTTGACACCAACTTCTACATTGTCCAGATTCAACCGCACCACAGCACCTTTCCGCCTCTGCCTGAGCAGGGTATCCACCATGATTTCATCGTCGTTCTCATCAAATTTGTTCTTTGATGGAATGATGAGTTCTAGCAGTCGCTCGAGATCGTTATCTGTGGGCGAGAACAAGTACTCAATACGAGTATTCATGACCGTGGCGTTGATGGGCGGATCACCCATCGAGTTCCTGAGGAAAGGTCCTGCGAGTTGTATCTTGGTGATGCCAATACCAACACCTTCTTCTCGAGTCACCACTTTTACTGCACTCGTATCCAAGGCAACACTGCATTCTTTTCCTATCAGGTCCAAGTGGAACCCTCCGACACGAATATTGACCTTGTTGTCTTGCGCTGCAGACTTGTCATCGGCTTTGATTGGCGCATCAAAGCGCACTCCACGAGCTTTCTTGACAGTGCGTATGGGGCTTTGAGGGACAGGCGAGGTATTCGAGGTCATAGAAGATCCCATGTTGAGAAAGCTGCTCAAGCCGCCAAACCAGCTGAAAGTTTCATCTAATCTCCGGCAATCGAGTTTCACGTGTAGAGGCAAGGTCTGAACCTGACACCGTGTTGCCTCTGCAGTCTGGGTTATCTTGAGAGAAATATCGGAACCAGCAGATGGGAATGCATCTCGAACGGAGGCTCGCATTTGTAGACGCTGATCGAATGAGAGAATGTCATCGTTGGCATAACCGAACCTGAATTTCTCCAGATCCAGAGAAGTTTGAGTAGCTTTGTCAGTCCTCTCGACATGTACTTTGATATTTTGGAGGCTGGCAGTCAGCAGTGCGTCGGTACCGAAAGCAGCTGAATTGGGGTTCAGCATCCGCTCTGGCGTGTCTGCAATTCCAACCAGTGCCTCAAGGAACTGTATCGAAACCTGTTGTGCTAATATCTTTATGTCTGGTTGGGGAGAAGCAGCTTGCTTTGAAACAGTGGGCTTGGAGGTTTTTTCACTTCCATGCTCCTTAAGTAGAGCCATAATTTTCGAAGTGACCATGGTCAGGAGGAAACTGATGGACGCATCGAAACGAACATCCACCGGTGCTAGCACAACCTCGATAGAGTCATCTTTAGGTGGAACACTATTCTGAGGTAGGCTGTGCGATGTGCTCGACGAAGCCATCGAGGGCCCCGAGTGGGTGTCCATTGTCGATGTTGTTCCGTACACTGAAAAGGCGCCGGGGATGTTGGGAGCAACGGATCGATCTAAACCATAACGACTGCTGGTGGAACCAGTATTTGCGGCAGATGTAGGAGTCTGCGGTTGATTCTGAATCGATGGAACATAGATCGAGACAGCAGCGAGCGATATAATTTCCTTCACGAGTCTCGTTGGTCCGCGAGGCGTGACTACACCTTCTGCCGCTCCTGGATTCTCAGCTCCGTCCGTGTCACCGGAGACGCCGGACTGCTGTTCGTTCTTAGTTTGCAAGTCTTCGCGAGAAGTAAACAGCGGGCTTGCCTGGCCCGATGTAGGACTCTGTCCTCTGGCGTAAGTTGCAGTTTGTGGTTCGAAAGAGGGTCCTGCAATGCCCTGAGTGATCGAGGCGGGCATGTTTTCCACCTTCTTCTCGGGAGTGCCTTCGGCGCTCGACGTCTCCGAGTCATCCCAAGTTCCAGGCATAGTTGAGGATGGTTGCGCATTGCCGGAATGAGAAAAGGCGCTCATGTACATGCTCTCTGCTTCTTCGTGACTAAAGATATGTGACTGGGTTAGATCTTCAGTCGGAGGCGACGCAGTCCCATCGCTTGCTGATCCATTATCCAGAGACAGATAGTTGCCTAGAGTCAAATCTCCCTGTGGCACCAACGTCGGTTCTGAATGGGCATCTCTTTCAAAGGCCGACCAGCGATCGGGCGCTGCCAGCACAGTTGATTGGGCTGGTTGATGATGAGGTGCTTCGAATGGCGGACTAATCTGTGGAGCAAGTGCTCTTGGAGTTGACGGAGCAGATCTTGCGTCCTCTTGTGCGTGATCTTCATCTTGTGAGCTGTTTAATTCATATGGGATATTGAAGGCATCCTCGCTATCCATCATCGGAAAGTACTGGCTCTGTGACAGATCTGTCGACTCATCCAATGGTTCATAGATACTATGAGACAGAGGGTCATCCTCTTCAAACGGAGGGTGCCGAGCTGCCATCACTGGCGAACCTGTGGCGACCGACGATGGCATAGATGATGGCATAGATGATGGCATAGATGAGAGCACAGATGGAGTTCGCGCGAGTGTGGAGAAGACGTTCGCTTCAGATATGAGAGACGCTCGAATCCTGTTGAGTGAGATGCGGCGCTTGCCCTCTCTGAACTCTGCTGCGTCATCTTGGCCAGCAAGTTGCGTGGTGACTCCCTCTACATTCAGGTCGTCGACAGCCAGCTGTAAAGTGACCAACTCTGGTACAGTCGAGTGAACCTCGACGGGGACCTCGACATCTAGCTCGAATATCACTCCCCGTATGGATACCTGTGTCCGATCAACGATGCCTTGCAGAAAGTCGGCCAAGAAAACAGGGAGAGACAGAGGTTGTCCTGTGCCCATGTGGCTGTCGTCATCGCTGCCGTCTTCGCTAGTGCTAGCAATAGACGCGGCAAGATCATGACTTTCAGCATCTAGCGCTGCTTGTAATTCGGCCTTTTCCTTTGAGGGCTCCGTATCGAGAAAAGATTGTGCAAGATCGATCGCCTGTGGTACGAGTTCATCTTCATCGGCCCTGGACTTGGACTTTCTACCCCGGCCGCGTATCGGCTCGTCTCGCGGCGAGTCCTCTGCAGCGACTCTCAGTTTGACTTGCACACCATCAACATCAACGAGTATGGGGCTAGAATATATGGCGGACGGTATCGTAACGCGGAGTTTTAGGACTTTGGCTTTTTGAAGTTTGAATGAAGTTGGGAGCTGGAGTAGATGCTCTAGTTTCTGTGCGGAGAGCTGTGTTAGTCTTGTGGTGTCTGTGTATTCTCACGAAGAATAATACGAAAGGGAATGAACAGTGGGCTAACATGCCTCCAGCTTGATGCCGACATCCTGGAACGTGAGAACGTTGTTCCTTCCCCATTCCAGGTCCAATTTGTCGACGTCTAATGCATCCGTATCGAGGAACTCGAGCCTGGAGAGGGCGTATCGCAACAGCCGTTTGGACATGTTGGAGCTCCCAAAGGAGCGAAAGATGGACGCCATGGTGCCTCTGAACAGAAGCTGATGCAGCTTCCGATGACTACCAGGACGTCTAAAGTTTACGACGCAAGGAATGCTGTTCGTGCGTAGAGAGGCGCGTGATGGAGGCGATGTCGGGTTGGAACACTATCACGGTATCGATAACCCCGTTGGGATGATGCGGGGTGACGGCTCATCGTCGAGATTCCATTTAAAGTGAAAGTGAGAAAGGTCCGCGAGCTGCTTAGCGGGGTGAAACGAGGCGATGAAGCTTTGAGGCAAAACAAAACCTCCCTCAGAGAGAAGGAAGATGAATCTTCGCCCGCCTATGATGAAGTGACAACAAACAGCATCAGCAAGTTCTAGTTGAGTGGCCCGGACTTTGGTTCTCAGTATGTATGGATGGTCTAATGTATGGTAGACGTGAACGATGCTAGCGAACGCTGAAAGGCGCCGATCCACCGATCTCCGCCTCCAGCCCTCTTTAACCTGCCAGGCCGCACCTCGAGCCACCCGATACATGTCATTTGACGCGCTAATGCATCATTATCGATAGCGGAGGGGGAGCGACGTGACAAGGCGGCCCACTGAGTCCATGTCTTGATAGGGCCGCGAGGGCCGCTGTCAATGCATATCCCCCAGTGGGCCTTCGAATCAGGATATGGGTTTCGAGACTCTCAAGGTACTGAAGCCTGTCAAGTGAAGGTGCCCGGTGCACTTCTTACTTTCAGTGAAGCTTTACTCGACCTGGTCCTCGTCATTGCAGCATCGAGATTTGGTCCGCGAACCTGACTTTCTTTTGACGCTTTCGTCCTCCCCAGCCCAACGGCAAAGAAAACAGCAATAGAAAACATGACAATATTCAAGTAAAGCCAAAGTCATACAATTTTTCAGAGCTGCAACGGATGAACAGTCCTACTAAGATTGCATTTAAAGGACAAGCGCCCACAAGAGTTGATCGGCAGCATATCTACAAACCCCCAAGGTACCTTGAGCTTATCTTCCATGGTGAGTCTTGGCGTTGGGTGATTATATGCTGGGTTAGCTGTGATGGAACGTTTATTCCCTTGTAGCCCGACGGACTGTGAATGCTGTTTGTTAGTGTCTGCTCTCATTTGGAAGTCTACCTAGTCGCTTGACTTATTTCAGTTCTGCGGACAGCTTCTTTGGGTGTAACATTGCTTTACTCGCTTTTTTAGTGGTTGCTGCGGAAGCACTGACTGTTTGAATCCTCCGTGATACCATACCTTAATTCCATACCTTGCTACAGATTAACACCATGGTGATACAGCGGGGTATGCGAAGATGCGATTTGGAAAAAGAAAGAAACTTTATACTGAAAGCGTCTACCCCCAAATACTAATTCAAGTGAATGAGAGCAGAAAAGTAGATGATCAAAAGGTGACGTCAGAGTTACCTTGACAATTGAAGTAGTATCGTGGCGATTGAAAGTCTCATCCTTAGAGCATGAGGCTCGATCCGCTGACAGCCAACCCCAGTAACACATCCTTTCGCTACGAGAAGGCTGGGCATTTGCCCACGTGCACGCGGCAGTATCTTCAGACGGAAAAAAGCAAAATAAGTCAATCGCAAGATCTGCATTTAAGAGAGAAAAAAGAAAAAAAGCAAACACCTCAAGCATATTAGATTTATACATGACACCGTCACATTGGGGGAAGAAAGAAGACAAAGATGGGAAGCTAGTGGGGGGCGACTTGTATCTCTAGATTGTGGTTGATATCCCAGGGAAGATATCCTTGACATCCAACCTGACCGAGAAAAAAGCCCATGCATTCTCAACTTCCAGACACAGTACTTACTTACACAGATCGCATCTGTGGCTTGATTCGTCCACCAGGGATCTGTGCCTGCATGTTTAGCTGGCGCTGAGAACGGGCTGTGCATCGTCGGGTCGTACGACCAACAAACAGTTGCAGCTTCGGTCCAACAGTCAGCCCAGGATGAGAAGGATCGCGGGCGGCGCCGCAAAGCGAATTCTTTTTCCTTCCTTGCAACACTCAGCATCCGTGGCATGTAAGCATGTTGTAAAACCAAGGGCAACGCGCGACCATAGTGTCCGTACCATGACGGCTCCAAAAAAAGCTCGAGACGATAGTGAAATATGTGCTCTGCAATTACTCGAAATGAAGCAATTCTGGCTTTTTTTTTTTTTTTTTT